AAATTGGTGAAGTAGTTGCTGTCACAGGAGATGGCACCAATGACGCTCCTGCGCTTCATGAGGTCTGTATATTTCTTTGATGTACAGTCTCAAGATTGAAAATACAGTGAATATTTTTATAAAACTTAAGAATGAACCTGCATAAGAAAAGTGCATACACACACGCATATCAGTTAGAGCTTTTGTAATTTGTTACATACCTTTAGATGAATTCGGCTCTTCTAAAGTGTAGTTCATGGTAGTCAAAATTGCAATCTTTTCAGCAAGACCTTACGATTTTACGATCTTCATCGCCTCTTGATTTTTCTTGGAATAGTAATTTGGTTAGATCGGATGGGATTGCCGTCGAAGCTAGTATGATCGTGAGATCTCATTGTGCCTAAAAACTCATTTTGAGGTTCATGACCCACAACCCATATTTGCGACCCAAATACCTAGAGTGCTTGGATAAGGGGATAAAGGATCTGAGTCAAATAAGTACTTTAAGCTTAAGCTTGTTAATTTAAACAAGTCAAATTTATAGAGATATATAGTTATTTTCGCTATCAAGTAAACCAATTCAAATATTTAATTGAGGAGATAACATATGTTTTTTTAGAAGCCAAAGGAACCATTAAAGAAAATATGCTGTATGTTGTTTCAAAAACTTCATTCAACAAATGATAAAACTGATAAATAATTGATGCACATAATAACAAAAGCTATAATCGTGAAATTTTTGTTTACACAATAAAGCACTTATTGCTTGTCACTTCATTCAAATTCAGATATACGAGAGCCATGCAAAAAAACAAATCATCAAATAACTTACAATGATGCACACAAATTTTCCGCATGCTTAAAACTAAAATTTAAAATTTATTTATGAAAACCTGGCATCTAACAATCATATCGATTTCCTTATTATAGTTGATATCTTGTTTTACTATTTTGTAATTTAGGCAGATATTGGTCTTTCTATGGGCATCCAAGGAACAGAAGTTGCAAAAGAAAGTTCAGACATTATAATCCTGGATGATAACTTCGCATCAGTTGTAAAGGTAATCATGTTAATTATTCCCTTAAGTATGCATCATATAGTTGTCTTTTTTCGTGTCTGTGATTATTGGTACATGATTTCACACGCTCGAGTAAGAAGTGATAAGATTTCTTCTAGCAATGTTTTTTTTTTTTGCTAAATTGTTCAGTAGCTTCCTAAACCTTTATTATAGTTTTAAATTGGTCATAAATCATAATATCTTTTTTAAGTTTTTGACGTGCTCTTTTGTGGCTTACTGGCCCACAACTTATTAGACTTAGTTAATTTATGTTTACAATCATCAATATGTCATTTGGTGTTATTGCAAAATTTTTTAAGAATTATTTATTAAACTTTATAATTAAGAACTTAATTGGAAAATTAAATATATTATAAGAATTTAGAAACCTGTTAAAAGTCCAGATTATATAGATATTTTTGAAAAAATTGATAAAACTACACTGATCTATCTATTAATTTAACCATTATTTAAATAATTGATTCTTAAGTTAACATGGCCAAGAAACGGGCCAACTTCCAAGCTGTTGTGACTTGTGAGGGACTGGTTGTGATTAGATTTTGGCTTCATCTGGGCTTGAGAAAACATAAATTTATTTCAGAAACAAGCCTTCAGTGGATTGGTCCGATCTGTGATTTATCTAAGATGTGTGATTCACTTTGTGTAGGTTGTTCGCTGGGGCCGTTCTGTATATGCAAATATTCAGAAATTTATTCAGTTCCAGCTTACTGTTAATGTTGCTGCTCTTGTAATAAATGTTGTGGCAGCAGTATCTTCTGGTGACGTTCCTTTAAATGCAGTACAGGTACCCTGCCCTCTTTCTTCTCTGTTGAAAATTTCTTTATTTGCAGTAGTATGTATAATTCAAATTACAGTCACATCTACCTACGTTACCCCTCTCTTACATGTTGGTTTCCGATGTACATGCTCTTGGTATAGCTTTTGTGGGTCAACCTTATCATGGACACACTTGGGGCTCTTGCACTGGCTACAGAACCACCAACAGACAGTCTGATGCACAGATCACCGGTTGGCCGAAGGTTTGTTTTGATTGGTTTTCTTACTATACAGCTTAACATTTAATACTTTTAAGCCTGCATGGTGCTGGCATGTAAATACAAACACACGTGTACTCATGGTTAATCCTTGATTATGGTTAACACTTGCTGCTTTCACTATTAAACAGTGCATAGGAGTTCTTTGTTTGTATGATTAAATTTCAAACAAATAGGTTTAACAAGGTGTTGGTTACTAGGTTTTGCACATACTTTTTTTGTCAGGTATTATGATTTTTTTCATTTTTGGTTTATTGTAAATAGTTAAAAAATTATATGCACAGTGGGGATATTGGAAGAAAATATGAGGTTTGCTTTTGTCCGTGCCCTTTTCTGTGCTGCTACGAATTGAGCAGGTTTTTTATTTTTGATATTTTTTATGAAAGAATTAGAGAAAAGAATTATAGAGGCAGAAAAGGTATTCTTGCATGAGGACATAAAAAAAAGATACGTTTGCATATCTAATAAGGGATATAACTATTTGCTTAGATCGACAAGGCAGGAAGGAAATAATCCTTACCATTAACTACTTGCACCTTTCTTTCCAAAATGAAGTTTGCAAATACTCAATCTAACACACATTTGGGCTCTGAATTAACATTTCTATGCATGCTTTGACTATGATCTTATGTTTGGCTTTCAGGGAACCTCTTATAACAAATGTCATGTGGAGGAACTTGGTCGTCCAGGTAAAATATATTTTGTTCTATGGAGGGACTTGTTAAGATCACATTGAATTGGATAAACATAGGGATGATCAGATCCCATCATTTAATAATGATATTTAATTTGTTTCATTGCAGGCACTCTATCAAGTCGCTGTTCTTCTTATCCTTAACTTCTGTGGTGAAAGTATTCTACGTAACCATCAAGATTCCAGAGCCCATACCATACAAGTGAAGAATACTTTAATTTTCAATACATTCGTCTTCTGCCAAGTAAGTGAATATTAATGAAAAATAGATATAGACTTGCATGTTTCACAGATACATAAAATTTTTTTCAACAAAAGCTGATGATATTCAGAAATGCTAAAATGTATACAAATATATAGGGAGAGAATTACCTGTGTCTCTCGAAATTTAATGGTATATGTGAATTTAATTTGGCAGTGTTTGAAATATGTATAGAGGCATATTGGAATATGTTAGGTAATTATTCATATTGGGTATTATATGCATGAGGTGTATACTCCTAATCAGATATACAAATAGAAGAAAGAGAAACTATATGTGCGGTATGGGATATGACAGAGAAATACAGAAAAAAAAAATATTAGGTGGAAGAGAGGTGAAGATGCTGTAGAAATTCTTAAACAGATATGATATATTTGGCAGGTCTTTAGTCAATGGAGCCGTTTTTTCTTGTCTTTTCTTATTCTTGTTAGACGGGTTTCTTGATGGTTGATGGATTAGCCCCTCTTGATTCTATCATCTATAGGAGTATCTTGTCTAATAAGGCTCGGCTTCCCCGTATAATTGCAGGAATGCTTGTTTAATTTATCGAATTCTTATTGAACAGTTTTATAATGCTTTAACTTACAGATATTTAACGAGTTCAATGCTCGAAAACCAGATGAGATGAATGTCTTCCGGGGGGTAACTAAAAACCGTCTCTTCATGGGAATTGTTGGAATGACCTTTGTGCTTCAGGTGAATAGGCATCCCTCTTGTAATGTGTTCTTAATTTTCAACATTAAGGTGCATTTCTGACTGTCAAATTGTTAGATAATCATCATCGAATTCCTTGGAAAATTCACGACGACGGTGAGGCTTGATTGGAAGCTCTGGCTTGCTTCTCTTTCTATTGGGTTTTTCAGGTATGTTCACTACAGTAGTTTCATTATCACAATTCTGATTCCATCGCGCTTTTTAGTTATCCAGAGTTCCAGACCTCTGCTCGTTTAACGAAATGATAATCATTTAATTGATCATTCTGACCTCTCAAGTCTCAAATGTATTTTAGCTTAATTTGTTATGTGATCTAACTTCAAATTTTCATTAATTTTGATTTAACATTTCTAACAGCTGGCCTCTGGCGATAGTCGGAAAATTCATTCCAGTTCCCAAAACACCATTGTCCCGATACTTCAGGAGATTCAGGAAGTCTCGTGCAGCACAATAGGTCAACGTAGATAACATCTATTGAGAAAATGATCACCTGCAATTCGTAGTAAGCTAACGACTGACATGTAACAATACATATTACTAATCTCTTTCTAGAATGTGTAATATAATTGTATATTAAACATATTCTCAAATATAATCCATAGGAATTTAAAAATAGACAGAACTTGGATTAAGTTTATTATATCTCTATCATCCACATCTCAAATCAAATAATAATATGTAGATTTTTTATATTTAAATGTGTTTAGTCATTAAAAATGACTTCGTCTAGTTTGATCTTTCAAAAAAAAAAGTTTGATCTTTGCAACTTCAGTCCATAAGAATGTTATTTTTCCGTGAATGTGTATTTTCTCATATAATCAAAGATCAGATTCAAGAAATTAACAGTTCGCCATGCATAGACCCACCAATTTTGGAGGTAAAGAACAATTGAACTTGGAAATGAACATTATGAAAAGATCCATTTCCTGCTGTTGTCTCTTTACATTATGAACATCTATTTCACCCTTGATTGTTATTATGACTCTGCCTTTTAATTATCAATTTTTGGAATTTAGAGATTATCGTAACACATTCATTACATTACATTATAGTAGGTTCAATTTTCTTCTTTGAATTACTATTTTTTATTAATTAAAAAAACTTTTAAAAAGTTAAGTGATTGACTCAAGAAATAATAATTATGATATTTAGCGGAAGTAATGCATATAATAATGGTAATTATAATGGATCGATGTAGTAATGCATAACTGATTACAGAAGAAAAATTAAGATTTGATGATATATTGAAACAACAAAAATAATTAAGTCATGTAATTACATTACAAAATTAGAAAATATAAATACAACAATTTTCCTAATCCCAAGAATAAAAATAGTATCAGGAATATTTTTTTTTTCTTTTGAACAATACAAGTACTTACATTACACCATGGAGCATGAACATATCAAACGAATACATTATCTATTGTTTCACCACCACCAATTATGATAAATAACTGAGGTAACCATAAGTTTACAAACAAAATGTGATGAATAGATAGCGCTCTGTACATATTTGACAGCGAATTCAATAACTCAACCCTTTCGGTGAACGCTGGAAGAGAAAAAGATAAATTAAAAACTCAAAAAGCCATGAGTTTTGGAAACTCGGATTTTGTCTAAGAGGTGAGCATAAAAAATAAATGAAATGAAGATGGAAAGTTGGGGAACAAGGCGGACAGCAAAGCAAAACTAACAGTAACAAGAATAAGCAAAGTGGTTTTTGTTGGAGACGTAAGGAGAAAGGAAATTGGAGGATGAAGCATATGAGGCCGGAACCAGTATCTGTGTTCTTCCAGAACCAATTCTCTTTCCGACTACATTCGCATAGAACAGACCTGAAATTGCTGGTACGAATACATCACTCTCTGCACTTACGTAAAAGTCAATCACTTTCTCATATTCAGAATCTAGGAACTTTTCCTTTTTATCTGCCGGCATGATGGCTTCCTGCACCACACGAATCATCAACAAAAAATGGTTCAACTTTGTACAATTTCCTTGAAGATTGGATTACAATGGAAAAACAGTGTTAAAAAGTGTTGGTGTGTGTATGTGGAGGGAAAGTTGGAAACAGGCATATTGAGAGGGAAAGAAAATGCAAACACAACTCACCTTTGTATAAGTTTTAGGGAACAAATCCTTCAGAGAATCAAGGCTGCTATCCCACCTTGATTCAGTCACATAAACTGTGGTATCCTTGTCAAAACCAATCTTCCTCAAAAATACTGCAATCTCGTGTGCGTTGTAGCAGGTTTTCTCTCCGTCATTATTATCACTACCTTGGCAGCCCTTCTTATCCAGCATCTCAACCCTCAAGTCCACAGCTATGAATTTCCCATCTGAATTTCGGCTTAAAGTTCGTAGTCTTTCAATCATTGAGTCAACCAGTTCATGCATATCTGGCTGCAACTCTAAACTTCCAAACATTGCTAAGCATGCAACAGAATCGGTGTCACCTTTTTTCCCAGCCTTTCTCATATTTATTGAAGGGAAATAAGTTGCAAGCCTAATACTTCCTTTCGTTCTATATATTGGCTCAACATGCTCAGCTATGTAGTCTTCTGTAACTCGATTAGGGACTTTCACAGCAGCAATATTCCGTGTTGATATATGAGAAGGTAGCTCCTTTACCACTCTGACCACCCCTTCCATGCTTTTCAGGAACACATCCACATCATAAATATCCTCAAAGTTCCTGAGATTTCAATTATAATAGTTACAAACATGTACTTCATTGCACTCAAAAGTAAATTAGACTGAATTCAAAAGTGAGTTCAACGTGAGCCATTCATGAATGCCATATACAATTAAGCATGTTCAAATTGAGCTGCCTCCAAAGCTAGCTTGCAATAATAAGAATGGGGCTTGAAATAACAGATCTGACAATTGGTCCTTGTTTAATGAAGGGCATCAAGCCATTTGAAAAAAAAAATAAAAAATTAACCAACAACTTGGCCAAGGATTTCGGCCCAACCCTGGCTTGCCTCACACCTCAGATGGTGTGATTGGTTAGTATTTAGTATGTTAGGTACAACAAAAAAGTAAACCTTATAACCAAAAAAAAAGTACAGAACATGTGAAAAGTTTCTGGCCAGGCATTTCAGTCATGTGACTGATAAAAATGACAAACAGAAACCACCTACTATTCTGTTCCCCGTGATAATTACTTCCATAACTTGTATAATGTTTCATAATTGCAACACAAATAATGCAAGACATCCAGAGAAAGATTAATTAAAACAGTAGGAGAAAGGCTAAGATTGGTTTTTAAGAAAATATTTAGACCTTAATTATTTACAAACAACAGGAAAAAAATTCTTTCCCAGTTGAGAAATAAAGCTACTAAATTTCAGCTTATTGTTCATCAATAGTTTAATTATATTGGTTGATGACATGAAAGATGAACAACAAACATGGCAAGCAAAACAAGCAATAATATTATTGTTACTCATTTGAAAACAAAATAAGTCAAATTACCAGGGGAAAAAAACCTTCTTGTGACCAAGCTAGGCAGGGGTTAAAATATGGAGAGTTGATCAAAATAAACATTTTCATCCACAGATTCCTCTACCAACTATATCCGTAATCTTTTATATAGTGAAATTCGACACTAACCTCTTGTCACCAGGTTGGCTTCCTCTTATGTCAGGTATCACAAGTGTTGCCCCCAGACTTCTAGCAACAATCACTGCATCTGCTATCTGAACAATTCATCACTAGAGTATTAGAGAATATAGGGAATAACAATAATTGAAATTACATATTTGCAGGGATATCTATCATGATCTCACAGCATAAAAAGCTATGCGGCAACGAATAAAGAACTAAGAATTATAGATGCTAGTAACTAGCAGCAGCAGCAGTCAGGAAATGAAAGGAAGAAAAGAAGAAGGCTAAGCAGTTTTTCATCACTGAAAGATGTGCAGCACGAATATGATCCAGCAATTGGTGAATAAGTAAGGCAGAAACACAATGATTGAGTAAGTTACCTGAGAAATATGGTATTCCGGGCCATTGGTTAACGCAAAATTAACAAACCCTTCAGTCTGCTCCGCATCATCTGCAGCCATGACCCATCATAGTATAAATTAGTAAAGACAGATTTGAAAGTCTAGTTGCTAGTATATGATATTATGATGTATGTTACTTAACAAGTTGAAAGGCTTAAAATAAAATGTTCTTAGTTCTTACCTACAGAGGGCTTAGCCCAACACGGTTTTAGGCCATCCACATCTCCCTTCCAAAGCCCTATATTCTTTCTTACGTTACCTTCAAACTTTGCATTCTCAAAGTTGGCATCCCCCGATACTCCAGGAAGTTTTTCCTTTATAGTAAAAAGTAAACTAATCAATTAGAAAATAGTTGGAAATGCTTTCACAGAGTAACTGAGAAAGAATATTCATTGCTTACTTGGAGGGAATCGAAGTGGTCTCTTTTGATCATATTTGCAAGCATGACGAACATTGTGAGAGTGAGGACACCTGCCACCACTTGTCTCAAATCCACTCCCATCTCCAAAAATGGAATCTTCAACTTCCAACTTTCAACTTTCAAGACATGCAAAAGAGAAGATGAGAAGAGAAGATAAAGAACTCAATCTACAATGCCATACCAACTTCCTCTCTTTCTAATTATTAAGAATTCATTCTAAGTTTTTACATCACCGACACTCTTCCCCAACACTATCATCTCCTGTCTCCCCTTTCCTTTTCTTTTCTTTTTTGTTCAAATATCTTCCTTTCATTCCGTCTTTAATTTCAAAGATTTTTTCTTCACATATATGTATGAAAAAATAATAACTAAGAACAATCATTGTATACAATATTAAATAAAAAAAATATTTAATATTTCAATTATATAACTATTTTTAATCTGGGCATGTTCCTACAAGTTTGGGAACTGAGTTTTCAAAACTTGTTCCCCATCAATGTTAAATTTTAATCTAACCGTTATACTATATATAAGTTTATAAAATTTATATAATTAAAATTTATGCAATATTTTATTTTACTGCTTTATCTTATCATATAATATATGATAAAATTTATATTATTAGATTTTATATTTATAAATATTTAAATTATCTAATATTTATTATATAATATAATGATTTAAATAATATTTCATGGTTTTATGGTAAGATAAATAAAATTTAATATTTTAAAAAATTATTAAAGTGTATTTTTATATTAAATTTAACATTTGATATTAATTTTAAAAGTACTCATAGACTGGATTGGATTAGTTTTATAGGAAAGAAAATATTAACAAATTAAATTTAATTAGCTTGTGTTGGGTAGATTTGTTCTATTAACTAGTCTGGTCTAACCCCCCATTAAATTTGAGTGTGAATTAAATTAAAAAATTTAGCTTAAATATAAATATTTATTATTTTAATTTTTAAAATAAATTATAATAAAAATATGTAAATTAAAAATTATATTAAACACACATAATACACGAATGTGTATGTAAATTTTAGAAAAAATATTAATAAAAAAATGAAAATAATAATAAAAAAAAGCTAGTTCAAGTTGATTTGGATACTTAAATTTGAAAGCACATAATTCGATGCTTGATTTGATAATAATTAGATTACACTTCTTATGATTTGATCTAACTCAAGTACGCAAAGTAACGTACTTTTTAGTTTGAAATAAGTTGGATTAAATTCATAATCACCCTTACTAATTGATTATGTCACATAAATTGAATCAGGATTAATTGATATTAAAAGATATATTTTGTAATGTAGCATTTAAAACTTTTTATAAAATAAAAAATTTATTGATTCAACTATTAAACTTAAAATTATTAAGAAAAAAATAAATTTATCAAATTTTATATAATTTAAAAGTTAATTAATATTTTATCATGTCATTTTAAAATGTAAATAAATATTCACTCTTAAATATGAATCTTTAAAAATATTTAAATTATATAAAATTTTATGTACATAACAAATAAAATAGTATTACATAATTCAATAATAAGATCACAAAGCTTACTTTTGTAGAAAAATAAAAATATTATTTTAAAAAGTTTTATAGTTAGTGTCGATCATATGTACATGAGCGAGAGACATAGTACACGTAAAAATGTAATATATTGTAAATTTAAAATAAATTACTCGTAACGCGTAATTAGAAGTGCGTTAAAAATTATATAGATGCTATGTTCTGATATTACATAACTTTATTATAGTCAATTCCAAATTTTAAAAAAAAATGTTTCTCTTTTGAACGACAAAAAATTGAAGGAGAAAAATTGACTATTGAACTAATGGCTTGTATTTCCATAGTGAAAAAAGAGTGTATTAATTAATTAATTAATTAATATAGAAGATGGAATGAAAAGTTGCATTCGGTATTTGTTATTTTCATATTGGTAGGTAAGATATCTGATATCATATCATATCAAAGCTATGATGCCGTATTTTCATTTTTCTGTGTGGTTTCCGACTCTATAAAATCTTCTTTTTTTTTTGTCTAATTGAGATAATAATAATAATAATAATAATAATAATGTTATTTTAATTTCATGATACATTATCACAGCAAAGAATAACTTGGATTGGTGGAATGTAAGCGTCAATTGATATTTGATATTACATTAATTTAAAATTTAAAACGATTAATTAAGATAATAATGGAAGGTGGGCAGTATGATCAAATCGTGATTACTGATTACCATACCAGTAAGGGAATTAATTATTCTTTTATTTTTTCAATAGACAGATAAAAATTATAAATCACTTCCACGAAAATAAATTTAAATTGTTTATTCTAATTATTTACCCCACAACCATTATATATATGGGGAGTAAATACTTTCAAATAATCAAGTAAGGAGAGTTTTTCATTAAATAAAAAAATAAAATAATATTGAAAACGAATAAATGAATAAAAATAGTGCACTTTTAAAACAAGTTTTTTTCCCTTGGCATAATGTAATTTTCTTTACGTGTATTAGAAGTATTTTTTTAATCAATAATTAAATTAATCTCTTTAAGATTCAGCGTTTATTAAACTGAAGTTTTTGTTTTTTGATAGAAAAAAAATCTATGCACAATAAAAAGTATCGAATAAAAGAATATAACTGTAAAGGTGTATGTACTGTAAGAATATGCAGAGTTTATTCATGTTTTTTTATTAAATATATTATGATTCTTATTATTTTAAAACGAGGTAATTTTCTTATTTTCTTATCAAATGAATAAATATTCATTTGATATTATTTATGTAGATTGATTATTAAAAAAAAATATATAAATAAACTTAATATATTATTTATAACAATTATAAATTAATAAATAAAGTTATGTTATATGATATTAAATTATATTGTATCATGTTAATTATTGACTATGATTATTCTTAACCCATATTGAATATGGGAGGGTACGGTATTCGCATCCATCTCTTTTAATGTCATCGTCACTGATGAATGTTATAATGGCGATGCAGCTTCCTATATAAGATGCATCATGCACCATAATTAGAGGTTAAGAGATCTTTTTCTGTATTTACTTTACTTTCACATTATTTAAGCATGCAATTGGTTGAATTTCTTTAGAAATGAGCCTCATCCTTTCCATGTGTTCCCCTTCTTCCATCAAGAGCTTTAACAGGACCTCTTCACAAACTTATTGTCATACCCAAATCGAGCAAGTATTATTTTTCTCATATTTATGATAAACGTATAAAATATTTAAAAATTAAGTAAAGATAATAACGTAATTGAAAAAATTATTAACTTGAAAATTTATAAAATTGATATATTTCGCAATAACTAGCTGAGATTTGACTGTTGATCTAGTATGTGTAAGGCGTATTGAATGAGAAATAAAAGGAGTTAAGGTGGATGAATGCTTAAATGGAACTAACTTGAAGGCATGGCAAGTTTGGGTTCCTTCTTCAAACTCCTTTAACGGTCATTCATTCCGGATTACTGCAACTATTATACTGATTTTCATTTTCTCTTTTCTACTGAGTGGAAGATAATTAATTTACTACTTGTACAATCATATCTTACATGAAGTGAAAAGTGGATGATGACGGACACAAAATATGTTCCAATCGCTGGCCTAGCTTACGTTTTCATTTAATTTCATCTTAATTATTCTCATAGCCATGACTTAAAAGCAAGACTTTTGAATATCACTAGTTAATATGTATGTCCCTTCATTTGAATGCATTTCGTTGGGATTAAGGAAGCAGGAAGGATGAGAAGGTGTAGGTCAAGGTGAAGAAGGTCTTGGTATTCAAATTAAACAAGACAGCGATGATAAAATAAGAACAAATTAATAGTATGTTAGTTGTGCAATGCAATGGGCAATGGTACACCAATTCAAGGAAGTTCTAACGCTTGGTGGTTGTTTGGTTTGCAAGTGAAGTTTGGTTTGAAGACGCCTTGTCTTCGTTTTACTTTGTCTGTTGGGTTTGGTGAAACAAAGTAAATGGACGATGCAGAAGAAACCGACAAAGAAAGTTTCTCTTTTTTCTTTGACCCAACTTAACTTCTCTTAAAAAAAGCCTAACTTGTAATGTTAACGGTCATCAAAACATTTTTGAGATTGCTACTACATCTGCTGGTGGCTGATATGGAAAACATAGAGAATCTTGAAGCTGCCAGGAAGTGCTTGCGAACCGGCTTAGAAAAATCAAACCATATTGCTTCTGCATTAGATGAATCAGGATCAAGATTGGAGCTGCTTAACCAAAGATTTCAATCCTTGGAAGATGCATTTGGAATGCAAACGTGCTCACATTTTGACATTGGAGACCGCATGGACAGTGTTCTTTGCTCTGCAGCTGCAGTCCTGAGAGTGTTTGAAGCTGTTCATCAGCTCAAGAATTCTCTCTTGACTGACCCCACCTCTGATCTATGTTCGTTTATCTCACGCACAAAGAAGCTTGAAGAAGCACTGAAGCTTCTCACCGGTAATTGCAGGCTGACACTTGGCTGGCTGCAGGAAATTTTTGAGTTCTTAAAGGACAATGCAATTGCTAACGAGCATTGCCTATTGGATGTGAGGAAATCTTTGAGAATACTCCAAGAATTGGAGATCATGGAAGAAGGTGCTCGCCATGATGGAGGCCTTCTCAGTTCTTCCTTTGACAAACTAGAGATTGAGTTCCACAGGCTTCTGAAGGAGAATACCATGCCTTTTCCTTTGGTCTCATTAGCATCATCCATTGACCAGCATGGCAACGTTACCGCACAAGCATGGCCAGATTATGTCACAGGGAAGTTGCAGGCCATTGTCGAGAGATTAAACAATGATAGGCTAGATAAGTGTAAATCTATATACGTTGAAGTTCGAGGTATGAATGCTCGAAAAAGTGTGGAGACTCTAGATTTGAGTTACCTTGAGATGACAACTGCTGAATTTGAGGATTTACATGTCATTGAGAGTTACATAGAGCAATGGGGCTGGCATTTGGAGCTGGTTGTGAAGCACCTGCTTGAGATGGAGTACAAGTTGTCTAGTGATGTCTTTGGGAAAATTGGTGCAGACGCATGGATGGGATGTTTTGCTAAGATTGCCATTGAATCAGGAATTCTGTCTTTTCTTCAATTTGGAATGAATGTTTCCGAGAGTAAAAACGAACCCATCAAGTTGTTGAAACTGCTGGACATATTCCGAGTCCTAAATGGTCTACGACTAAAATTCAACCAGCTTTTCAACGGGAAAGCTTGTGAAGAAATTAGAAGTGTGACAAAGGATCTTATCGATGCAGTTGTGAATGGTGGCAGTGAAATATTCTGGCAACTTCCAGCACAAGTTAAGTTGCTAAGGCCAAGTTCTCCTCCTACAGATGGCAGCGTTCCTAGGGTGGTTAGCTTTGTAACTGATTACTGCAATCAGCTACTTGGGGATACTTATAGACCACACTTGAGGCAGGTTCTAGAAATCCATCTTAGCTGGAGAAAGCAAGTATATGAAGAGGGTATTGTCTACACCCAAATGTATAACATAATTAAGGAAACTGCTATTAATTTGGATGCTTGGTCAAGGGCCTATGAAGATATCACTTTGTCTTACCTTTTTATGATGAATAACCACTGCCATTTCTACAATTTGCGGGGTACTGAGCTTGGGAATCTGATGGGAGATTCTTGGCTAAGAGCTCATGACCAATACAAGGACTATTATGCAGCACTTTATTTGAAGAATAGCTGGGAAAAACTGCTACCTATTCTTGTAGTTCGAAAAGACTTGCTATCATCATCCGTGACTGCCCAAGATTTGGTCCACAGACTAAAGGCTTTCTATGCGGCATTTGATGAAAGGTATAGGAAGCAAGCCAACTGGGCAATCCCTGATGAGGTATTGAGGGAAAATATATGCAAGCATTTGGTGGAAGGCATTGTACCAACCTATAAGGCCTACGTCAAAAATTACAGCTTGTCAATAGAAAATGATGCTAAGGCTGCCAAACATATAAAATATTCAGCGCAGAGTTTGGAGAACATGATTTGGTCTTTGTTTCGGCCCAAGCTGTGCATGGATCGGAGAATCAAACAACCAGAGTTGATCAGTAAAATACAAGTGAGCAATCAATTTCGTTCCACTCTTAATGCACTGTAATTGGGTACTCCTTTCACTTATCAAATGAAAGTTAATGTACTAATTAGCACATTTCAAACATGTACAAAGATATAAACCATTGGCTAATAGGCCATCATTTCGCACAATGTCCAATAACTTATTACTTGCCGTGTGCGATGTAAAACTCCTAGTAATCTTAGAATGTCTAAGGCAAACCGTAGGACGAATTCTGTACACATACAGTTTCATTTCAATCCACGCATTGCCTAACTGTCTTAATCCATGACAATAGAGAAAATGAGTTAGAGAGAGTATTAAAGAGTGAAACATAAATGATTACATTATTAGAAAAAGGTAAAAAGAAAATTATTGAGTCGATAAGTAAGTGATTTAAAATGGAGGTTATTATCATTATAAATTGCTGATAATAATATTGACATATGAGGCAGAAAACATATTTAAATTAATGGAGCAAGTCATATTGTTTTAATACAAATGGGCTAACTGTGGAACGTCTCCAAGTTCAGTGGTTCGTTTCTTGTTGACGATTCCTTTGAGTTGTCTGTCCCATGTAAGGCAAATTTCCTAATATATATTATGTGTACTTGTCTACTTACAACTTTGGTACTTGCTAGATTTTTAAGCCTTTACTTTCCAACTCTACGTGTGTTTTTATTGCAAGTCAAAAGTGAGCACTGCGCAAAGGAAAAAGGTAAGGTAGGTATCATCCCATCACTGTTTTGTTTTTTGTTTTTCCATGGATATCATATCACTCTGTATGAACGCAATTTCAACAATTTAGCGTTAGATGTGCCCTCCCGCGAACAGCAAGTGCCCAAAAGTCAAAACACTTGCTTGTGTTCAAATTTTAAGAAAAGTGTTACATGTGTCCTCGAATTATATACTTGATATAAAATAAAATAATAAATTACAAACATTTTAAAATAAATAAAAAATTAAAAATTCATCTACCAATTTCAGTGAGAGTTTTTATGCTATATATGGTTTTTTTGTTTTTTGGAAAAATCTGCATGTCTGTCAGTTAAATGGTTCTGTTGTGCGATAATCAAACACATGGAGAAATATAGTTAGAGAATCAACACATTGAAAAGTATTTCGCCACTAAGATTCAAATGGGCACAACTAGTATTCGTTACTTTTAGCTATAGCTTGCCTACGGAATTTTCCCCTACATTCTGCATCGCCAAATTCATGATACATACATAAAACGCATGCACAGAGACTCAACCAAAATACATGCTACAAAACAGCTATCATAATTCATGATCATAGATACAATTAAGAAACATTTTAAAATCTAGCCCTTTGTACTTGTTGTCCGCGGATTAGCATCTGATAATTGGTTGGTAACATCTCTCATTGTGGGTCTCTTGTGTGAATCCTTCTCAGTGCATCTCAAAGCCACCATAAGCACTTTAGTAACTTTTTCCATTATATGGGAATCTAGAAATTCCTCTGCAAGGCTTGAATCAGCAATTTGATTAATTTCTCCCGTTTCCCTCCACACAGACCAAACCCAACTCACTATATCAGTACCCTCCATGAATGAGGGATCTACTGCTTTCTTTCTCGTTATCAGCTCAAGCAAAACTACCCCGTAACTGTATACGTCAGACTCCCTGCTATTTGCTGTTGTATAAGCATTCTCTGTCACAAGCCAATGTAAACATGTTAATCCATATCAGAATTTTGTAAGGGAAAGCAATATCCAACCAATAATAAATGTGTAAGAGTTACCTGGTGCAATATAACCAACTGTACCAGGCACAGAAATGGAAGGATATGAAGTAGAAGACTGATCCAACAGTTTGGCAATACCAAAGTCAGCAATGTGAGGCTCCATATCAGAATCCAGAAGTATATTCTTTGGCTTGATGTCTCGGTGCACTATGGGAGGATCACAGTCATAATGGAGATAATCCAATCCATGGGCAATTCCAATAGCTATCCTATACCGGACATTCCACTCTAAAGTTGGCTGCGGAGTCTTTTCATGTAAAACATCATGAAGGCTTCCATTTGGCATGTAGCTGTACAAAATTAGACCATAATCTTTTCTCAACCAAAAATCTTCTAATTTGACCAGATTTCGATGCCTAATCTTCCCAAGGGTTTGAATTTCCCTGACCATGCTCGGGTTCTTACCTTTGCTCGCAGCAAATCCTAGCTTTTTTACAGCATAAGCTTTGTCTGGACCTATCAGGGCTTTATAAACAACTCCATGGGCTCCTCTGCCAATAATATACCGATCATCTAGGTTTTCCGTAGCCTCCATGACTTTGTTAAGAAGGGACGAAGAACCCTCTTTAGCAGAGATATGGACTTCCTGCTTAGATTTTCTGCCAAAAGAAAAAATATAAACTAATGCCAGCAACAGCAAAACAACAAATATTGAGGACCCAAGCGCTATCATCACAATTTCAACTTTACTGAGGCCTTTCTGTTTAGTTGATTTATTTTCACATTGCTTTATGTAGCTGCTTTCTGTGCAAGCCAAGCCATCTGACGGTGAACAATTGATACATAGGCCAGGATTACCCAAAAATGATGACAAGGGAGAATTGAGCAACTTCGTTAGCATCTTTGGTACAGGACCGTAAAAGGAATTGTATGAAATATTGACTTCAACTAATGAAAGGAGTTCGTCAAGAACTTCTATGCTTCCTGTCAAATTGTTCTGAGATAGATCCAGTTTTTGCAACATTTTCAGTTTTCCAATCTCCACAGGGATGTCACCTATCAGCCCATTAGAACTTAGATTCAAACCATAGTCCAAATTCTGCAATGCTCCAATGGATCCGGGAATTCTTCCTCCAAACATATTGCCACCAAGTTGTAGTTCAGAAAGCTTCTTAAATCCCGACAAGAACGCTGGGATGCCCCCGCAAAAGTGATTCTCACTTAAAATTAAAGCACTTAGTCCTGTCCAACTCTGTAAACTTGACGACAATGAACCATTTAGGAAATTGAATCCAACATCAAACCTGTCCATATTGGTACAGTTTGACAGTTGAGAGGGCAAAGGACCTTCTAAGTTGTTGTGAGCAAGATTCAAAGTCCTAAGATTCACAAGGTTCCCCAGCTCAGAGGGTATAAGCCCTGAAAAATTGTTTGTGGACAAGATCAAGTCAGTGAGATGTCTGCAGTTTCCCAAGCTTGATGGAATTGCTCCATCGATTTTGTTATTGCTGATGTCCATATATGCGAGGTTCGGATTGCCTTTAAAATTAGGAAGAGGTCCAGTAAAATTATTTTGTTTAAGAATTAACCTTCTAAGAGTTGGACAGCTTCCAACATCAGGAGGTATGGTGCCTTGAAGTTGATTGATGCCCATATTCAGGATGCTTAACTTCTTGCCAAAACACAGATTTGGTGGAATGTTACCACTGAACTTGTTATTTGTGAAGTCCAACTGTAATAAACTGCTGTTAATTCCCAAGCTTTGAGGTATGACTCCAGAGAAGTGGTTGTCAAACAATGAGATGTTCTTCAGATGCTTGAGCTCTGTCATCTCCAAAGGCAATTCTCCAGAAAGGCTGTTGTTATACACTAGGAGATACTGAAGACCTTTAATCTTCCAGATGCTAAGTGGAATCTCACCGGTCAGTTGATTGGAAAACAATTCAAGATCCTTTAGTTCACTTAGTTTTCCCAGTTCACTTGGAATCTTTCCCTCAAGTCGATTGGAATACAAATGTAACTCTTCCAAGGACTTGCAGTTACCAATTTCTGGAGGTATTCTTCCAGTTAAATGATTCTCAGGAAGGCGTAGAAGAGAAAGCTCGGTGAGCAGGCCTATGGAGGTTGGAATATTCCCAACTAAGTTGCAGTGGACAGCTCCAAATTGTGATAAACTAGTACAGTTCCCCAAGCTTGAGGGAACGCCTCCACTAAACACATTGAATGAGAGATCCAAAAACTGTAAATTTTTACAACTCCCAGAACCCAATGGAATGGTACCTCTAAGACTATTTCTGCTGACATCTAAATAAGTAAGATCATTGAGATTGTTTAGACTCAGAGGCAGGACGCCCTGCAACTCATTTTTATTCAAAAACAATTCTTGTAGCTTACTGCAGTTTCCGAAGGATGAGGGAATTGTCCCAGACAAGTGGTTACCCTGAAGATACAACATCAAGAGCTGGCTCATGTTCCCAATACTTGTGGGAATGGAACCACTTAAACTGTTGTGAGACAGATCAACAAGATATAGTTGAGGGATTTGAGTCAAGAAATCTGGAATTTCACCGGTGAGTAGATTATAGGAAAGGCTTAGTATCTTGAGCTTGTGCAAGTTTTTGAAGCTGTGAGGTATCTGACCGCTAAGGTTGTTACCGGCAAGGTCTAAGTACTCTAGGCGACTACAGTTTCCAATTTCAGGTCCCAATTGACCAACAATTCCAGAATCAGTGAGGTTAAGGGAGACCACACGGTGGGTATGGTCACATCGAACTCCTACCCATGAGCATGGAGCGGAATGAGAGGGAACCCAGGTAGAGTTTACGAAATGAGGCACCAATGTCCAATGCTTCAAGAGTGACAAGAGAGCCACCCCATCGGAGTTTAGTGCAGAAACAACAAACAAGAAGGAAGAGAAGAAAAGAATGAACCTCATCATGGTGGAGAGAAGAGAAGGTTCAGAGGGTTGCAGGTTTGATTGCAAGAAAGTGAAGCATTGCAATGGGAAAGACGGTTTTGACTCACAGTTGAATATATAATGCCGAGAAACGTAAGAGGATGACAACACAACACAACAACAGCATTGCATTGAAGCCACACGGTGCTGTCTGTTTCATCTGTTATTTGCTTTCGCTTTCACATTCACATTTTCCCATTCCCATTCATTTTCTGCGTTTAAATTGTTTTCAATTCCATATCTTAACCACTGCCCTCAGACTCAATTTTAATTAGTAGTCGCTGTTGTCAATTGCCACTGTCACCTAATTCCTAACCATCAGCTTTCATTACTTTTTGTTAATATTAACACAAACTAATTCAATATTATAAAATTACGAGTTTTATTATATTTTTAAAATAAATATTAAATAAAATATATGTATTTGCATAAAATATATGTAATAATATTTTTGTTTAAACATAAAAGCTGATAATTTTTTAATTTATTTTATATTTATATTATCATCGATCTTATTTAAACAATATCAATTTATTAACACTAACAAAAATTAATTTTATATATAAATATTAAATTTTAGAAATATCTATGTTATTAAATGATCAAATTATTTACTTATAAATTAAATTAAATAATATATCTATTTATATATACAATAAAAATTGTCTTATTAACACAAATCTCATTATAGATGAAAATATAAAAACAATTTAATAATTAATTTATTTTTAAAAAAATTATAATTAAAAATAAAATTTAATTTTATAAATAAAATTAGATATATTATTGTATTGTAAAAAAATACATCAAATTAATGACTTATATATTGAATAAATGAATATATAATTATATGATTAATAAAAATAGTATTATTAATATAAATCTCATAATAAATAAACATACAAAATTTTAAAAATTAATACATTTAAAATTAATTTTTTTATAATTTAAAAATATTAATATTATTGTTTATAAAATAAAAGGAATTTATTATGTTATTTTTAATTAAATTTTAAAAAAATTCAAATTTTTAAATTATATTAATTTTAAATATCAATTTTTTACTGAGATAAAATTATTTTAATTCACAAATAGTACTTAAAGCTTACATATAAGCTTTATATCTTTTTATAACACCGCTTTAGAGATTTTTATGATATTTAATATAGTACAATTTATTGAAAGCATTTATTATTTTTATATTTATTTTTTAAAATATTAAATTTAAGATGCTATAATTTTTTAAAAACTTTAATACATTGACTATTTTTAATATTTTTATTAATTTATATAATTTAATTAAAAATTATAAATAAGATTGAAGTGAGTATCATTATTATTTTTGTATAAAATTATTCTAAGACAAATATTAAGAATACTAGTTAAAAAATTAAAAATTTATCAACGATTAATTTTAAGTATATAAAAGTAAAAAATAATGAATTATTATTATTTTTTAAGCTTAATAAATATTTTTTTGCTAAAATCTTATACCTGTTTAAAATACCTAAAATTAATTTTAAAAATGAATGTTAGTATTTTTAATAAAAAAATATAATGATATATTTCTTCATAATTTTCAATCCAGCTTTAACATTTTTTATGTTTTAAATATATTTTTAGTAGAATTCTTACTTCAATATGATATTAATTCTGTACAGCCATTTATTAAATATATATATTCATCACATTCCCATACACCTAAATAGTAACTGAATATACTATAATGCTTTGACGCGCGTTTGAACTATTTATGATTAAAAAATATAGATAGAAAGCTTATTGAATTATTTATTTTCAAAAAAATAAAAATGCACTTACTCTGTTCTGTTCACACTTTTTATTTAATTTTAATAAAATTGAATGAACATTTTATAAAAACGAATATAAGAAGGGAATGTGAATTATGATTTGAGTAATGCTTTTTCTCTTTTAAAATTTTTCTTACTAACATGTTATAAACAAAATATCAAACGTAAAATAAATATATTTGATGTCTTCAAAATATAAAAAATATTTAATATTTTCGTTATTTAATAAATAAAAAGATCACGTTCTTTAACGTGAGAAAGAGTAGCGATGTTGGTACAAATTAAAGAACCCAGCAAGAATTTTTAAAGACAACATTTCGGCTGCTGCAAATTCTATAAGGACTTATATATTTTATAGTTAATTTTTTTAATAAAAGATACAAAATCTAAAATATATGTAACTATATAATTAAAATTAATTTATGTATATATTTTAATGTATGTAACAATATATTTATATCGGTAATAGATGAGTGTTTTATTAGCATAAATCTTATAATAAAAATATATAAACAATATATAATTAATTATAATTGTTTGTCATGAAAACCACAATAAAGACTATGTTCTAATGTGTTCACACAATAATTTTATTAAAATAAATAATAGTATAAAAAATATACTATTATTTATTTGCTAGTTAATCTTATTTGAGTGACAGAATGTTAAATTTTATTAAAACTTGAAATTTGATTGATTAATGCATTTAAATTTACAAAACAAATATAATAAGAATATAACTTTTCCTTATAATTAAGTTATTCATCGTGAAATTGGAATCACCGTTGAAAACGATTTCCTTATCCGATGTTCTTTTCTGACACAGCGCAAGCGGAAGAAAGGTGAATAAAATTTAATGGTTTTTCTTCTGACAAATATAATTTGTTGGTTTTACTTGTACATCATCTCCCACAGATTCAGGTCAGTATGTGTGAACTGGGAAAGCTTTTCAATTGTGACACTGATAATGCATATTGTTGTTGGATGAATTCAATTGTGAATTTTTTTAGTCAAAGTCTCTTTTTCTGGAGCCAAATACCTCCTTACTTACACATTCATCCCCCAAGTCTTCAAGATCGTTATGCTTTTGTTCTTTAACCGCTCTCTGGCATGCACTATATGATAACTGATTCTATGCTTTCGGCATAATTGTTATTCTACTCATTTTTCAAATCAAATATTGACTATGGTAAGCATATCGGAATTTGCATAAATTATGGATCAATACCAGATGCTTTTCCTACTTTTCATTTTCATTTCTTTTTACCTGAACTCCTTACATATAAGATTAGAAAGGGGAATCTTGGTTTTCATTATGTCTTCCAACCTTGAAATAAATGAGGTCTGTCAGCTTATCTGATTTATTGGCTTACGAAAATCTGATCATACCTGTGCTGAAGAATATGATTCATGACTTAACATTTTGTACACAGGCAAGCTTAGGAACGTTTTCTTACCAGCTGGGATGGATCTTAATGATCTTAACAAGGTCTGGGAAATCAAGCCGCTCCAGAGAATCGGAGAAGATGAGGCGAGGAAGATTCTTCAAAAGGTAGCTAAGCAGGTTCAACCAATAATGCGAAAAAGAAAATGGAAAGTCAATGTTCTTTCTGAATTCTGGTACTTGCTTATCTACATCCCTTCATTTTATGTTTTAATGTTGTGCACTTGCATATCTGCTAGTATTAGTTTTCTAAAACTATAGAATGCAGTCCTGCAAATCCATCTCTTTTAGGGTTAAACATAGGACCGGGTGCTGAAATAAAGCTAAGACTACGAAGGCCTAACAGTGAGTGGGATTTCTTCCCGTATGAGCAGATTCTTGATACCATGTTGCATGAGCTTTGCCATAACGAACATGGTCCCCATAATGCTCAATTTTATAGTCTTTTGGATGAAATCAGGAAGGTAATGATGCTTTGTTCTCTGTCTATATATATTTGCTAATGCCGTCTATACTTAACTATAAATGCATTTTTCTAGTTCATATGATATTTATATTGCACGTGCTTTGTAATAGTATGTATTCACCCTGTGCATGGGGTTTTCAATTGAATTGAGATTTGAAGAATTTCCAATTTGGTAATACACTCACTAAACTGGTAATGCATTCATGGTTTAACTTGCCTATAATATAGATACAAAAAAGTAGTGTATTTCTAAGGGGTTCTATTAGTTATTACATTGAGTCCTAAGATCTTGTTTAAAATCGAGGTTCACACCAAAGTTATTCTGGCAGGTGTACCCATCTCTTTTCTTATTTTGCCTAATTGAAGACATTTCATGCTTTGATGAAATTAAAGAGAAGATTGTCATCAGATACACACACTGCCGCCTCTATCAAAAGTAGAATCCTAAATCTCATATGCTGTATTAGTAATAATATATAAAATTAGGACCTTGCTTGTGTTGACTCGCTATCTTTTTATATATGCACAGTTGCACACATCCTTGTTGGTACTTGGTATTGGTCAATGGTCATATATATAATTTGTATACTTAGTTCAGATCTTATTCAACTATAGGAATGTGAAGAATTGATGGTCAAAGGGATTAGTGGCACTGGGAAAGGATTTGACCTTTATGGGAGACGTCTGGGTGGGTTCTCGCAGGTACCACCTCTGTCATCACTTCGCCAGACCGCATTGGCTGCTGCTGAAAGCAGAGCACGTCATAGAGTTTTGCTTCCTTCTGGACCTCAGTATTTAGGTGGTAACAATAATATTAAGTCTGGTCTGAGTCCAATACAAGCTGCTGCCATGGCTGCTGAAATGAGACTGCATGATGACTTGTGGTGTGGATCAAAGTCTGTAGGGGGTGAGACTTATATGCAGGAGAATACAAGTTCTGGTGGACCTTCTGAGAGATCTATTCGAACTTCATCTACAGTGACCAAGGAAACATTTGAGGGAGCACAATGGCAGTGCAACACTTGCACTTTATTAAATAAGGTACATTTTGTTATGTTTGTATAATTATGAAATTGACAGAGTAAATAAAACAGTTACGGTTTTGACCTGATCTCATTAATTCATGTAATGTTAAATTTTTCTGCTTCATTGTTGTATTCAATACAAAAATGATGACCCTGTGAATTTGAAATTTTGCAATCAGCGTCATCCATCCAATTTCAGCATATATAGAAGAATGAAAAGGATCATTCAAATGTCATTTGTGCCTTAACTCTCATTGCATGGAATGATATTGTTAAATTTTGCAAGCTGTCTTGATAGATGAGGTGTCTGTAGGGTGATGTTTTTTGAGGACAAAATTGTTTCATGGAACAAAGGTCATTCTACCATAGTGATACAGTAAGTTGTTAGACGAGACCATGTGTTTTGTCAGCAAGTAGATGATTTAAGTTGAACAAACTACAAAGGTTACAGAAATACAGAATTCCATGGTCAAGGATATGTTGTGGTGTCAATTAGCTCACTAATTAGCCTATGAATGTTGTCAGCTATTGTGATTGTAGTGATTAGGACTAGGTAAGGTTCTTCCTCCTTCATAAAGTACAATAGTGTTCTTCCCCTGTGCCTTTAATTTGGAACCGGTATTTGAATCTATATTGATCAACAGTTTATGTGCTACACATGTATGATTGTCTACTGTATACAAAAGTTTGCCAACACATTAACAGATGCAGTTACTGAACTGAATGGCATCACTTGATTACTAACTATAAAAAGGAAATGGGTGATAAAGCTTAAATCTAGACACATACAAGAGTAATTGTATCAAGACAACTTTGTAATTGCAACTTCGAACTAATACGCTTGTTGTATCTTATTTTAAGTGGCTTATCTTTTTATGTTACACCCTGATTGGCATCCGTACAGTTTGCATATTTGTAATCCCAACTGTTGTATAACAGTGTAAGGAGCATCATTCTCCATATTTGTACTTTGTGGGTGTATTTTTGAAACGCCTTGTTGAGTAACATAATAAAAACAAGAAAGAAGCTTGATGAGTAGAGAATGTCTTTTTTCTTGTGACCATTTTGTATGTGATTAGGAAGCTGCTCATGGATTCGTGTATACCAGCATTTTCCTACATTGAATAGAAATGAATTTTGATGACTTGCTGATTGCTGTACTGCAGCCATTAGCATTACTATGCGAAGCCTGTGGAACAAAGAAGCAGAAAGATGGTTCCAAGTTCAAAGTTTGGTCTTGTAAATTTTGCACTCTAGAAAACAGTGCTGAGCTAGATCGATGCTTATGTTGTGGAGAATGGAGATATTCACACGGCCCGCCAGTGTCTGTCCGTGGGCCATACATTGGCACGTAACTGGGCGAAAGTCAACGAATCCATGTAAATATGCTGGTCATGTAATCGACGTGTTTGTACACCATGATAGCATGTGCTGTATGATGTTTTTGTGAGAAATTAGAAATATAATTTACTGGATATAGCTTGATCTATTTGTTTGAAATAGTCAAATTAGAAGTAATTAGTGAAATAAGAGGTAATGACTATAATGTTCGTTATTATCTCAAGAAATAGAGGGTGGCTGTTCGACGATATAAAATGGTGGGAACCGCTCATCCAACATGCCACATCATTCTATTGAAAAAAATATCGTAGAATTATTTTTGCTATATAGCATTTTTAATTTATTGTAAATGTTCTTGTTACCGAAGGGTTTTGTCTGTTCTTAATTAAAATATTCTAATCATAACATGATATCACAATATAACTGGATTAGGTGGTCGTTATATTAATAACCTTCTACATATCTTAAGGTTTCATTCTTTTAAGTTGCATTTTATATGGGGAATTGTGTTCACTTGTGATGGCTGCATATGTGATGAAATGGACATGTTGCATATGGGAGAAGGCACACCTGCTAGTGTGTGGCCCGAGACAAACTCAAAGAAGCAGAAATCGCTCTTCCACAATGGGGTTGCTCCTGAAAAAGGAAACACATGCAACACCTGGCCACAGGATCCTTCCTCTTCACTCATGTCAAACCCTTTTCTTCCTACTTCTCTCTACTAACTATCAACAGTGCTACAGTCATTTATCATAGATGCTCCAATTTTCACCTTTTGCATGGCTTAATTTTCATAGAATCTCAAAATACAAAACCTACATACATGGATGTAACGAGTCTTTATCTTTAATGGAAGGATGATAATGCGCTTCGAGTAACTTCAACAACGATAGAAAGTGATGTGCTTATATATTGATTTCTCATCTAATATATGCTGCTGTTTTATTAAAACAGCATCTTGTTTTAATTTTCATTTTATTTATCATGTTTTATTTTTAACTATTTTAATATTCTGCGTGTGTCGCTGGAGGAGTTTCAATCGCTACTAATTACGTATTCAATCTTTTTTATAAAAAATAAAAGACTAAATTACTAGAATAAAAAAATTAATTAATTCTGTTATATTTTTTTAAATATAAATTTTATTCTTAAAATACCTATAACATTAAATGGTGTAGTTATTAATTTGTATATTTAATAATACTAATAAAAAAAGAGTATAATTTTTTTTAGCAATTAATATATCTTAAATCTATCATTTATTTTTTATAATAAAAACTAAAAAAAAAATATTTCATTTTGTTTTTTATAAAAAGGATAGGAAGAGTATTACTTTTGGTTTCATAATTACACTAAAGAATTGTTATCATATTATTAATCTCTATTATTTTATTTTAGATTTAATTATTTTTTATTACAACGATTTCAAAAGCTTGTAATTAATTGCATCCATTAACTAAATTATCATAACTTTGTTAAAGGGAAGCTATGTGGCGATTTCATGTAAATAAAGATATGCATCATGGATATTTATCATATAAAAAACTTAATTTGGGATATCATAAACATGGTAGAAATGAAATTTGGTTCATTATAAAGATACTGTTCTTGCCAATGGTTGTGATGATACCTTATTTAACTAAAAAAATATTTATAAAATAATAATTAATTCTCTTAGGAAGAATTTTGTTTTATTCACATGATTCAAACTTGATTATATATTTTAAAAAGAAAATCAAATATATAGTAGCTACTGTTTTTTCGTAATGCATACATATTGGTTTATGTTTGAAAACTTTGATCCTCAGAAGAATAGAATACACCAAAAAGACATTGGATAAACAAATTGAATTATACTTATCTTACACGAAACCGGTGAAGTTGCTGGTGAATAGAAAAAGACATATATTAGTAATATAAATAATAATGATGAACGAAAAAGATAACGATAAAGGGAAGAGGTAAGAGGACGAAGAAAATGAGCGTAATAACTTGAGAAAAGGGGTTACTAATGTGTATGATCTAATATAATTTAAGAGATAGGAGGTGATAAGACACATGGGCGTAGATTTAGGAAGAAAAAAAAGTAAGATATTGTGGGCAGCATTTATTTAATTTAATTGGAAAACGAAAATGTAATGAGGATAGGATACGTGTAAGGCATTAAGAGTAATAATAATGATAAAAGAAAATTGAAAAATGGTTTTGAATAAAAGAATTGAAAATGGGGAAGAGAAGAGATATTTCGCAGAAGGTTCGCAGGTGTGACTTGCCATCGCATAGTTGCCGGCCATCGAACGCCAATAGGAATAGTAAAAGCAAAGGAAATGTCCGTCGTTAATTTTCTTTTCTTTTCTCTTCTCTTCTTCTTCTGGGTCGTGCTTTTTGTCTTACCCTAAATTGCAGCTACATAGAAAAGCAAGAGTTGGTGCTTTGGCTGTGAGCATAGCAGAGAAGAAGTTGATCCATCTTCGGTGGCTGCTGGATCTGTGCATTGGTTGTGGATCTGCATCCATAAATCAATCTATAGAGGTACAGTTGCAGCAGTGCCGATGGGTTCTGTAGAGGACAAGATAGACGTTGATTACGATGATGACACTCCCTTCTCCTCTTCGCCCTCCGCCTCTAAAGTTCACACTTTCAATTTCGAGACAAGCGTTGATTTACGCAAATCCTCCCTCTTTAACATTCTACGGATAACACGTTTCAGCAGGAGTATTTATGTGGTCTTAATCAAAGCAAAGATCAACATGCTCCTTCCCTTTGGTCCATTGGCCATTTTACTACATTACCTAACCGGACATCATGTATGCTTCCCTTAACCTTTCAACTATTAACACTTCGATTTCTTATTACTTACTATATTAGTGCTAATGGGCAGGCATGGGTGTTCTTCTTCACCTTATTGGGTATTACTCCTTTGGCGGAACGACTGGGTTATGCTACCGAGTAAGTCTTCCCATGCCTATTGCCTATTGCCTATTGCCTTATCACATATTCCTCTTTATCTCTAACACGCTTCCTTATTGATGCAGGCAGCTTGCCCTCTACACTGGACCAACAGGTATAGTTTTATTCTTTTTAATGCTACAAATCTCTGTTCTCTGTGTCGAGAACAGGTAGATTTTTCAATGTTACCACAGCTATGTTACATGACCTTATGACTGTGTTCAATGTTGACCCTGCCCAACTTTATTGGTTAGCACAATATGGTTTATGTCATGATAACATACAATCAAATATTTTTCCAGAATCATTAACATGTGAACGCGTACTCCTCTTTAAAGTAACTTTATCCTGGTTCTCTAATTTAATTATTTTCATTTTCTCTTCGTTTTATTTTCCTATTTATCATGTTATAGTTATTCCTTTTACGAAGGCTTGTTGTCCAAGTGCATCTAGTTCGTCCATTCAACTGACTTTTGCTCTCGTGCAGTTGGGGGTCTGCTTAATGCCACGTTTGGCAATGCAACTGAAATGATTATATCAATTTATGCATTGAAAAGCGATATGATTAGGGTTGTTCAGCAATCTTTGCTTGGTTCAATCTTGTCAAATATGCTTCTGGTTCTTGGGTGTGCTTTCTTCACTGGTGGCCTTGTCCACTACCAGAAAAAAGTACAGTTTTTTGATAAGGTACATATTTTGATCTGAATGAAAATTAGTGCATGTAATTGCTTCTTTTTGTCTGTGCTTTCTTGATGTCAGAGTTCACATTGTATTGGCCTTTGCAACAGGCAGCTGCTATTGTCAATTCTGGGTTGCTGTTGATGGCAGTAATGGGAATACTATTTCCTGCTGTGCTTCACTTTACTCACTCAGAGGTTCATCTTGGGAAGTCAGTGTTATCTCTATCAAGATTTAGCAGCTGCATAATGCTAGTGGCATATGCAAGCTACCTTTTCTTTCAACTTAGAAGCCAGCAAAATGTTTATAGTCCAGTTGATGAGGTTAGTTCTTTTGTCTCCAGCACGCCCTTTTCTTTTCAATCTTTAGCCTTGCCCCATATTTTTGTGAAGTATAATTATCAACTGTAAATTGTGGTCGATGGTGGAAAGCCAAAAAGATCCCATAAAATATGACTGATGACACTGTGGGCTAATAGCAGAAGCATGACGGATGAATTAAAAAAATATATGTATGCATGACATAAGCATAAAATCTCATAGCAATTAAAGACAAAGTTCCATGTCCACACGAGAAAAAGAAAAGGTGTTTTTGTTTGGGTCACTATATTCAAATATGTTAATTAGTTAAGCATCTTACTGAAAGAGTGAGTGGAAAATATTTTAAAAAATGGTGAACTGGGAAAAATGAGTGCATAGGCATCATGTGAGGGTTAGTAACTTAAGTGGAATTTTTGTAGACTCCTGAAGACAATGGGAAACCTTAAGGTGCTGGCCACAATATTTTGTTTCATCAAATCACCCTTGAACACTAATTGGTGTGGTTGCACTTCCTTTAAGACTTGTTTTTGGCATTGCATTTTGATTTTTGATAGATGACAACATGAGGGGATTGTTCTTACATTTATTAAAAAAGGAATTTTTATTTTTATTTTTTTTTAATTTTTTTTTTATGTTTTCCCTTTTAAAACTTTGTTTTTTTAGTTGGTCAGAATATTAAATTATGACATATCTTTTGGAATATGAAAAGTTTATGTGAGTGAACTTGTACCTATGGTATGCAGTTTTCTCTATTATTCAATTGTTCATTTACACTTAATCTCCACACTTTATAATGTAGGAAGGAGATAATGAAGAAAGTTCTGATGAGGAGGAAGAAATTGAATTAACTCAATGGGAAGCAATAGTCTGGCTTGCTATTTTGACGGCATGGGTATCTATATTGTCTGGCTACCTTGTAGATGCCATAGAGGTATAGCTATATCAGAATTTCTTGATCATTAGTTTCTATTATTTGTACCCGTGAAGTTTCTATTCTCATGGAATGTTAAATTTGAGCCTTTATATATTCTTCTTAATTTTTGTTTCACTTTGTTTTTAGTTTTGAGGAAGCTTAGATCAAAGAACATACTCTCACACACATCACTATCAGATCTCTGAATAAAAGTGATATGAAACACTGACCTATACTCCTATTATTGCTAATCAAGAAGGGTTAGGTGCAATGGTGCCATGGTGGTGAGTGAGTTGCCCAAGTTTGAACCTTAAAGAAGGCAATTGTTGGGAGGACCTCCTGGTTAGTTACTAGTTGTGACAGTGCTCAGGGGTTTAGTTTTGCAGCAATGCCTATGGGAACACCTCAGTCAAAGTCCAAAACCAAATAATAAAAAAAAATCATTTATACTAATAATTTAGGTCACATACAAATGTAATACAAGCCTAGCCCAACATCATTTAAGACAACATAACTTAGTAGAATAATGCTGTTTAACAAAATAACACCACTTAAAAACATCATGGGAGTAAAAACAACCACTTTCTACTAATTAGAACAAAAGTTGAGGACACCAAATTTTAGGAGTTAGGTGAAAAAGTGATGGGATCAGGTCATAAGGGATGGTAACCATTGATATTTCCTTGAAATTTTATGAATCAGGTGAAAAAATGAGAATAGATCTATATTTTAATCTACTAATTAGTTTTTAAATAGTGGTCATATATAACACTGACCTTATCCCCTTATCTGTAATAATCTGGATCAGGTGCCAGCAGTTCTAGACCAACTCACAAACACTTAGCGTAATGCAATTATATTATCCAACGTAGAATTCCCTAATTTTCTGCTGGAAATATATATGATGATTTTATTTTATTGTTTTTGTTGGACCAAAAAATATCACTATTGTTGTCCGTAAACATTGTGTCATAAGTTGATTCATTAATATATTGTGTTCCTTGTTTCTTGCAGGGAGCATCTGAGTCAATGAATATGTCAGTGGCCTTTATTAGTGTCATTTTGCTTCCAATTGTAGGCAATGCTGCAGAACATGCTAGTGCTATCATGTTTGCCGTGAAGGACAAGCTTGTAAGTGGCTTTCAACTTTCAAGGCCTACACTTTATTCTATGAATACCGTTTAATCTGGTAATGGATTTAATCTCTCCACAGGATATCACAATTGGAGTTGCTGTTGGATCATCTACACAGATATCTATGTTCGTGGTATGGCCTTGAACAATTATTAAATCGTTATTTGGGGTATATATTTACCACATCTTTTTGTGAATAAACTAAACTGGATTTCCCTGTCATTTTTGGAGTTAATTAATTTGAAATCAAATGATGGTCAATGGAGAAAATTGATGATTCTTATTTTCTTGAAAAATGTAGATCCCCTTCTGTGTGGTTGTTGGATGGTGCATGGGGAAAGAAATGGACCTGAATTTTCAACTCTTTGAGACTGCCACACTTTTTATCACTGTGTTGGTAGTTGCATTTATGATGCAGGTATGTGATTTCTTATTTGCGCCTAAGAGTTGTGTTGCTAGCAGTTGTTAATGTTCCCAACTTCGTAAGCAATTAAACCAAGTAACTTGTAAGTTAGTTCTCCGAGTGCAAAGCTAACAGTTCCAAAGTCTAATTTATTGAGGTAGAGTGAAAAATCACGAGCTTGTTTTTGTGGTTGAGTTAGATCTAGTCCAAATTCTAGACGAGCATTCGAAATGGGATGCTTATGAGTTATGACCCTTGTTCAGTCAGATTAAGGTCAAAGTTACTTTATAGTCATGTATTAGCTTTTATTGCAACTATTATTTGTGTTTGTCACAGCCATCTTTAATTTAACTTTTTCCTTGCAGGAAGGAACCTCAAATTACTTTAAAGGCTTGATGCTTATTCTATGCTATCTTATAGTTGCTGCCAGTTTTTTTGTGCATGTAGACCCTAAAAGTGGTGAGTTACTGAGAATATACTGCATATATTCATAGTAGACTTGTATTGTGAGGGAGAAGCTAGATGAATCTCCTGTAATTCTCTTTATGCCAAGTAAACTTCCAGCAACAACCATGCCTAGTCTTTTGTTTGATATGTCCATTACCTGTCTTCTCCTTATTGCTTCTCAAGATATGCATTTATTTTCTGTTAAACGGTATGAACTTCTGGACGTTAGAGTTTGGACCCTTTCATAATCTTGAGGCACCATCTTTCTAGTTTGTATGTGGTATACCAAGAGTGGATTTGCTAGTTCCACATGTCAGGAAAATAGTGTAACTTAGAAGCTTAAGAAATATCAAAATAGTATATTATTCTTGTTATCTGAAATTCGTATATTTCATTTTTGCCTGTTTGGCAGAGTCTAATTGCATGTTTGGTTCATCTAAATTCTGAGAAAATAATTGTATTTTTCAGAATCTTTCTTCGGAAGTTGAAAGAAATAAGCGATTATTTTCTAAAAGAAGTTAAAACAAACATGCACATTTCTTGTGTTTAAGCTGTGCCCGAGGATCAGGCTATTTGCTAATAGAAGTGAAACTTCTTTATGATTATGTTTTGAGGTTTATTTGACATATGCATAGGACTCATCGTAATGCTGCTCGTGGAATCTTGGTACAGGTGATGACTAATTATACAGTGTAGGTGTGGCAGCTGTCCGCGTTGCATTTCCTTACCACTTTATGTATCAGAAAGGTAGTAAGCAGGGTGTTTGAAAGGGTTCAAGAAAATTCTTCAACCTGCATTCAACATGACGTGGGAACCCCCCGAAGTGATCACGAGCAAACTTTACTGAAAATTTTCAGCCTTGTATTATATTGAATTTTGAGAGAATGTGTTGTCTGTATCATTTTTATCCTAGTTTTCATTCATTCACAATAAAATCTTGTAGCCTTTTGGCTCTCATATCGTCAATGAATCACGCTGAAAGTAACCAATCACTGCAAACCCTTTTCTTTTTTCTTTTTTCATTTTTACGGCGTCTATTTACAATTATGGAAAATATTAACATTATCTTTTGATTTTAAGCATTTTAGAGTAGTAAAATTTTATTGAAAAAGTTAATTATTTATTACATAAAGTTACAAAAGCATGATAAGTATTTTCTAAAATAAAAAATTTGTGTTCTTAAAATTAAGCTTAAAAGATAATGATAAGAAAATCGTACAATCATTAGACTATTTCGGTATTGAAATTTTGGAATGCAGACACTGTTGCCAACTTTTCAGGTGTGACTTTGCACTTTTCATATTTTCTAATATAGTTTATATTATGTATTATAAAGTTTAAGGCTTTAAATCTTGTGTTTCTTTCTCTTTCAGCGATAAGTTTGTTTTTTCTTTCTTCATGTTCTTGATCATTAAAATTATTTAATTAAAGATGACTCATTTTGATTCATTGAAATATTGATAACATTTAAGAATATTTGATTTTATATGCATATTTTGATTGCATTTAAATAATACATGAATTAAAGTCAGATTTTTCTCAATTGAAGATGCAAAGGATCCAGTGTATAAGTTTTCTTTCATTAGCATTAAGTTATCTGATCCGTGTTTTACCTTTTGTCTTTTGCTCTGCTTCAATTTATATTCTCTTTTTTTTTAGTTCTGGTTTTCTTCTTAAGGATTTTGTTTTTCTATTGACATTCTCTTTGAATCATTGTATATCATTCGTTTAAATTTGCTATTTTTGTGTTTGGAGCTTACTTCTGACGTGTGGATCTTTCAATATTTTAGTTATTGAGATGATGGAAAAATTCAAAAAGAAATTTAAGGAATTTAATGTGTATTTAAAATTAAGAAAGTCAAAATTGCACATAAATATTTACATTAAATAATATTAACATCTTAATAATAATATAAATATTTGCATTATAGGAAATTAGGAAGTATTCATCGGATTAAATTAATTCTATAAATTTGATAATTCAAATTAAATAAATTAAATTGGTTTGAATCGGTTGGGTCAATTGGTTCGTTTTACTTTAAATTTAAATGAAATTAATTGTATTTAATTTAATTTTTAAATTTAAATTTGTTCAACTTGAATTTAATCGATCACTCAATTAATTTTTAAAAATTTTAAATGTACACATTTTAGCCTTTCCTCTATTTTTGTCCCTTTTCCACTTATTGACTATCTTATCCACTATCTAGTATTTTGAGTATTTTTTGTCATGTTTATTGTCTAACAAGTTTGGATTGGTTTAATATTTATAAATTTAGATAAATATAAAACAATCAATTAAAGAATATAGTAATCATTGATAATAATTAATAATTTTTAAAATATAAAAATATAAACGTATTTGAAAATATTAACCTAAAAGTTAATATTTGTATACATCTCAATAAGATTCAAACTCAAAACATATTAATATCATAACTCAAATTCCATATTCCAAAAGATAAAAAAATTCCAACCAAATATATTTAATATATATATATATATAAAAAAATTATATCTTGATGCCACTGAAGGTGAAAGTGATTGACTGATTCAAATTTTTACAGCATATATATAAGAAAATAACACTCGTAACTTATACATGGTGTGTTGCGTACGAGAATATACGTATTAGTGATGAAGCCTCGACTAACACCACCTTTCCCTCTAACGAAAAATAGAATAAAATATATGATGATGTTGGGTTTTCAATTTGGAAGCTTTGCTCTAAGATCCTTACGCAAGATTTTGCCTGAGGGTGACTTGGGGATTGCATCAATGAAGAATACTCGGTTTATTCTTTTGTAAAACACAACCTGCATTTCAAATTACAATTGTGGAAAGTATACATCTTTATCCAGTAATAAACACACTTATATCTTAGCCTTCAAAATTAGGTGAGAACAAGTACACAAATTAGGTGGGAAGTGGATACGAGAGTTATTAAAACCTTGTTAACTTTTTCATAGATAGCAACTACCAAGTTCATATTCGATCAGGATTTTGTTTTCATTTTTCATTAGTCATGCTAATTTTTCTTTTAATAAAAAAAGTAGACGATATATTAAGAGAAAAAGACCTGTTTGGATATAAACTGCTTAATTTCGTCCTCGGTTGTATCGGTATGACCATTTGATCTTACAACAAATGCAACAGGTACCTCTCCTGCTGCTTCATCCTTCATTCTGAAATTTATGTTTAGGAATTTATTAAGATGTATGATGATGGAAGCGAATGTAAAATACGGCACACTTACGGAACGACAGCAGCATCAGAGATCTTAGGATGAGATAGAAGAAGGGCTTCTAATTCAGCTGGCGCCACTTGAAATCCTTTGTATTTGATCAATTCCTTCAGCCTATCAACGATGAATAACTCGTCGTCATCGTCGATATAACCGATGTCACCAGTGTGTAACCAACCCTCTTTGTCTATGGTTCTCTCAGTAGCTTCTGGATCATTTAGATAACCTAACCATGTAAACATGCATTCATCATTTTAGCATCACCGAGTCAATCAGTTGTTGCAAATCTTTTGTCGTTTTTCAAACGTGTTTTATGGTTAATAATTTACCCTTTACAGCCACTTAAGAAATAATATTATAATTTGTTGAGCCGTACGGGGAAGTAATAGTTTAAAGAAAATGGGGGAGTTTGACTGTGGGGACAAACCGGCCATGATCACACACACTTGAACCTTGATGAAAGCTGAAGACTGAAAAGTCCATTTTTGGACATAATGACGTCAAAGTCCAACTCCACTCTTTCAATGTTTGGCGATAAATATGCCAATCAGCACAACACCATTTGCTCCCCTTTTCAAAGGAACATGTCCCAACGCCCTTAAGTCTTGTTTGGACGGAAATCATGAATTCGAAGGTGGGTTATTTTTCTTTTTATAAATTAAGTTAAAAAGGAAAAATATTTTTTAATTTGATTATATTTTGAAGAAAAATAATATTTTTAAAGACAATGTTAATTATCAAGTATTGGAGAGTACCCTTCATAATCTGGTCGCCTCTTATGCAGATTTCACCGGACTGGTTGCGAGGTAAGGAAATGGCAGTTTCAGGGTCAACGATCTTCATCTCTGCATTTCTTACAACGGTTCCGCATGCACCTGCCTTTACATCCATCGGTTCCTTGGCAAATGCTAAGGACATCGTTAGCACAGGCCCTGCCTCCGTCATTCCGTATCCCTGCACCATTTTTCAAGATTAAACTGATAACATAAATAATGAGTCCATATTAGAACTAAAAAAGAGATCTTAATAAACGTAAAATTGAAAGTGAGTTTAGGTTAGGCCCTTGCGCATTAAATGTGGGAAAAGGAAGGAATGGTACCGTACCTGACCAAGTTTGGCGTGGGGGAATTTGGCACTGACAGTGTCTAAGAGTTCCTTACCGAGAGGAGCACCCCCAGACTTGAAGACCCTTATGGAAGAGAGATCGTACTTTTGAAGATCGGGAGACTTGGCAACGGCCAAAACAATGGGGGGGACAACGGGTGCAACACTCACTCTGTGTTTGTGAACCAGAGACAGCAACGCATTGATTTCGAACTTTGGCATTAGGAGAATGGCAGCCTTGGCTCTTAAGCCGCATAGCAAAACAGAGTTGAGGGAGTATATGTGAAACAGAGGAAGCACGCAGAGGATTATGTCCTCTGAGTGATAATAGAGGTTGGGATTCTCCCCATCCACCTGCTGTGCAATGCTCGTTACCAATCCCTTGTGCGTTAACATCACCCCCTTTGGCAGACCCGTTGTTCCCGACGAATACGGCAATGCCACCACGTCATCCGCTCTTATCTTAACCTCCCCAATGTCCCCGCTATCCTCACACAGCTGCGAGAAATGCATGTGCCCCTCTGGCGGAGAATCCACGAACACCAGCTTCACCCCCTCCAACCCCTTCACTTTCTCGTAGTAAGAGGCCTGGGTTATCACCACCTTCGCTTTCGACCCCTTTACTTGCTTGGCGATCTCCGCTGGAGTGAAGAAGGGGTTGGCAGCGGTGGTCATGGCCCCGCGATAAGAAGCGCCGAGAAAGGCCAACACGAATTCCGGGGAATTGGGGAGCAGGATCATTATCACATCGCCCTGTTGGACGCCCAATTGGCTCAGCCCCCACGCGACTCTGCGGGCGGTGAGCTCGACCTCCTCGTAGGTGTAGACGGCACCGGTGGGGGCATTGATGAGGCAGGGGCGTGAGGCGAATTGGGACAAATTCTCGAAACAGTATGCATGGAGGGGAAGGTGTTTGGGGATGTAGATATCGGGAAGCTTGGACCTGAAAATGAAATCCGTTTGGACAGCCATTGTTGTTTCTTGGAGAGAAAACAAGGAGGGGTGGGTTGATACAGAGTGTTGGGTGTGTTGTAATAATAAAGGATGGGTTGGTGAAGGGCAGAATGGGGATTAAAGGGATGTGGGAGGGACAGAGAAGAGAGTGAAATATGAAACTTGAAAAGTTGGTGAAGAGAGTTGGTGAATGGTGAGTGCGGTTTCGGCTTAATGGGGGTGGGAGTGGGACCAATTAAACCCTTCCTAGTCTCTCCCTTTTGTTTTTGTTATTGTTACGGGCTGGGCCTTTTACCTACCACCCATCTTCTAAGTGGACCTCTCCTTTCTCATCCTTCACCTACCATCATCAATCATTTTCTTTTTCTTTTTCCTGGCCCAATCCCATCCTGGGCCTTCCCTTTTTTCTTCTAATGAAAAGGAAAAAAATAAGTAAATACAATGGAAACCAGGTTATAGGGGACTTGCAAAATAGAGGGGGAAGCATAGATCTAATTTAGAAGAGTTATGGACCCCGAATGTCATCAGTTAACACTAATTAACGTACGTCCTGACGAATGAGATGTAGACTTCATTTAGATTACCTACGGTTTTATTATTGTTTAAAGTTAAAAATAATATTCAGTTTATTAAAAAAAATAAGCTAATGATCCCGTGACCCTGAAACTATTTAACATATGATAGCAAATCCCACATTTGTCTCGAAAATATGTATTTTTTTTAGCTCTTTTAAAATGAAAAAAATATGTAAAATTCTCAATTTTTGGTTCTACACCTTTCATGAGCCAAGTTTTATTTTCAACCACCAATATGCACTTTTGACATAAACTCATTGGATTCTCAGAGCCGGTAAAAACTTATTGGATTCTTCCCTAACTACAGAAAAATATACGCCCTCTCCCATCATGATTTGGAGTTTTAAATGGGTTTTAGTTGCGTGGGTAGTATTACTCTTGTCAATTTTAAAATTAGTGATTGACCTTTTGCCATGCACCCTCTCTCTATAATATCGCCACCCTTCTTTTCTCTCAAGTTAATTATATTATTATCTTTCATCTTATGTAAGCAGTTATAATTGTAGTGCATTTTCACAAGTCAACGTTGCTTTCATCGAACCGCTGCCCCATATATACACACACACCACGAAGAAAAAAGCAGCTGCATGCTTAGATGGACTCAACAACTACGTTGTTGTTGCTGTTCCTTCTTTCAGCTTCAGTTTGTTGCCATGGTTCTATTATCGTATCCAAGGATGGGAGTGGAGATTATACAACGGTGGGTGAAGCCATTTTGAATGCTCCGGACTTGAGTGACAAACCTTACACTATTCACGTTCGACAAGGTACTTATGAAGAGTACGTAGTCATTCCTCCTGAGAAGACTAATATTAAACTCGTTGGAGATGGACCTCAACACACCAAAATAGTTGGCTACCAAAACGGTTTCACCATAGGTACGCTTCGTGCTCCACCTTTTAATTTGATTTTATTCTTCTTCTTAATTCTTCATCCCATTCCTATCTCTAATCTTTAGTGCTGGTTAATATTCATATCGTAACGATTTCTTAATCATGAATAGTATGTTCAGAGTCAAAATCCTTCGCCGTTACGTTTCCAGTATTCTTCTTGTATTTAACCGCATAGTTTGGTATTGAAGTATCTAATTGGCTAACCAAAAAGTAAAAACACGAATATGCTATGTTTTTGTGCTAACATATACATTAATTAACACGAGTGTTGTCAAAAGGAGAAAAGAAGAGAGTTTCTTGCAAACTAGTAGTTGGAGCGAGAGAAATCTAAGGTCAAGGGGCTCTGTAATTCTTTCGGCAGGATAAGTTGTTTATGAGAAAGTAACACTAAGAGCATGTTTGTTTCCCTTTTTAAAATAAAACGCAATGCAAACATACTCTAACTATCATATTTTAAGTTTTTGCATCCCCGCTAGCTCTCTAGACTACATAGTGTGGCTGGAATTCATAATAAATAACGCATAGAGTTCTTTGGGCACTACTTGAGATTTGTTCGACCTCGAATCAGAGAAGGGGAATTAATGAGTAACTATACACCAAAGATTTTATGGCAACAAATATGCATGAAATTAACAACATGCACTTTATTGTTGATCGATCCTTTGATTCAACGAGACTAATAGTATTTAATTTTCTTCTTTCACGTTAGCAAATAGCACAACTTTCTTGCATTGATAATTGTATTTGAAGCATAAAGTTAAGGGCCGGAGGGGCACGTTATACTATACCCGCTTGCAAATTAAAGAATGCAGATGTGCGATAGATTACAGATATGTATACAAGACGAGAGGATATTTGGTGAATATATTAATTAGAGTACTGACTTCGAACTCCAGAATGTAAAAAACAAGTGCCAACGCCCAACGACGACCTTAGACGTAGTACACAGTTAACCTAACAATATATTTTTATATGGGCATTTGGCAACCTACCAGAAAAATAATTCTAACCTAATTGGTCATATCGGTGTCACTGTGACAGAAGCTTGTGGTTGCTGTATTATTGAGTCAAATTCTAGACGTATTGAGCATAATTTGGCAATAAAGAGCTCGAGTGTTAGGTTTTTTACTGTGCTTATCGTCATCATAAATTTGTTAGAGTTTTCACCTAATTTATTTTGTTTCACGAGATTCTTTTTTTGAATGAATTGGTGTTTCGCATATACACATGACTTTAAAATAATATTGGACGATAGGATGTCGTACTAAATATATGATTTAATCACGTAAGGGTAAGGTCCTTCATATAGTTGTAGTGTGTGTGAATGAAATGTAATTGGCGAAAAGAATTGATGGATATTTAATGTATTGATGAAATTAAAATGAGTCAGATATCCGTGGAGAAGGGTTCATGGCAGAAAACATGGGATTTGTGAACTGGGCAGGGCTAAACGCAAGCGCTGCAGTGGCGGTTCGGAACGAGGCGAACAAGAGCGTATTCTTCCAATGCTCCATCGAAGGATTCCAAGACACGCTGTGGACGGTTGCGGGGCGACAATTCTACAAAAACTGCGACATATATGGCACCGTTGACTTCATCTACGGCGACGCAGCAGCAGTGTTTCAAGACTGCACGGTGTACGCGCGTTATCGCGAGTACGTGACGTTCACTGCTCAGTCACGAGACGACCCAAAGGAGAAAACAGGGTTCACATTCCAAAGATGCAAGTTCACTATGTCCCCTGAGGACTCCCACAGAAAATCAGAGGTCCATGCCACCTTGGGCCGTCCCTTGAGGCCCTATTCCACAGTGGCCATCTTACAGTCTTTCATTGACTCCATGGTGGACCCTAAAGGTTGGGAGCCCATGCCCCACCAGCCCACTGACAAAGCCTCCTACATCGAGTTTGAAAATGTTGGGCCGGGCTCAAATACTGATCAAAGAGTTGACTGGCCCGGTGTTAGACTCCTTCACTACCCAATCCAAGCAGCCCCTTTCACTGCTTCCCGTCTCTTGGACGCCGACTCTTGGATCCCCTCCACCGGTGTTCCCTACGATAATGGACTCTAGTCCACTCTTTTTCCACCCATGTTATGTTTCTCTTTAATATTTATTATCATTTGTAACCAATCCAAATTTCCAAAATTGCTTTAATCTCGTAACATTATTACCGTTCAGCTTTGTTAAATGTGTTAATTGACACTGCGCGTGTTTTTATCTCAAGGAATATATATTGCTTTATCTTTTTAGAAATGTAACGAAATAGTAATAATATATATACACATAATTGGGATGAGTGGCGGGGAATTGTCATCTGCTATCGGTTGGGATGGCGAAGTTGTTATTACCGTTGTGGGTTGCAACTCCAAAAGCAAAGGTTGATGCGTTTGCGTTGTGCGGGCAATTGAGTATTCGATGCAGTGATGAAGAGAAAGAGAAGAAGAAGAAGAGGAGGTTGTCGAAGCAATCGTCGTGGGAAGCCAAAGACGTGGAGGGAAGAGACTATCTCTACAGGCTTGGCAAAGAGGCTGATAACATGAACATCGCCGTTGGCCAGCGTGCCGGCATCATCGATCCCCTTTTCGCCGGCGATTTTCTCGGCAAAGACTGTATTTCTCATACTCACTCAACATTCTTTTTCCATTTCAACATATTATTCAAAACAATACAATATCACGTTTTGTGGTGCACTGTGCAGCGGACGTTGTGTTCGATTATCGTCAGAAAGTGACGAGGTCGTTTCAATACCTTCAGGGCGATTATTACATCGCTCCTCTTTTCATGGTAATTACGTGTATAACACTATCCTCTTCACTTCCTTTTCTTAGAAAGTATTTATTTTTGTTTTACTTCTTTATCTATGAGAGATTAGACTAGTTAGATAGTTTGCTCTCTTAGTACCTTCACACCTCTAAAATATTTATTTTCAAAACACCTAACTGCTCCTTCTACTGAATCCCTCTTTGCTCTGCTTGGTTTGTGGTTAGTCGTTACTTTTTGTTACTACTTACTGTTGAGTGAGGTCGCCTTTGGTTCTGTATGTCACTAATTTGAGCATTTCTGTAAGGTTTCGAAGTTTTGTCTAACTCAGAAATCATAAACGCTCTCTCTAGCCACATTGTTACGTTTACCACCCAATTCCTCTGCTAGTGTTGTGTTCCCTTTGTACTATTTTTTTTTTCTTCATTGTTTTCTGATCATGAGCTCGTTACTTTTTTCAAACTGAGTTGAAGAGAGAAAACAGGGAAAGAAAAAGAATAGGCATTTCTTCATTTTGCTTTTATGCAGTGATCAGAAGATCATATCTTTACCGCTTTGACTGTGTCAACTTCCTATTCATTTCCTCTCCTTTTCTTTGTGTTGTGGTAGTATTTAATATTTTGGGTTCCCTTTGCTTTCTTTTGGCAGGACAAAGTTGGTAAGTTCTCTGAAAATGGACCATTGTGAAGAAACTGTTGTAAGTCATTTTGGTGCAGTAAGAGGGCTTGGTAAAAGTGATTTATTTTGCTCTAATGTAGAAATGGTTGCAACTTACTGATATTGATCATCATCCTGTATGCACTAACTGCATGCTCTATTGATGCTACTGGTTCCTTATCTCCTTGACTTAAAAATGACATAGTTAGTTAATGTGCTTATAACTATTCAATTTTGCAATGAAAATTTTAAAAACCACCAAATTCATATATTGAGGATTCATCTCTATTTTCCTTTATACAACTGCATTTCTGAATTGGCTTCTGTCATTTAATATTCAAATTCTAAAATGCTACTTTTACATGATGCACAATGTTGTAACTTTTCTTGCTGTGAATGCAGTATGTCACATTGTGAAGAACTACCTTGCTCATCTACTCAATACTAAAGTTCCTTTAATTTTAGGTATAAACCAAACTACAAATGAATTTTCCTGTGGCTTATCTAAAACCTTAAAGAAAGTAAAATAACAATGGGTAGGGTATTTTAGATAGTTTCTTTTTGCAAATTTATAGTTATGACTGTGATGTTCATGCTCACTCGGAAAATTTCTACCCTGACTATTTTTAGTCTAATATTATTTCACACAATTTCAAATTTAATCTGGGAAAAAAATTTAACCTGTGCGCACAAAGAAATCTTCAGGCTTCATGTTTGTGCATTCTATCTTAAAATTTAACCTTTATTTTTTACTTTCTTCCAGGAATTTGGGGAGGAAAAGGACAAGGGAAATCCTTTCAAACAGAACTTATATTTCAGGCCATGGGAATTGAACCTGTAATTATGTCTGCTGGGGAACTAGAATCAGAGAGGGCTGGTAAGTTGTTTGCTTGTATAAACATAGCTCTTTCAAGGGAATCTGTAAGAAATAGAGAAAACAAACAAAATAATTCCTATTTTCATGATTCTAATGTTAATTAGTTCTCATGTCTAACACTAGAAAATGATCAATGGAATTATTTGTAAGTTGTTTTCATTGCAATGTTTATTTTCCGTTAGTTCATACCATTTTTCATAATGTGTTTAGTTTTGCATACTTTTGCAGTTTCTTTAATTTTGATTCTCATGTATTTACATACATAGATTCTTGTAACTGACAGAATTACACCATCCTACTAATTTCAATGTACAGGAGAGCCAGGAAGATTGATTCGTGAACGCTATAGAACAGCATCTCAAGTGGTCCAGAATCAAGTTAGGAGTTTTAAAGTTTTCAGTATGTCTTGGTTTCAATGTTAAAATGTTACTTTATATGATTAATGACAAGACTGTGGCTTTGGAAAAGATAATATTCCATTCTTTTTATAGAAGTTGAACGCTAAAATATTCTCTTCTTTGTAAGCTATTACGAAAATGTTGCATTAAGATATCATTTCTATGAAGAAGAGAATAGAAAGAAATTAATAAAAATGTTATATCATTTCTATAAAGAATGTTAATATGATATATTTTGAAGAAAGTAACATTTGTGCTTCAATTTTACATCTAGCTTCTATTCTTATTAGTTGAACATTGTTACTGCAATTCCTTGATTTGCTAATGCAGTCAAATGTTTATACCAAGTGATGACGTGCTGAAGGCTGGCGTGTCCAATGTTCCCTTTCCAATTCCTTAATCAGTTGACGTAATTTAGTATTGGTTTCCTGGTACAGGGAAAAATGAGCTGTTTGATGATCAATGATATTGATGCTGGCCTTGGTAGATTTGGTGAGCTAATACTTGATATGGACTGGAGAAACAAAAATACTTAGCAATTTTAATTCTGTAACCCCTTTTTTGTTCATTACACTTTGTGTGTGTGTGTGTTGTGTGTATTGCATCTTCTAGTGTTGCATTTAACTGCTTACTGAACGTAATTTTCCTGTTTTCATACAGGGAATACTCAAATGACAGTCAACAATCAAATTGTTGTTGGGACTCTCATGAACCTGTCGGACAATCCTACAAGAGTAAGTATTGGCCAAAATTGGCGAGAATCAGATGTCACAAACAGAATTCCAATCATTGTAACGGGGAATGATTTTTCAACTATTTATGCTCCTCTGATACGTGATGGAAGGATGGATAAGTTTTACTGGTAAACTGTAATCCATCTTACTCTAGGATTATTATACTTACTGTTCATGATTATTTTTTGAGAAAGCTTTTGAGGATGCATATTTAGATAAGGGGTAAGGAGTTTTAGTTGAAGTTTTACATTAGTGTTGTGGGTGGAATTTTCATAATTTATGTTTTTAATAAGGCTATATTTTGGCACTATTACATCATATATCACATTGCTGCTTACGTCATGACTTTGAAGTATCTGATTTTGTGATAGTAGGTAAACCATGTCACCCTTCCCTAAAGTTAAAATGTCTGTAAATGTGGAACAGGCAACCTAATCATGAAGATATCCTGAATATCGTTCACAGAATGTATGAGAAAGATGGTATATCTCGAGCTGAAGTTGAAAGTATTGTGAACACTTTCCCTAATCAAGGTACTCATCTGTATTGCGTGTAGGTCCAGAAGAGTTTTACTTATCAGATATGTTGTTAAAGCATGAGTAATTTCTTGATAACATGTTATTTATAATATCATTATAATAATATGTTCTAGAGTTTTACTTAATAACATGTTCTTTATAATGATAAAGAACATGTTATTATTTCATAAATGAAGTAATATGAGCGAAAATGTAATGTGTCATGTTATGGTTGCTTGATTATTTTATTTTGGGTTGATAATGATATGGTTTAAATTTCTTGCTTGTCCACATAGTCACATATTTTGTTCTATGCTTAGTATCTATGGCTGATGTTGCCTGTAGGATGCCCTTTTTTAGCATTTTTTTTTCATGAAAATATTAATACACTTGATTTCATTCTTTATCTGAAGTAACTTACTTTCTTCATTTAATGGAAGGCATCATATCTCCGATATCAGGTTTTCTTTTTTCCATTTATTTTGTTGTTGACAGCATTGGACTTTTATGGAGCTCTAAGATCTCGTACATATGACAGATCTATTTTAAAGGTATACAGATACCTAAGTTTCATTCAGATCTTAGTATCTTACTGATCTATATCTGACTTTCCATTTCAATGTGGAAAAATTACTATTTTTAATTACCTTCATTGTTTATTATTCCTTTAAAATCTCCGGAGTAGATTTTGGTTCTCTAAGCAAATGATCTAAAAAATTAAGGAAAAAAATATACCAAATTAAATTATCTCCTTGTTAGACTCTGGACTATGGGAATCATTCACCCATTATATGTGAGACTTTGTGGGAAGATTAAGATTCTTCTTGACAAATTTCCTGTTAGTGAATAATTATGTACTTAAAACCCTATCGGAGCTTGAGATGAGCAATTAGTTGAAGTTCCTTGCATAGAGAAATTAATATTGCAACATATGTCTACTCCCTCCTTTTTGTGACATCTTATGAGTCAACCATCAATCATTGCCCAATTTCTGTCATGATTGTTGAGAGAAAGGATCTAGAACGAGAATTTATCTTGATAAATAGCAATAAATACAAAATGCTTGCATAGCTGATATTTCAACAATGACAAATGACAACTGCTATTATATATGAGAGCAGAGAACCGGAAGTGCAAGTTCAGTATCCAATTTTTTTTTCATAAAGATCAGTTTTGATAACAGTCACAGATTTACGGTGGTTTTTTAGTGGATTGATGATATTGGAGGTATTGAAAACTTTGGAAACAAACTTCTCAAAAGAAGAAAGGACCAAAACCTTCCTGTATTTATTCCTCCAGAGGTAAATTAATCAGCCCCTTTTCCTTGCTTATGCGCTTATTCTGTGTCCAGTATATCACTAAATGATGGGAATTAGATGTCTATCAAATTAGTAATTGATGAAATATTGTTTGAGTTCATACATCAATTGAAAATTATAGACTAATATGAAATGATAAAGATCCAGATATAGCCAAAACACTAATTAGGTTCTAGGATGTTTTTATTCTCCTGCTATTCAAATTGACTTGACCGATTTATTCTATCATTACATGAAATGTTAATTTGTAAGAAAAGATAAAATTATTATGCACAATTATTGGTATTATTTTGCAAGCATGTCCTATGTTTGTAGGTTGCAGTTGAATAGATAGAAGATCTATACTCTAGTCTTTTTGAATTGAATCTTTAAGAGGATGTCTTGAATTGGGATTAACACCGTATTAAACTTGACTTCAAAAGTTAAAAAATCAAAATATAAAAATTTAAAGGATAGTGACATGTCGTCAAGGATTTCCATGTCATCATGTGATATTTTTACCATTAGTATATCTCTTGCACTTATTGAGATCTTTCACTATCAGTAATGTTTCAGTAACAGCATAATAATACTGACTTTCTTTTTGGTCAATTCTTTCCCTGGCCGACATTTGGGCTTCCTCTGCTAGATTATATATATAAAGCTCTTTAGACAAACTTCTAATATTTGCACTTTTCATTTCATTCATGCGAAATTGATCGTTGCAAAAGTTGGAATGTTTGAGGAAGTATATATATCTAATCTCTTTGACTGTATTTTTCCTGTTTCTTTCTTTTCCTTTTTGTCTCTTTTCTATTTTCTTTTGTTCAATTCTTTTAACATCTTGATTTTGTTTATGTGAAAAGAATGCAATTGAAGTTGACTGCTTTTGTATTTGGTTGGATAGCAAACAGTGGATGCTTTACTTGAGTCAGGTTACTCTCTGATCAAAGAACAACAGTTGATAATGGAAACTAAACTTTCAAAGGAGTACATGAAGAACATAGGAGACTAATATAAAGGATGTTGCCGTGGTGCAAGTCCTCAAGAATTATGATTGGGCCACCGTTTGGAATCCTTATAAAGTTGCTACATCATGGATATGGTCCACTTTCGAACAGGATGCTTCTCTTTATCGAATTCCCAGTTTCTATAACAATCATTAATTATCTGGACATGTCCCATTTTTAAGATAAAGAAATGCATGAAATGTTATGCAAGAATAGGGCACTGATATCTGGAATCTTACGTTGCTGAACCGCTTATTAGTGCATCATTATATTATTAGAATACCGTAAATTCAAAGGTGTTGTAATTATTATTTTAATTTGACCTACTGGTGCTTTATTCTATTTAAATCCAAGCATTAGTGTAGGAAACAATCATCAAAAGGCCACCAATGAGCAACCCATCAATGAACAACAGAATGGGCACGACGTTTGCCTTGAATCATACCCTGCCAATATCCTGGATGATTCATTGAAGTTTTGAATATGCTGTGATATGCACAAATTATTAATAAATTATAATTGATTATTTGTTCGTCCTTTTGACTAAGAAATTTTATTTGTTACTTACTATTTGGGGATTGATCTATTATTTGAATCTTAGAAACTTTATTTGTGACTTATTATCTACGGGCTGGTCTTTTAGTTGAATTGCAGCACGGCGGAATAATAATATATAAACGCAATTCCCTCCATGCTAAAGAAAATCATTTACCCCATTCCAGATCTATATAATTAGTCCTTGCCCGTAGGAATTCAACGTTGTTGATAGCAGAATATCCCAGTTTTTCTAGAATTTTCAGCAATTGTCGACCTCACAAATTTGCATTCACAAAAATCAACTGTCCTAAAACAAGTTATCCATTCAGCGACCAGAAACTCCATGTGTTAATGATTTGATTACTGTAAATGACGCAATGATATTAACAGAAGCGTCGAACTTCGTGTTTGTAGTCTATATCTTTATGTCACATAGCCAACCACCTCAGCCCACAATCACTTCTTTAGCACTCGAGACATTTCATTTCAAGGCTATAATCATTTTGTGCTTTAAACAAGGTTTGTTCATGGCCAATGGTGGTCTTGTCTCCATGTAAATTAAGTGCTTCAAAGGTCAAGGAACATAACATAAATCAACAACCCCACCAAGATTATTATTTTTGCATTCGTGGGCACAAAAGGACTTGCTCGGCCACCACAGAATTAGAATATATGCAAATCTCTGGATGGTTTGGATTTTGAGCTTTTAGTGATTAATTATATATATATATATATATATATATATAAAGGATAACCAGGCCCTCTCTTCTGCTCCAGTGGTTCTTTGTATGGATACTATCTTTCTAAGGGGTCTATATAACACTGAATTTTATCTTGGGATGTATTCCAAAGGTTATTGGTCATTTCTGTTTTGAAATCTAGATTTGCTAAACATAATTGAATAAAATAGAGAGAATTTGACCAGACGAAACACACAGCAACGAGACCCCTAGTTGTGTGTAATAATTATATTATATAATGTTGAAACAGAGCTTGCCATTTCCTCAGTTTGTGGTGCTTATAAGAGTCTTGATCTTGAACACTTTAAAGAAAAGATATCCACTTGGAAAGGATATTAAACAGAGGATCATTGCTTACGTGTCTTGGATTCCTTAGGGTCCTCACTTATCTAAGGCCATCCTTCTATGTTAAGTATTTTGTGAGTGAAGGTTACATTTATCTCAGAACAATCCAAATAGTCCACTCTTTATCGGAATCCAATGCTCGGTTAACTTGGAAAGTTGACAACTTTTTAGTGGTACTAACTTTGGGACTGGATTAAAAGCATCTAAAAGAACCAGTAATTGTACACCCAAAATATTAAAATTTTACTTACCATTTCTTCCGGGGTTAGTGCGGGGCTATGGAATATAAACATTAGTTCATCTACATAATTCTAAAACAAGAAGGACAAGCACTAAGTTCTTATCCTTTTTGATTGGCTTTGGCCAAAAGAAAAGTGGGTGCGTGATAAAGAAGAATAAACGAATGTCAGAATTATATGGTAGGATTTGAGATTAAAGAAGCCTGATGTGTGTTTGACTTAAGCACAAATTGATTGTGGGTGCCACAACATGACAACATGATGTGGCCCAGATTGATCTTGCTTTTCTATTCTACATACTTTGAATTTGAAAGCAATAAAATTGGGTGGAAGGGCATCCCTGCTAATCGAAAAATCAATATTTGAATTGGTGCTAATTTGGCGTGGCGGGAGTAATGCCCTTGTTCCGGTATTATCAATGTGGTTGAGCTCCTTCTGTATAATTTCTCCACTCACTGGCATTATTCAACCCCAGAATGATCCCAATTCCGAACACCATATGCATATGGTCGCCAAATTGAGACTTGAAAACAGTCTTAGTCAGTGACTAGAGGGAGGTGGGGGGAATGAATTCTCCTTCTAAAATAGAACAATCACAGCCTTTATCAAGGAATTTGCACTTGAGTCATTTCCTTGAAATGATACGATGAAGGTAACCTCCGAGATAGGTCTTTCACAATGGGTAGTTTTTACGATTATATACGTAAATGGATTTATACTTACAATAATGTCAGAAAATTAATGGTGAAATATGTATAATGGACTATATCAATAATCATTTCGTATGTTTGTTATAAATACTAAATATATATTACGAATTTTAATAATTTCATTATAAAGGAAACAAGACAATAAGCTGGAAGAAATGGGAAAGGCCAAGGAGGCTGGAACAAGAGTTATTTTTATGTCAATGTGTTACTCAGTTTAAAAATACAATAATTTTTAAATTTTCTAATTTTATAATGTGTCTTGGAAAAAACACTGTGCGTTAATTTGTGTCCAATAACTGGATTTCTTTAACGCACTTTGCCATAACAACGTTTTAGCTGCTGTTTCTGAATTTGGCCGTACGGATTATGACAACTGTAAAAAAAGAATCACTTTTATACGCATGTTTTACCTGAAACTTCTCAGAAGCATCATTAGGAAACTGACTTTTTTTCTTTTAGAAAGTGATTATATCTGCTATTACTGTTGTGTTTCTACTTTTCAAGGTGATAATAAGCCACACCATTTCTTTTTATATATACATTTATAGCTACATATTTAATTGAATTCTTTTTTCTCTCCTAAAGCATTGCCTATCCCAACATATTATATATTAAAAATAATAATATGTCAATTTGGTATTTATAATATGCTTTATATAATATATAATTTTTATGTAAGAAATTATGAAAAACAGATAAAAATATAAGCAGATTATAAATTCATTCTGCTCACTTGAGCACCCAAAGTTTTTCTTGTTTATCAAAGAGCAGTATTTGATATTTGCTCCAATTTCCATGTTAATACAAAATTTTCGACATTTCTTCGAAACGTGAAATAATGAACATAGGAAAAATATAATTGATTATAAGGAATTAAGCATACAGAGAGTTTACTAAAGAAGAAGATATGTCTGATAAGTGGCCCACGTAGGATAAGCAATAAAAGAGAATATCTGATGTATGAGGTGGAAGTGATATTATATCCGTGATTACTATAATAACAATGATTAACATTTTATTATTGACTTGTAAGCCACGATTTGTTAGGATTTATTAGGTGCAGAGAGACTTGGGGACCTGAAAACTACGACAAAAGCGACTCACCAACCTCTCCAATCTCCATCCCAATTCAGAAGATACCCTTTCACACTGTTCAAGCTGACAATTTCAACTGATCCAAATTAACCATTTTTCAATTAGTATCATTTGGAAAATCAACTTAACCTTTCTCCAATTACAGAATTATTGGCCAAAACTTCCATAATTTAGACTTTAGAGTTTAGACCTTCCAATCCAATGTATCTATAATTCTATACCCTAATCCCACGTCTTTCAGCTTACGTAATTTCCTAACACTGATTCGTTATCACCGCCATGCCCAAGTTTAACGAATTTCTTCAACTTCTCAAATTCAATATTATTTCGTTATTTTAAAAATAATAAAAAATGGGGTCCATTTTATGAACACTGAAGAGCATTGATGTGGGCTATAGGAGAATTGGTCAATTTTGATAAATAGAAAAAGTATTTAAAACCGATTTTTTGGTTACACGGATTTAGAAAATGCAGTCATTAGATTGAGAAGACCAAAAGTTCTCTCTGTCTCCAAATAGAGTATCGAGATCTGTCAGAGTCACAGAACCAACTACTGTTTCTGTTCGACCTTCTTTGATTCAATGTCTGCTTCCTAATTTAACACGTGGACCACACTTCACCGACACCGCTCGTGTTCAACCTTTGTTTCAATATATATATATATATATATATAATCTTTTATATATTATTATAAATGATGCTTTTAAGCTAACTAAATCAAATATTAAGAAAATTATATGAAGTAATTTTGGTAAGATGATATTAATTGACAATTAATTTGGGAGCAGATAGTAACGATGAACGAGGACAACACAAAATGATCCGCGTGTTAGTGTTAATATTGTGACGAATAAAAGGACAAAGGGTGACGGGAAATTGGTGCCGCTGATGTTGAATTACCTTTTCCCTGACAATATGTAATAATTTAGGGGAAATGATTGAGTCAAGGCCACTGTTTTGCTTTAAAATATTTAAATTAAAATCAGAACAAATGATGGACACATTATTGTAAATTATTTTGTCCTAATGAAATACAACAATATAAATTATTATTATTTTATGATTTAGTTATATTACGTCGAGTTTGTAAAAATGAGTTTGTAATTAAACATATTTTAAAAATAAAGAGAAAATGACTTATGTGTTTTAAAAGAGAAATAATTTAGAATAAATTGATGTTTATGGTGAGGATGGCTCAAATTGAACAGTAGGAGTTGAGTTTAAATGGCAATTATTAAAGATCACGTGTCGGTGATGTGCCTCTGGCTTCTGTATTTTATAAGACACAAATGTGAAAGCAATAGGGAGCGAATATTACGCTCGCTCGCTTGCTTGCTTGCTTGCTTGAGTTGAGGTTAATTCTCTCTCTCTCTCTCTCTCTCTCTCTCTCGTCCTCTGGGAATGGTGGCACTGGGTGGGGTTGGAGTGTGTGATGAATACTTATACAAGTGATTGTTGTTGTTCACTGAGAGAGAAGAGGTCTGGCCGGGTTAAAAAGGACAGTGGTGCCACGTCGGCAGAGAAGGAAGAACAAGAGCAACAGCAAGAAGACAGCAACCCCAATCAAGCTTATGGATATTTGGCAGAAGATGATTTTCCCCGTCAGGCGTGTTTGGCTCGCTCTCTCTGCTCGCCTCAAGCCTCGCAAAAACGGTATTTTTATCACTTCTTCTTTCATCTTTTCTTACACTTTCTCTATTCATCTATCTCATCCTCTCTTCTTCCCCTTCAGATATTATCTCTTTCCATTCTTTTTCCACAAAAATTCAATTTTAAGGTTTTTCTCCATTTTTACCTCTCCCATTCTTTTCTTTTCTTTTTCCCTTATTTGCACGCCCTCATATGTATGCTTTATGTCTCCATACAAGAAAAAAAAAAGCCTTTTTTTTTATCCAATTGTCTTGAACCTCTGCTTTCAACGCGTTGTTTATTAAATGACACAGACTCGCACTGGCGATAAGTAGAGGGATATAGAGTAGTAACACATAGCACCCGTGTGTCTTTATTAAATGGTTACTACTTCATTTTAAATCCACTGTCACTGTGCACGCCACTTCCAGACAAAAGCTACCGAGTAAGTTTTACGCATAATTACTTAATTTATAAATCATAATCATACCTCTCTACATCACACACCCAATTTAAGAATATATTTCCCCTTAATATAGCCACTCTTTGCATATACAAGTGGTGCGTAGTAACTATGCTCCTATCCTTTCATCAGCCTTGCCACCGAAAGCCGTGGCTTAAGGTAGGATCCACATCTTTTTCAGTGCAACTTTACATCTCCCCTCAACTTTAGTGGTGGCTGCAAAATGAAAACAACGTCAAAGTGTCTTTATAGTCACCCCTACTTTATAACAAGAAATTGCCTAAAAGCGTCCTCTGTGCCACATCCAAAGTTTAGTGACAGAACCAACATTGTTCATTGTTACATCGTACATTTAATTGGTCACAATACAAATGAAAATCTCGTTGTAGTGATGGTCAATTTATAATTGGACATTACATATATAGCATACGTGCGTCTCCAAGTAATTGTTGAGATTGGTTTTTTATTACGAGGTTCACTGATAGGAGCATGTTATTTGGTGCAGGAGAAGGACTGTTGAAGCTTCAGGATGATGTAGAGACTTGTGGATATCAGGATGTACAAGTGATGTGGGAAATGCTACAACGAACTGAAAGTGAAGTTATAGAAAACCATCATAAGCGCAAGCAATTTCCGTTCTGGAGGATCTTTGTGTGGTCAAACCAGAGTGAAGTTTCGTCGGAATCTGCAAATCACACATAAAACAAGACGCAAGTTTCAAGTTTACAAATAAAACCGCTACTGATGTATAGCAGTCTGCAAGTGGCAAGCCACCATCCTTTTTTATCTTCCCATTGCCAGCATTGCGGAAGCATAATTCTTGTTCTTGGCAACTAAAACTATGTACATGTCATTATCATAACAAAATCTTATGAGGTTTCTCTCTTACAACTGTACTACCGTATGACAGTAGTATGTAAATATGCAAATACTTTGTCAAAACTCACAGCCAAGACCTTCTGGGGAATACCTACAGTTTCTCTAACTTCAAAGCCAATAAATTTCATCGGTCACTGACATTGAAACAACTCATTCAACCCGGAAGATTACTACAATTAGCTATGGTCATTGTTGTTAACAAGCAGCCAAGTGTTTCAATATGATTATCTAAAGTTTTGTCTGTATGCCTATAATTAAATAAATAAACAAATATATGGTGTCTTAAAACACAAAAATAGGAAATTAATAATTAATAAACTTTTATTAAAACTATAACATTTAATATTATTGTATGATTTAATGCATTTGATCTTATAATTTTTATAAAAACTTATTATATATAGATTCGGATTAAAAGGCAAATATAAAATCCCGAGTCAAAATTTGGCCGTAAGCTGTTGAAGTGGACCGATGATTGTATTATAATCTAAAGGTCTCACATTGGGACTATAACTTCGTTTACAGAAAGAAAGAGCGATACAAGTACAGGATAATAACTAGAGTCCAAGATCGTCCTCAGCCTGCGAATGGGTCAAATGTGACGGAAACAGTACTGAGATTGTTTCAATTGTAAACAATTCTTTAACAAATATAAAAGATTTGATTATCACACAAGTATTATTTTCCCCTTTAGTCCACGGGAATTTGGTAGCCCACATAATATTTGTGCTACAATAAAGATCTATGGATTTGGGATTTTCATCGTCTTTACCTCCATTTGCGTTGAAACATGGAGGTTCTAGCGACTAATTGTCCTAAAGTGTTGTTTTCAATTGAATTATTTAAGCGAATGTCAAAATTAGATTACTTCCAGAACATGAAGGAACATTCCACAAACATCCATTAGAAGTTTCATATTTGGTGCTCAGGTTCAGAAAGGAATGTATCTTATATTCAATAGGAGCCAAGAAGGTAAGAATTGTAAGAGGATGAAGTTTCTACTCATCTCAAGGAAAACAATAAGCTAGTCTACAACTCAGTTCATTCAAATTATGAAAGAAAGTTGGTGTGCAAGATTTCCATAAATCCTAGCGATCCAGTTTTAGGATTATTATAAATAAAGAGAAATTCAAAAGGTATGAAAATCAATGCGGCTGAAATGCAGGAACTTTCACGTGAGTGATATGCTTTAATGCAAGTGATCTATTGGCAACAAATCAATGAATAAACAAAATATGTTTCACCACATAATTTCAGAGGTGTATTCAATACAAAGGGGGTGGCATGATAAATAACTTATACAATATATGCTTTAATAATTACGAATAAGGTAAATTAATAAAAATTTCTCATTACAGACAAAATTAAAAAGAAGGTGTATTGAAATACTATATATTGTGCATTGCATTACATATAGCATACTAAAGGAATGGTGTGAAACTGATGAAGCCGTTTACCATGAAAAGGAAATGAAAAATTTTCATGGAAGTGAACTGAGTCCTAGAGGTACAGGTAAATAAACTAGCCTTGTATGTAACCTTCCCTGGAAATGGGAAACAATGCGCATAGACGGGGAGGGATCATACAGGAATGGGCCTCCAAACAATGTTCATATTGATGGATATCAAAGTAACCACAGTAACTAAAGCCCAATTCACGCCATATTGGGCCACCCCCGACTTTGGATCATCAGAAGGACTAGAACCCGCCGTTGGTGCATCCACTCCAGAAACTGGCACCGGCGATACAGCCGGCACCGGGGAATTCACCGGAACTGGTGCTGGGGATACTACGGGTACCAGAGATATGACCGGAACTGGTGCCAATACCGGCACGGGTGATACTACTGGCATCGGGGAGCTTACTGGAACAGGTGACACTACTGGCATCGGGGAGCTTACAGGAACAGGTGATACCGCAGGAATTGGCACTGGTGATACTACAGGAACTGGCATCGGTGAGACTACTGGGACGGGTGATACTATAGGAACCGGGGACACAACCGGAACTGGTGCCGGTGATACCACGGGAACGGGTGACATAACCGGAACTGGCGCAGGAGAGTTTGCAGGGAGGGGTGAGGAAGCACTTGCAAGCAGAGAGGGGGGCATTAGGAGGGAGCTCACTTGCAGAATCGAAACCTCGTAGGGTTGTGAGACGACGTCTTTGATCAAGTTGGAGCCAGCGGCGTTTGGATCTTCGGCGGAGAGAAAGGTGACGGCGCCGGTGCCGAGGTGGGTGATCTTGACGAATCCCTGGAGTCGCTGAGCTTGACCAGTGGTCTGAAACAGCGTGGTGACGGTGATGTTTTGGTTAGCTACGTTCTGCAGCTTCTTTGCGTCGAAGTAATCGAGGAGCACGTGAATGCTCATTACCTTCTTGATAAGGTCCATTGGTTTCCCTGAGATTGGGGCCATTCCGGCGTTATCGACTGCGAGCAACGTTATGGTTTGTCTGGCGTTGATTTCTGTGGCAAGCTGCGTTTGAGTGAGGTAGTTGCTGAATGTGGAATAGGTTGGGTATTGCGACAGCATTTTTGCTATGTCAAAACTTGCTGTCACACAACACTGCATCACGAGCATCAATGATAGCACTAATAACATACTCATCTTCATCTTCATCTTCACCAAATATATTGTTCTGATATAGACTTGTACTGCGTTAGGGATGTTATATAGTGAGTCGTTTTTGAATGGAGTCTCATATTTTCCGCCAAATTTGGATCTAAATGGTGGGGCTTTCTTTCATGTTTGACAATGTATGCATGCACAACGGTTCTCTATATTTAGTGTTCTCCCTTTCTTAAGTTTCTCTTAAACATCCATTCTGCATCTGCATTTACAAGAAATTTAATAATACAACTATTAGTCACTGTCTTTGTTTATTATAATGTTAGAAGATGTTTTGTTCTAATCAGGCTAAGGTGCGTGGCATAAGTTCAAATATTCATAAATTGTAAAATACTTTAAGCATATGCATCATATTTAGAAATTTTTGAATTATTTGGTATTTTATTTATGGAATTAAAATTAACATAATATATATATATATATATATATATAAAGTTTAATTATTTTTTATACCTTTTCAAATATTAACAAAATTTAACATAAACAATTTATAATTTATCAATTAAATCACAATATATCATATTTTATTAAAAATTATTAATAGTATAAGAATTAGTATAATTTATATTAGTATAAATTAAATTAATTAATCCATCCTCTATTTGCTTATATATACGGAGCCTTATTTTAAAAACTAATATCTATTTTACCCTGACGACTCTTGAACTCCTATATATATATATATATATATATATATATATATATATATACTATTTGAAGTCCAATTAAAGTTAGATTCTAATTAAATATTGATAATAATACATGCCAAAATTTACTATCTGATTTAGGGATTGAGACAATTTAAAAATATCATTATGAATCATGAACATACATATTGACTTTTTATTATTTTAGCTAGATAGTTTGGGTTTTGAGAGTATAAACTATATTCAATGATGTCTTTATTATATCGTGAAAATAATATTTGTACACATTTTAAAGATATTGATGGGATGAAATAGATTAAAAAGAAACTATAAAGGTCTTAAAGATATTACATATAACTTTTTAATAAACTATTATTTTTTCACCTTCCAAATATTGATGCTTACCAATAATTACTACATGTATGTAATAAATATTTGTAGCATTAAGACCTTCAATTGTAGATTTGACATGCAAAAGTTGGCAAAAGGCATGAAAGCGACTATTACACAAGTGTAATATAATTATTTGGTAAATTTTAGAATTACATGTTTATCTTTTTATAAAAGTACTTGGATAATTTTTTAATGCTCACAAACGTTGTTATTTTTAAACTTTTTAAAAATATATTTATATTTAATTTTTAACATCTTAAAAAATTAGTTTCTATTGTTTACAATTTTCATTAGTATTTCAATTTTGAGACGAATAATTATTCAACTTTTTTAAGATGTCAAAGAATAAACATAACTAATTTAAAAATTAGAAAATAACTATGTATAATATTAAAAATTATTTAAGTTAATAAGGATTGAAATTGAAATTTAAAACCATGTGCCATGCATGTTATTTTTCTGAGTCAAAAGTGCTGTGTACGTATACGTAATATGTATACCGTATATTTGATATGATTTACTGAAAAGGAAAAATAAAAGTGAAAAAGAAAAGAAAAGAGAGTGAGTGTCTAGGGTTTGGTTTGAAGTAGCGGAGCGGAGCTGAATCGGATTGGGATCGGTGGTGTTGCCGAGGGATGAAGCTCACTGTAAAGACTTTGAAAGGCAGCCATTTCGAAATTAGGGTTCAGCCCTCCGACACTGTCAGTTATCTCTCATCTCATCTCATCTCATCTCATTGCCAATTGTGCATTCTATCATTTGTTGCTTTCTTTCTTTCATGATTTCTATGCATTCATTAATTATTCAGATGGCGTCATGTTTTTATTTCTGTTGAACAAACGCTTCACCACCCACTCTTTCTGTTGACTTGCCATTGCCAAGCACTATTATCTGCCAATTTCATGTTGCCTATGCCAATTTCTTAGGATTATTTATTTTGCTTTCAACACTTTGTTTGTCTGCCTGTAAAAAAATAGTTGCAGCAACTGAAAGGCTTTATTTTATTATCATTCCCCAGACTCCAAAAAAAAAAAAAACTACTATCTATTGTTATATGAATCTGATAGGAAGGCTAATTTTAAATTTTGTTTTTGGTTAGCTGAAATTTTCCTACTTTTTTTCACTTCAGATTATGGCTGTCAAAAAGAATATCGAAGATGTACAAGGCAAAGATAATTACCCATGTGGACAGCAATTATTGATTCACAATGGTAAGGTTTTGAAAGATGAAACCACTTTAGCAGACAATAAGGTATCTGAAGATGGCTTTCTTGTTGTCATGCTTAGTAAGGTATATTTCTTCTTTCATGAAAACTTTGTTCACCCAACAATAGTCGTCTTTTTTTTAAACAGTAAAGATTTGATTTGTGTGCGTTGTTAGGCGGGTTATAGTGTGCCGGATTGATCTTGTTAGGTGTCCTTGGCTGAGTATCCAATGACAAGATTTAAGATGCTTATGAGGACATGTTTTAATGCAACCAACACGTTTTTCAATTTCAGAATATTGTATCCTTTAGTTTGAAGGATTGGCTTTTGTTTTTGAAGTGAAACTTGTAGCAAACCAGCATGATATTAATATCATGGTTGCCAAGCAATTAAGCATAAAACGAAAAAAAAAAAAAAGGCTAAACAAAATCCCGTTGAAAGCTAACACAAGTAAGTGATTATTATTCAACATAAGCTGAAAAAACATGCACTAGTTTTAAGAGGTGTCATAACGTGCTAAACAAGACTAATTCAATTAAATTTTTAGTTTTAATATAATGATAACAATATTATATTTAGACTATTTAATAATTAGTATATTAAAGAAATTCTTAATAAGATATTTTGAGTTAATTTTATTTCAAAATTTAGATCCTATATCTACAAAGTAGAATTGGAATTGAATTTAGAGTTATATTCTACATGTGTGTCCTTGCATAGCTCAAACATAAAATCTGTAATTTTGAAACAATTCCAAATTTTTCTAAATTGTAGTTGAAATTAAAATTTCAAACTCTAATTCCAATTATATAATCAAAACATACCCTAATAAGATAATCCAAAATAGGATGAAACTCCTGAATAATAAATTACCCAAATTGAGAATATAACTTTAAAATTCAAATCCTTGATTAAATCCTAAAACAATTTATGTCCCAGTCTTTCTTGTGTTAAGTTAGGAAGAAAGAATAGATATTTGGTTGTACAATTATTGCCAACTCGTTGGTGAACAATTACCTTCCTTTCTTGGCAAGTCACCTGCATGTCCATAGTGATCTAGCTCTCAATTTTCTCCGTACATTAGTGATTATACAAGGCTGTATCTTTCAGTTCAAAGGCATTCTTATAATTTTCACATTTCTAGATTGTAATGGAAGTTTTATGGGTTGTGGCATTCTTATGGACAATATGTGAAAACATTAGATCTTGTGATATATTTTCAGTATGCCATTTGTTTAAATTTGATAAACTCATTTCCTTGTTAATATTCCTTTTCAATTGTTACCTTTTGTTTTATTTCTGCATGATTTGTTTGTTTGTGATTTCTTTTTGCTTCTGCGTTCATAATATGTCATTTTTCTTTTCTACTTGCAGAGTAAAACCTTGGCATCTGCAGGCACTTCATCAACTCAGGCATGTTGCATGCTCATTTTTGTATTCTTATTTGGCACTTGAGGTTTCTTTCTTTTTCCTCTGTATGAGCTATTGTGCATGTGTGACAGTCTGCTAGCAACCCTCCTGTTGCAGTATCAACACCAAATTCTGCGTCTCTAGTGCAAACTCAGTGAGTTCAATTGAAATAATATTTTTATGTTGATTTTTTATCAGCTGAAATATTTGTCCTAACTTATTTGGTTCTGCAGGTCTGCAAACAACATTGCATCTGCAACAGATGTCACAACTTCAAAGTATGGCTTTTATCTCTCTACATTTTGCTGAATATACTGTTAATAAAATCTAATAAAGTTTTTATTCATTGTGCCACTTTGTACTGCCTTTGAGTAGTTTCTGTCTGATGAAAGCTGCCAATAAGCTAATTTTGTAATCTTTAGTAATACTTCAGGAAGCAAAATGTGTTTGTTGTAATTTGAATTTGGCCTGAGGTTAGTTGGGCCAGTCAAATAGCTTTTGGCACTGTTGTAATTAATTTTTGCCTGATGCCAACTAGGCCCAGATCTAACTAATTGTTTTTCCCCAAAGCCGTGAAGGGTGGACCAATGTTGTCCAATTCTAATTGGACCAGCATAATTACTTCCAGGCTGGCCCAATCTATTTAGCTCATGTTTGGTAACAGATTAATTTAGAGAAATAATTGCTTATTTTTCAAAACTGTTTCTGAGAGCTGGTAAAAATAAGAAATTATTTCTCCAAAATAAGCTAAACCAAACATACAGTTAATAGTTTTTTTACTCCTACCAGTTGCAATCCCTGGAAGAGCCAGGCATATGTCCAGACTCCATTCATCCTGTTGCCTTGGGATATCACTTCAGCTGTCGTCTTCGATTTTTTCAATCTTCAGGCAGCTCGCTCCTTAGTTGCTTTCACTTTAGAGTACATACGCATGTAAACTGATAAAAGTATGCTCAAATTCTGAAAATTTAGTTCTATAACAATGTCAGACTCCCAAAGATAGTTGATATGCCTTGTACAAGCAACTTGAATAATCATTATACCATAATGGGTAGCCCAAACTTTAGGCTGTAGAAGTTCTACTCTAGAATAAAAAGTCCTAGCCAAGGGGTAAGTCATACCAGACTCAAGTAACTAAAATCTAAATTTCTGTTTACAAATCCTAGTCTCCTAATTATAATTACATCCTAAATTAATATAATATCAATACACTTCCATTTTCCTGCTTCTTGTAATCAAGCTTTCTGAACAACATTTTGGTATTTTTATTGCAGTGTGACTACAGACACTTATGGTCAGGCTGCTTCAAATTTAGTTGCTGGTAGTAATCTTGAGCAGACTATTCAGCAAATTATGGACATGGGTGGTGGCAGCTGGGACAGAGATACAGTTAGTCGTGCTCTTCGAGCAGCTTACAATAACCCAGAGCGTGCTGTTGATTACTTGTATTCTGTATGCTAAAGTGTTCTTTGTTGATTCTAACTGCTTAAGTTTTCTGATGTATCTTTTCAATTTAGCAATTCTTTTATTTATATATTCTTTTTATTTGCAGGGAATTCCTGAAGCAGCGGAAGTTTCTGTACCAGCTGCTCCTTACCCTAATAGTCAGTCAATTGAAACAGGTGGGGTCACTGGTGGAGCTGTTCCTGGAGCTCCTAACTCATCCCCCTTGAATATGTTTCCACAGGTAAAACACATTGTTTGAATAGAACAACAGAAGTCTTGTACCATGCCATTTACATCTTTTGCTGGTAGTATTTGTTCTTTTCTTTATTCTAAGTTAAAACTCCTTCAGGAGACGATTTCAGGTGCTGGAGCTGGAATTGGATCTCTTGACTTTCTTAGAAACAATCCCCAGGTGGGCTTTTTGTTCCATAAATTGCTAAGCTCTCAATGTTAGAAAACATTTATGTTCTGAGTATCCATAAATTGGATATCTTCAAACCTCAGTAGTTTTTTTAAGTAACTGTTTCTTTGTCTGCTTTTCTAGTTTCAAGCATTGCGTTCGATGGTGCAATCCAATCCACAAATTCTGCAGGTATATAACTGTATTTTCTCAATCGCCTAATACCTGACTTCTGGTCATATGTCAATGTGTGAAGATGATTTCTTTTGCAGCCTGTACTTCAGGAACTTGGAAAACAGAATCCTAGTCTCTTAAGACTAATTCAAGAGCATCATGCTGAGTTTCTCCAGTTGATAAATGAACCTGTTGAGGGTTCTGAAGGGTGAGTGTACCACTTGCCATATATGATATATGACCATTTATTATATCATCTTTGTATTTTATAAACATTATATGATCCCATAATCTTCCTTCTATCATGTGCTATGTCAACTGGTTTCAAGTCTTCTGCCATGTTTGTAACATGAACGTAACCTTTTGACTTGGCAGCTTATCCTATTCAGGAATTATTTATAGAATATATCATTCAACTTGTAGTTTATTATCATCACTTGATTTTGTATTCTCGGATTTTTTTTTAAGAAATGTAATCGTCTTTCTTCTTAGTGATATATTTGATCAGCCAGACCAAGACATGCCTCATGCCATAAATGTGACCCCAGCTGAGCAGGAGGCAATTGGAAGGGTATGCTTCTGCATTTTTGTCTGATATTTGCTCTTTTCATTTCCTGTGTCATTAGCGTACCATTAGTCTCATATGTGCTGATTGTTTTTAACTTATACGCAGCTTGAGGCGATGGGATTTGATAGAGCCTCAGTCATTGAGGCATTTTTGGCGTGTGACCGTGATGAGCAATTGGCTGCCAACTACTTACTGGAAAATGCTGGGGATTTTGAGGATTAAATCACTAACCTACAATGAATTATAGTTTTGTTCGGCCTTCTTTTATTTTGGGGTGAGGAGGTGCATTTTTTTCCCCATGATGTGGCTTTTTTGGCAAATTTGCGTGGGTAGAGTTTTGGATTTGGATTGACGTATTTAACCAATATAGTTGATTATTACTCATGATTTTAGAATGGTTTAGTTTATATTACAGCATTTCTAGTTGTCTTCCGTGATCAGGTCTCAAATCACTAATTGTAAGTTAATTTATTGGTACTATCGTAGCATTTTAATTGTCACCAATGTTAGATTTCTGCATTGCGGCAGATTCTGATCTATTTTCGATATGTATTTGTCTTTTCAACCCTTCGTTCCTTATATTTGGTATATATTTGGGTAGGGAAAAAGGACCCGACTATCATGTTGGAACCAAGATTATTACTCATGAATGTTAACATTAAATGTTAGATACAATAGTATTAAACAAAATTATAATTCTTCTAAGGCAAATAATAAATCAAATTAGGACTTTTTAGACTATAACTGTCAAACTTTTAACCAAAATAATCTTGTTTTGGAAACCTTCATGTGCGACCATGGATCACAGGCCAGAATTCTGTAATAACCGAGTTCTTGCAGTCTGCTGATTCCTGCTGTAGTTTAGCTGCTGCCGCGTATCGTTGTGTATAATCTTGACATCGGACATCTCATAAGACATAAAAAGGATGTTGGATTAGTAATGGACCGTAAAGATTTCCCACAGCAACAGGGAAGATAATCAAATCCTTGTTCTTTTTTTTTTTTGGTCAAGAATCAAAGACTAATCCTTTTTTGGTCAAAAATCAAAGCCTAATTCATGATCCTATCTTCTACATTAATTGGACGAGCCTTCTTTTGGTATTAACTAATAAAGGCCTTCTTTTGCTCACAGCGTGGTGTATGATAAAATTTCAGGGCTAGAAATGATAAAATCCGAATGATTGAATCAGACACATACTTGCACTTCCGACAGTGATTTGGATTAAAACTTGAGTTCAAGATAAATGATTGAAAACAAACTCTAATTTGAATTAAAAGATACCACTCAAAGAACAGCAACAAAATATTGTACTTGAACGGAATGCACTAAATTTGGGGAAACAGCATAAACGAAACATGAAGATACCCCCATGGAAAAATATGGCTCAAGATAACATGTCTAAAGATTGTTGGAAGGTCCAAGGAATGCAGTCGAGTCACATGTTGGCAAATATTGCGTACAAGACATATGATAGAGATAAAAGCATAACTCATTCTTATTCAGAGGTGTAATAGCACTATGGTACTATTAATTTCTTGGCTTGAGTTTTACTAGCAGGGGATGAACCTTGCGGGTGGTAAGGCCCACTGTATCCACATTCTCTTCCTCCCCTTGTTCAAGTACCCACTCAAATTCCTTAATCAATCTCCCGATTGCTGTGCATGCTATCAACATGGCCTGAAGAGCACCTGCACACACCCTCTTTCCTATTCCGAAGGCCATGGTCTGTGCAAATCCATGGGGTCATATTTCTCATCAAGAAATCTCTTTGGCTTCCACTCATGGATTTTCCCATTGGTTGCTTTCCATGTTACATCCATATATATTTATTGCGATCTGTTAACATGAACCTGTCAACAATGGCTACTATATATACATAGGAGAATAATATGGGTGTTAATTCACAACATTAAATAGACCTCGCTTCCAGCAGGAATGTGATATCCTCCCAATTGAGTATCTTCATGAACATATCTTAGTGGCACAATTGGAGCTGGACTATGCTTCCTTAAAGTTTCATGGAATACAGCCCCCAAATAAGGTACCTTATTTAATTGGTCTTCTGTAACTTTTTCATGTCCACATACATTCTTCAGCTCCTCATAGAGACGGTCCTGCCATATAAAGAGGAAACCAATGAAAGTGTGTCCATAATGAGAGAAGCGAAATAACTAATGAACACAACAAAGTACCAAACAATAGATGATTAGCCGGACACAAAGAAGACAAACAACCTGACGATTCTTGTCCTTGGCAAGTTCATACATAGCCCATTCTGTTGTAACTAACGTAGTATCAGATGTCTCAATAATGGGCTCCCAGATAAGCATCAAAATTTGTTCTTCAGTCAATCCTTTAGTTTGTGGTAATAAGTAGTCAACATAACAGTTTACTTCCTGTGACATCCCAAACAATCCAATTAGGATAACTCTATCATAGGCCATGCACAGATTTGTAAGTTGTTATCACGGAAAACCAACCTTTCCTGAAGCTATTCTCCTCTTCTGTTCATTAATCAAGGCCTTCATGACAGCTTTTCTGCGGACACAAAATTTCTGAATTTTCGTCTCCATGCTCTTATTTGGAATCCATTTCAAGTATGGGAAGAAGTCTCGCCAATCCACCTCAATCGCACCTTCCATTATATCAACCACTAGAATCTTATATATGTCCTCTCTTGAAAATGTACTCCCAAGCTCCTCCACATAAATGGATTCTACACTACTCCCCAGAACCTGCAAAATCCCCATGCCCAATCTTGTAAATTAAGTGTTGTTCTATTCTCATAAAATGACTATTAATCTTTATCATAGGAGAGACTTACTTGCTTTAGTGATAGTCCAAAAATTTCAGATACAAATATGTTCCTAAAATTAACCGCCAAATCTGAAGTCTTCACTTGTTCGTTGAACTGCCTCAAAATATTTTCCATCATGCTTTCTCTGTGGACCCGGTGTCGTTTCTGAACATTGAAAAATAGACATCAAAGACACTCGGCACCCAAACAACCAAAAACAAAAACAGAGCTCTATTTACTCAAATACTGATAAGGTAGCCAAGAAATTATTGTAACCAACCTGTGCACTGGCTCCTAGAATGTTTGTAAGAATGTGTCTCTTGACGGTTTTGTGAAATTCATTGTAATCACTTGTGGCAACCATACATTTATCCAAAGACAGAATCTTCAGTGCATATGGTAGCTTCCTTGTTGAAACTGATGAATATTGAGTCACCATTGCCTGAAATGACCATAAAAGTTTACAATCCAGTTAACCGGAAATCAGAAGAATTACATGGACTGTAGTTATAACACTCAACAACCTTTCTGCCCAGCCTGCACGTACTAATTACTCTGAGAAAAGGAGAAACAACTGAACAATATAAAGCAGTATGTCACTGTTCTCAACTAATCTGCTGCAACATAGGACTCAAATGACATGTTAATCAAAGCTGTTACGGTGGATGAATCCTATAATCAGTTAATGCCTTTACCATTGTGTTAGGTCAGCCCATTAATAGTTTGTCTAAATATAGATTACTTAGTTAATCTCCATTAGTTGGTTAGTTAGGTGAGTTAGTTGAACAAGGCATGATGCCTATAAATAAGAGGTGAGATTAAAGAGGGAGGGTTGGGGAATTTGTGAAAGGAAATTAGGGCCTTTATGGCATTGGGAGGTGCAGACCCTTGAAGTTCTGCAGTTTGTGTTTGGTAATTTGGGGTCATCCCTAATTCCTCTTAATAAGATACTAGTTCCTATCACATTGTTTGCAACGGTAACAATGGTATTCTTCCAACTCTGTTGACGGATCAGTATAAATTCATCTAAAATAGCAATATGAAGATAATTTCGTTTGCAAAGACAAAGACAGCGGCAAAATGTTAATTTTATCAACTAACTAGATTAGCCATGAAGAAGACGATTAATCTTAAATTTCCTTTCCATATTGTTGAGGAAATAGTTAAGTTTTGTCCAGAAATAAAATAGAGATAATGCCCATCATTTTGCCATTGTATCACATAGTGAGCCGCACTATCATCTCAGGATCTTTATTTCTCACTTGTATATGAATATGAAAATATTGAAGACATGCTTTTACTCAAGAATTTCTCCTTGCTTGCAAAAACAGAAGAGACACTGCTAAACAACTGTCTCTCTACAACTTTTACATTACCCATTTACCCCTCTTAAAATGATAAATGGATCAAAGCTTCCAAACCTAAGTAATTGAGGGTGTTAGCTTTTCATTCAGCTTGCTTTGTTGCGCGAAGTAATCTTGTGACTTGATGAGTTATAAAAAAATTATTAGTTACTGTTATTCTTGGCGAAATCCTAAATATCAGTCCCTAAACAACCCACAGAATTATATCTTCACCAACCATTTCCCTCCTTTACTAATGAATTAACGCTTTTTCTTGCCCGTGTAGTTTCCACATCAAACACTTACTTCCAAAACTAACAACTAATACGTCAGTAAGAACACCTGAGTCTCTTTCTTTTCATTTGCAGCTAAAAGTGGCAAACTTGTCCAAGAAAACATCAAGCAGGAGAGGACCACAAAAGGCCACAGGAATCCTAGGATTAAGTTACATCAATCCAAGAACTCATTTGGCACTACCATCCAGATTTAATTCAACCAGCATATGTGAAGAGAAGGGTTGAAATTTGGAAAGAGTAGGACAGTGAGTGTGTGTTTAGGAGCTACCTCCTCAGCAACTTGGGCAGAATTGAGAACAATGAGGGTGGAAGCACCGGTTCTGATTGAATAAATAGGCCCATGCTTCTCAGCCATCCGTGTGAAGGTCTTGTAAGGTTTCTTCTCCTTCAATTGCAGCAGATTCCCTATCACTGGTAGACCTGGAACCGCTGCAACAAATCACTCACCCAGTTTACTACTCATGCTCTTCCTATCATGTTCTTATCGAACACAAACATAAAACTAAAACTAGATGCCCCCACATGATCTATAATCATAAAGTACATTAACATGAGTGACTCATACCTGGTACCGGTGGAAGTTTTGCATGTTTATGAGAGAAAAAGATGGTGAATCCTGGTCTGAACCGGAGTAACAAGAGCAACAAGAGTAGTGAACATGCAGCCACAGCAACCGAGGTTGCAAAAGGCTGTGTCTGAAGAAGTTGAAACGTGAGTGAGTCCATTGCAGCACCGTACTTTGTTTGAAGGGAATCGTTATCAGAGAATCAGGGTTGAATATAAAGATGTAGATGTTATCCATCTTCGAGTTTGGAAGCTATAACAGCATCTCTCCCCCGTTGATTCCGTTTCACGAACTTCTATGAATTTAATAAAGATAATGATTCTTCATCAGCAAGTCCTAAATTTAAAAATATTGAACACTGCAAACTTTCACTAATGGCAAATCTTTTTATTATAAGTATTATTAATTTCCTTTTCCTGTCTTTTAATATTATAACGTCTAGATTCGTTATCCCTTTCTACGTACAACCGCCTTTCTTATGAACCCCTTAAAAAACTAATTTATTTTAAGTTTGTAGAAATTCAATAATGATATGATTGCCTGCCCACCGTCCATGTATATACGACTCCGAAAACGTGTTTTGACCTTGTATTGATTGTTTATGCATCTGACCGGATTGGTCTGTACTGTTGTTTCATACCAACTTTCTTACAATACCATATTTGTTCTCCACTTCTACAAAAATGAAGAGGTCATTGCTAAATTCATATTCAAAGTTTACTCCTATTATTTATAATCCCGACAAATTTCTAAGTTAAACAGCCAAATATTGGCGTCAAATGATTAGAGAGACAAGCAAGGGGGGAAATTCTCACATATACAAGGTGCCTGTCATACGGACATCAATTCTTGTACACTATATTGGGATCCTCTACGTTTACAAGATGAAGCTTGTTCAATACATTCTCCAATGCTTGTACTGCAGTCCTGTAATGATCATGTGATTTCTTACCTTCCTCTACAACCTTAACAATCTGTCTATATAAATGGTCATACCTATGAACTGGGTTACTAATATCAACGCCACTACAATTGTGATCATAAACATTGCTACGCTTTATATCTTTTCTCCATCTTGACAGAATGTACTGATGTGGGATCTCTTTTATCCCATTTTGGCTTAAGATAAATAAAGCATGCCTACACAGGTAACCTTTGAAATTGAACAAACCACAAATGCAAAGGACATCCATTTCAGCTTCATTATAGTACACTTCATAATCTCTTGCATCTCTCTGACTTCCCTCAACTCGAACTTGCTCCTGGACAACATATGTGATGACTGGCCCATCAACATTTATCTGTCTGGAGCTAAAGCAAGAATACATCCCTTCCACTTCCCTTTCAAATATTCTTAATATTTCATTGGTGTATAACTTTGAAATATGCAACTCAAAGTAAGACCTTGATTTTGGCATAAAGCTAGAAGATTTTGAGTCCAAATCTGCCAAAGCCTCAAGTTGTCGTTTTGTCCGTAAAGCCTGGTCATATTTTTCAAGAAAATCTTGTAGAGATGTTTTTTCATCGAGGTACCCATCAAAGAAAAATGACACAACGTCAGTTGGTTGAATTGGAAACATTCCTGCCAAGAAAATTTCCTTCAGATAAACTGGAACCCACCGTTTCCGGTCCTCGTGTAATGATTGGAGCCATTTATGGCCTCTCATTTCATAGCTTTTCATCATGTCCTCCCAAGTTGCTTCAAATTCCTCAGCCCTCAGTGAGAAATAAACTGCTCTGTTCAAAGCTGCATTGATTGCTTCATATTCCGTCAATGCTCCCAGTTTTTCGGGGATTTTTTGCATAATATTAAATAAGCAAAGGCAGTGTGTAGCTCTTGGAAAGACATCAACAACTGCAGTTTGCAAGATTCCACATTGGTCAGTAATTATAACTTGAGGGGGGCGTCCTAAGATACTAGTAAGCCAAGCCCTGAACAGCCACGTATACGATTCAATGGTAACACCAGCAAGCAATCCACAACCAAACAAAATGGATTGTTTATGGTGGTTTAACCCAAGGAACATAACCAGAGGAACTTGATATTTGCCTGTCAAACACGTGGTATCAATTGCAAGAACATCACTAAAATAACTGTATGCCACTCTGGACTTGGCATCAACCCAGAACAAATTCCTCAAACATCCCCTCTCATTGATATCCACCACATAGAAGAAGTCTGGATCTGCCAATTGCAGGTCACTAAAAAAATTCAGAATCGCTTCGGCATCACCGTGCTTTAGCCTCAACTGATTGGAGTAGATGCTGTCATGGGACTTCCCCTGATCAACATCTAGACTTGCAGTATCCTCAGCATCAACTATGACGGTTCGAAACATCCTAATTTTGTGAACCTGTTGAGCAGCATCTAACTGCAAGGTTCTTTTGGTCCCAAGGGCAACGTGCTTATGGGACTTATAAAACTTTGCAGTGGTTGGGTTAATCAGGTGGTTGTGGTCAAGCTCAACTTCTATAATTCTCCACCTTTTGGAATCCATCAACCTAAACTTGATCATAGCAGGACAACCAGTTCTAGTTTCGGGTCTGGGACGATTAGCCTCACTTCTTTTCTTGAAGCCTGCACTACTGCAGCTAAGTTTTGCTCTGTAACGTTCCTTACTCTTACGATACCAAGTGTTTGTTACCCTAACCCCAAAACCATGTTCCTTGGCATAGCAATTATAGAAGTAATAAACATCCTCGTAAGTCTCGAATTCCATTCCAACAGCAGGAGGAAGAGGGTTGTGTGGTTGAATGGTCCCATTTTGATTCACAATTTCACTTTGCCACTCAAATCCGTCACCATCGCCTTCCTCATCTGCTACGGGCTCGCTGTTCAGAGAAACTTGATCCATCCAATCCAATCCAACACAAACCCTAAACAATGTAATTCCAACACAACATTCGCTAATTCAATTTCTTAGCCGAATCTTTATAACTTGCTACAAAAAAACAGTATTACCTTATCGCTTGGGAGTTGGCAGACTCCACTTCAATTCTTCCTCCCCCTTTTGGACTGCCAATTGCAATTTCAAAACCTTCTTCACTCCTCTCTTTACTCTCTCCTCGAGCCACACCCCATGAGGGACGCAAGACTCGGGACTCTCCCACCGTACGACGTCGTATGGATTTTTCTTCTTCTTTTTACTTTTAACAAACCATTTTATATTGTGTTATTGTTTGTCTTTTTCGAATTCCAACTGATGATTCTTTTTAATTTTAGCATCGAACGTCCAACATATATCAGGTTTATCTAAAATGAGTTTTGACTTCAAATAAATAATAAAATGTCATGTATTTTCAAATTTCATTTGTAGTACATTATAATGTAAATGTAAATGTGAATATTCTTTCTGTGAATCAAATTAGATGTGGGAATAATAGTATGCATGCTTAAGAGCTGTGATTTTGAAATGTTTGTGTTGTGTACCCTCTTCAGGTACCTGTTGACATAGCTCCTAACTCAAAGCGCAGACAACTCCATGATTGCCACTTCTCTTGAATATCAACAAGCATTATCTTCATTTTTTGGTTTTTAAAAATATTATCGTCCGTTTTATATTCCGTTATTAATGTAATAATAATATGTATTTATGTTTTGGAATAAAATATGCAGTTACTGAATAAAACGTGTAATTTCTGTAAGAATGTGTGTATTTATGAAAAGAATTATTGAAAGAGAAAATATTTAATTTAATAAGCATTTTTTAATAAAAACTATTATTTTAAACTTAAACTCAAAAAAATAAATCTTTTATTATATATCTTCCGACCCATTAAAAAAATGAAGCGAATATATGAAATATTATTATGATTTTAAAAGTTTTTTCTCTGAGAAAGACACCCTGGCACAAGAAGACAGGGAAGTTTGAACTTGAATAGTTACCGTTAGTGGTACCTAACACAACTCAAAATGGCCAAAACACGAGTGCGTTTCCCAAAGCCTTTTGAAATTCAAACATCCTATGAGTTTGATCCCATTAATCTGAATCGCAGGTTTGGTTAAAGGGACCCACGGGAAGGACGTGAATAAATTGAAATCAAAAACAAAATTTAGTTTTTACCCAATTCGTGCGTTTCCTCTTAACATCGTCAAAGTGTCGATCAATAACGTCATGTTTCTTTCTTAACGTAATACTTTGAGAGGTTCAATTTCAGACACAGCACCACTAAGCTATGTCAAGTGTTGCTCAAAATCAAAACAACCAACGACCAGCTTCAATGAAGAAGGTGAAACAGGGTTATAGTTCTCTGTATTTCAATCCTTTAAACGACATCACTCACTACCGTAGCTTCAGCTGCGACTCTGGCCGCTTACCCTCCAAAGGTAACAGTAACACCTTTCACTGTCAAGATCAAGTCCATGACAACAAGGAAAACGCCAACGCCAACGCCAACGCCAACGCCAATGGGTCATCTTCTCTGCCAAAGCCCTTCTCAAAGTCCAAGTCTTTGTCCACTGACAGCATTTTGAAGCCTTCCTCGCTTCAGTTCTGCATGCAAATGAACGACCTTGAATCGCATAATTCCACCTCTTTGAACATTTGGGACTACTCTGACTCAGAGGCAGCTCCTGCTTCTTCCTGGTCCACTTTGCCCAACAAGTCTCTCTCTCTCTCTCTCATTTTTCTGTTTTCATTTCCTGGTTTGAACTTAAACTTAGTTGGTTCAATGTTATGTTTCAGGTCCTTGATTTGTAGACCCTTGCCGATAGATATTGGAGGGTGCACGTGTTTTATTGTGAAGGAAGCAACCCCGCAGGAACTATCAGGGGGCACTTTCTTCTCTCTTTATACCAATGTAATATTAAATACAATAGTTCGATTAGTTACAAGTGTTGTTCATGGCTTTATTTACATGTGCAATATCTTGATTTAGCATCTTGTACATATATTACAGGAAGGTCAGGGACGGCAGAATAGGAAACTAGCCGTGGCCCACCACAGGCGGCGGAATGGGCGGTCTCAGTTCATTGTAGCTCAGAATGTAAAAGGAATAGTGTCCAACTCAGATGATAGTTTTCTTGGGACAGTAACAGCTAACCTCATGGGCTCAAAATACCACATTTGGGATCAGGTTTCATTGTCTATCTTTAAACAAAGCACTAATATATGAGATTAGTGAAAAAAGTTTGTACTAAATTTCACCTATAATCTGTTTGGTTATTAGGGATATCGTCATAATTCACTAAGTAAACAACCAAAGCCACCGCTTGCTGTTGTGACGTAAGCCAATATCTTCATCCTTCTCAATATACCAGTTGTTACTTCTCCTCTGCCTAATTACAAGATTTGATTTTCTTGGGCAGCTATATACCTACAGTAACAACGTGCACAGGAAGTCACAGAAGCATGAGGGCATATATACCCAAGCATCAATCCATGTCACTGAAGAACACAACCCAGGTTGATTAAATATTCTGTGATGTACTTGAATTTATTTTCAATGTTAAGATCTCATCTAGTATGTCTGCACAGTCACAATGTTTACAATTAAATTAGAAGTTGTGTTTTCCAATTTTATCAAACGGAGTTCTTTTGGTACAGGTGCAACATATCAAAGGATTACCAATGAATTGGGAGGGAAAATTGGACAAAGTCCATCAACTGTTCTCAAGGGTTCCACTTTACAACAGGGTAGGAGCCCTCAGGGGAAAGTTTCTTTGTATTTAGTCAGGCATGCATCTGGACTTGATTAATTTCTATTGGCTTCCTTCAGATTTCCAAGCAATACGAACTTAACTTTAGAGATAAAGGAAAGGCAGGACTAAAAATTCAAAGATCAGTTAAAAATTTCCAGCTGACTTTAGAGGTACGTTGAAAGTATTTTTCATTACCGAGTGGTGTATAATGTTATAACCCTTTCCTATCAAGGATTATAACTAAATCCAGTATAATGAACATATTATGTTCTTAAGTAAAGAATTATGTGAGGCAGCTAAATAGCTGTTCCCACACCAATAGTTACGTCGTCTGCTTAGCTGACTTGGGTTTACTATAATTAGGAGAATGGGAGGCAAACCATCCTGCAGCTAGGGAGGGTGGCAAAATCAAAATTCATCATGGACTTCAGGTATCAATTCAGACGACATTTTTAATGTGTATTTGTTTAATGTATTATATAATATTAAATGCTATAAATTTTAATAAAAACTTACTCTTTTATTTTTTATAAGATTCAATGAATTTCTTATTAAAAAACTGTAAAACAATGTTTCTTTTGTCTTGTAGACTCAATAAATCTCTTTGGGTGTTTTAGCATGTCACTGTAGAAAACTAAGAGAATTGATTTCCTTTTTCAATAATACCCTCATTTTCTGATATCTCATTTAATATTTACGTGGACTCACAGCTACATTCTAGTACTTTTAATAAGGATATTATATTTGGTCAAAAAAACTTGTTTGATCTTTGTAGCATGAGCAGCTAGTAATTTTCTTACGGCGTGTTGCTTTAGAAGACAAATAATATGAAATGGAGACAATTGCTATAATTTGGCTCAAGTTTTGTTGTATAAACCTAAATTTTAGAAATTTTGGATGTGGGTCTGACAGCAAGTACGTTTTCCTCTGCCGAGTCTGCAGATATCCCTTGACAGGTTACCAGGCGTTTTGCATATGTTTGGCTTCCATTGATGCAAAGCTTTGTTACACAGTGTAGTGGGAAAATTCTGTTACAATACTCGGTTCAACCTCTGAACTGAAGGTGGCTTCCCATATGGAAAGAAAGAACTATTGGACATCACTGCTAACACAAACAAATGCAAGTTGTTTTGTGGATCATGTCTTGGAGTACAATTTTCGAAAGAAAAATATCATTTTGGAGGTTGTGTTTGGTGTCTCTAAGTTTGAGCTCGTTTAGATACCAAATCCTCAAGAATCGTTGTACTCCAGTGATCACTACTCTACTTTCAAGTGTTCTGCCCATGTAACTTGCTACTATTTTTTTTTTTTTTATCATAATTCAGACTTATGGTGCATATGCGTAGGTTCCCACTTCTTGAACAATTTTAAGGAAAAAATATAAATTAATTTTTTTATGGAAAATGGTAATGCAATCAAATGTAATGTAATGTAACCAACCACTAAATCCTATGTGAAGAAAACAGAGACCTTCTTGAGTGTTTAGTTTGATCTGTAAACTGTTTTGCCTGTTAGATTCAACAAAATTAATTGATTTGGGTAGCACCTTACACTCAACACCTAACTACTAACTCCAAGCAAAATTGCCCCAACATGGGAGGGTGAGCGATGTGGCGCATTGTTATTGCCCTCTTACTTCTCATTTGTGCAGAATAACCTTTCTGAGTACTACTCCTACACATAAAACAAATTGTGTTTCAGTAAAACGCAAAGTGGTAATACTTGGTTTTGAAAGAGTTATTGTCACAATTATATGGCATGTCAATCGAATGGAAGAAAAACGTTCCTTCTCTTGCGAGAAAATAATTATTCCACCACAAAAAAGCATCACCATCCATTTTTTTTTATCAGCCCACCAATTATTCTTGTACCATTGTTGTTTTAACAATTATACACCTTCCTAGAAGTAGTGTAGGAACACAGAGAACTTTCCTTCCAATCAGAGAGTTGCCCCGATTTCATCTGTATTAGTCTTTTAGTTGAAAAACACAGTTGTTGTGCCACGTTAAGTTGAGAGTTAAAATTTGTTGGATCCAAAACAGATTATTGGACATTTTTAAATATAGAAATATAAGTATGTTTATTACATTATTCTTTTATATATATATATATATATATATATATATATATATATATATATTACTTTTTTATTTTACTTTATGAAAAATATTGAAAGACAATGACAAAGCTGAAAAAATTTACATTCTTGATTTTTAAAATAGAAATACTTAAAAAAAACCTAAAACTTTTTAAGTGATATTAAAAATGTTAATGATATATTTTAACCCTTTTTAATATAATTTTAATTATTGTGTAGTTTTTGTAAAGCACGCTAGATAAAAAAAAATTGCATGATTTAATAAATCTTACATGAAATCTATATTATAATAAAGAGTATATATGTGTAAGAATATATCGTTAATACTCTTTTTGATTAAAATAATGAAAAATTACATGTTTTACCTTTGTCATCTTCTTCCTATTGTTTTCTAATTGACGTTATCTAAATGGTATTTGTTTCACATCAATAATGTCGACTATAAACAATAGTTTATTCTTTAATTTTAATCAAAGTTGTCACTGTATGCTTTAGACAATGATATTCATACTATTCTTAAGACGACAAAAATAAAAGGTAGTCAGATCAATAAACATAACCAAGTGTTTTTCTTATTTTGAAAGGTGCATTTTCTACATTTAGCATAATATGTTAAGAGAAAGCAATTCTTTAAGAATTAGCTCAAAATTTAAACATGGACTAATAATATGCACTACAGAACTCTCTTACTAATTACTAGGTCACCATATGAGTTGTTTTTCTTATATACAAGCATTTAATTTAGAGATAGATTAGCTTGACGAAACTAACGTGGTTGAAATAGTAATTGAGTAAGCTCGAATTTTGTGGTTGATATATAACTTTAAATTTAAAAGCTCTTGTACCATATATAAAAGCACCATACATACATTGAAGTTGAAATTAGGCTCCCACATGGCATTCTGATTTATCTCAATTATAAGAATTGATACAAGAATAAACCAACAAAAAATAGCAATTTTTCCCGTGAGTTTATGCAAAACGAAGAGAAGTGGCACTGCTTAAAGAATATTCCATACATTAATTCTGGATGTAGGCATCGGTGGACATTGATTTTAAATGATTTTGAATTCATTGTTCTAATTAAGCATTAAGCTCACAATGAAAAAATGGTGACGCAATTGACGTCAAATCGCCAAATATAATGTCATCAGTCTCAGCATAGATTCCAGAATCGTGATTTTCGAAAAAGGTTTGAATATCATCGGGGAATGTACGAGGAGGAGGTGGTGGAGGGTAATCTTCAGCTGAAGTCCTTTGTAGCATTTCTTTGAATTTGGATGACTGTAAAAGAAGGCCCAATGCAGAAGATGTGGTGGTGGCAGTAGTGCCATTACCAGATAGTGGTGTAGCTGCTGTTGTGATCTCGTTTGTTCCAAGTTCAGGATCAGTCTTGCTTGGAGTTTTACGCTTGTCTTCGTCTTGGGTATTAGGATGTAGCCATTTGATGTAACGACTAAGGTCGAAGTTTGTGACGGCGTTATGTCCACGGTACTCTATGGCCGCCATATCGTACGCCATTGCTGCTTCTTCTTGTGTGGCTGCATGAATAATACATAATTAAGGTTCTATATATGCATGAAGAGTGTTTTAAAGAGTAAAAATATATACTTATTAATAGCCTCAACAAGCAGTTGAGGATTGTTTGCATATATTTCCTCATGGACAAATTATATTTTTCACCTCTTAAACTTAATTTATTTTTTATAACATTATTTTGACTTTTCTCATTCGATATAATTGCATTAAAATTAAGATAAAATATATAAGGTAATTACCGTAAGTTCCAAGGTATAGATATTTGTTGCCGAACACCCTGCCAATTCGAGCTTCCCACCTTCCATTATGATGGTGTCTATAAATCAAAGACAGCAAATCAGACCATTTTAACTAATTTTAAGAATTTAATTACAATGTATTTTGAAAGTGCATAACTTTTTATATTATTATTTCATTATAAACTAACATATATTTATACCTACTTTACAAATTAGAATGATTTTTAGTTGATTGTATTATAATGACTTTTACGGTATATTAACATTTAATTTATTATCATTAATTTGTAAAAATAGTTAAATCTAAAACAATAAATATTTTTATTAAATATTAACATTGATATATTATCAATATAAAATAGTTTATACTATAAACATATGATAAATATTAATTTTCAATTAATTATTATAGAAGTCTACAATTCTTGATAATATAATTTTGTAATTAATTAATAATATAAAAGAAATATTTATATTGTTAGAATATTTTATTTCAGTTTTTTATTTATAATAATTTTATTCCTTTTAAATATTATTACATAAATTTAATTTTTAATTCAGATATAATCAATTTCTTAAGTTTTAAAATACTACATCAATAAAACTAATACATTGATATTTAAATAATTTTTCAATAGCTTTTATTTAATTTTGAAAATTGTGTATTTAATTTATTTTTATATATAAAAATATTTATTATTAAGAATATATAGAGTTTAATTTAATATTTTATTAATATCAAAACTTTTACATTAGCTAATTAGAATATGATAAATCGGATAATATAACTTTTAAATTAATTATTGCAAAAGTTAACAATTTTTACTGATGTAATAACATATAATTAGATGATAATGTAAATTTATTTTATTGACACAGTATATGCATTTTGATTAAATTTATATTATTATGTAAAATTATATATTTAATTTTACTTATAAAATAATTGAATAAATAATATTTTATTTAAATTATAAATATAAATAAAGAGATAAATAAGTATAAAATTTTCAATCCTAAAATTATTAAACATTTTTTAATATATGAGCATTTTATAATTTAAATTAATCTTGTTAGAATCAAGCAAGTGATTGTGAAGGAAAAATATTTTTTGAGTATTTAAGATAGTTATATTTAATAACATATAATAAAAGGATTTATGTAATAAAAATTTTATTAAAAATAAATTTGTTTATTAATTTATATTATGTATTTTTAAATGTATATTAGAATATGGCACAGGTGGAACTTGATTAATGTTAATTATTAACAACCGAAGTTGTGGATAGGAACAAAGGCAGATGGATGAAAGAACCAACACATTGACCAAATTCTTATCCTACAGATAATGCTTTGGAGAATATTGGACCCACAAAAATTAAATGTGTCAGCAAATCCTTTTGTTTTAAAACAAATGTAATTTCAAACAAGTTACTGTATATTTAATAAATTTACAGTAGATAGGAATCTGGGATCATCGAGTACCTTGCCACGCCTCTATATTTTGAGACTCCGCGAGAAAAGCCGCTACTTTTTCTGTAAATTGAAGATTAATTCCTGAAAGAGAGATAGATAGCATAGGAAATGGATTTGGAAATATTAGATGTTCATGTATCAACATTTAATAACGAAAAACCTTCTTAAGGATCCAATATATTCTTCCTTTGATTGATCCTCCATCTCCTTAAGCTCGTCTTGATAATTGGATAGCTAGGATCAACAATTTATAATACCATAACCAAGCGATCAAAGTTGGTATGAAATGATCACGTATTGAACGGAGGATGAGAAGATTTACCGGAAAATTGAGAATGGTATCTTGGCCCCAGTACTTCAATGCTGCCAAGTCATAGGCACGTGCTGCCGCATCTTCGTCGTTATATGCCCCTATCCAATCCAATTTTCTATTCAATGTTATTAAATTTTGATTGATAAACAGCACTGAATAAATCGGGTGATAAAAAAGATCATACCGAGATATACTGCAGGCATTTGTTTCCCATGGGCAACATGAACGGAGGCAACAGAGTGAGTGGAATTGGAATGGAAATGGGAGAATATATATGAATGAATGAATTAGGATTTAAGAACCTTGTCTTCCTTTCTTGGTCTGCGATTCGTTCCAGCAAGTCTTATCCCACAGATGAGCCTCGTATCGACCTGTCCATCGATGCCTATAATAGTAGATAATGAATAATGCAAGCCATGCATGAAATTGAATGAGTGAAATGAATATGAACCTTGTAACGCCACGGTAGATTGAGCTTCGCTGGGAAGGAGAGTGTCTTGGGTTGGTTTTGCGTGAGCGCTTGACCTTGTTTGTGTTAGTGTTAGGAGCGTTAGTGTTGTTCTTAGCCATCAATTCTCATATAAAGAGAGGAGAGAAGCACTGCTCATACAGGCGGAGAGAGTTGAGTTATATAAATGACAAACTCGTGAAAAAGTGGTGTCATTACATTTTCTTGGGATGGAGTTGAGGAGAGTGGGACAAAGTTATTTGTGAATAGGTTCAAGAAAACGTTAAACATTTAAAAGTAGCAGAAGCAATATTGTATTTTATTTTCACGTTGTCTGTCTAATCAAAGAACAGATAGCAACAAAGGAATGGATTTGTCGTTAATATGGTGGAAAATAAGTAAGTTGTGAATAGCGAGAAAAAGAAGAAATTGGACATTGGCATTCCAAAACTTGTTCCAATGTTTGTATTGAATTTGAATGTATGGGTCATGGCTGCCTAACTCGTGCTTGTCTCTGTCGCTAACCCAATTTTTAAGTGTTCTAATCAACATGCGTACATGTTTTAAACGCTCAACATAACAAAGCAACTGGGGCTAGAGACACACAACACAAGGCCCAAGACTCAAATAGCCCAAAGTAACCAGCCCACAAAAGGCCCAAGATACGAACCTTTTAAACACTTAATTAGATAATTTAATTAAAGATGATTGATAGTGGTGAGTGAGAACTGAGTAGATTGTCTCATCCCCGTCTTCTCGCTTCAACAATTAATTAATATAAAATTTAAGACTAAACTTAGTGCGCAGTCAAAGTTACTTTTAGTGTTGTTATTCGATTAAATTTTTATTTTGAATCTTTAATAATTTATGCAACAAAAGTTGGCATAAATTATTTATAAAAAATTCTAATTTTGATTAAAAATATTTATTGATTACACCTAAATTTCGTTCTATACAAATTTCTCAACTTGTAAGTGTGATTTGCACAAATACACGGACGATGTATGGCCAGCTTTCGAGTGAGGACAAGCACATGTTTCCCAAAAAAATGTAAAACTAAAAAAATGAGAATTTATATATTCATTTAAAGTTTATTATGTTTTCAAAATTCTTTTTTAAATAAATAATAAATATATCTTTACTTTAAACATTTTTTGACTTTAGAAAAATTAAATCATACACAAAAGTCACAGAATTTTGCGCTGACAGCGTTGTATATGATAAATTTCATTGCTAGAAAACATTAAAACTTGAGTTCAAGTTAAATGATTGAAAACAAACTCTAATTTGAATTAAAAGATAGCACTCAAAGAACATCAACAAAATAGCATAGACGAAACATGAAGATACCCCCATGGAAACATATGGCCAAGATAACATGTCTAATGATTGACACAAGATAGGGATAAAAGCATTTCTCATTCTTATTCAGAGGTGTAATAGCACTATGGCACTAGTAATTTCTTGGCTTGATTTTTACTAGCAGGGGATGAAGCTTGTGGGTGGTAAGGCCCACTGTATCCACATTCTCTTCCTCCCCTTGTTCAAGTTCCCACTCAAATTCCTTAACCAATCTCCCAATTGCTGTGCATGCTATCAACATGGCCTGAATAGCGCCTGCACACACCCTCTTTCCTGCTCCAAAGGCTATGGTCTTGTGCAAATCCATGGGGTCATATTTCTCATCAAGAAATCTCTCTGGCTTCCACTCATATGGATTTTCCCATTGGTTGCTGTCCATGTTACATCCATATATATTTATCGCGATCTGTTAAGATGAGCCTGTCAAAAATGGCTACTATATATACATAGGAAAATAATATGGGTGTTAATTCACAACATAATTAAATAGACCTCGCTTCCAGCAGGAATGTGATATCCTCCCAATTGAGTATCTTCATGAACATATCTTAGTGGCACAATTGGAGCTGGACTATGCTTCCTTAAAGTTTCATGGAATACAGCCCCCAAATAAGGTACCTTATTTAATTGGTCTTCTGTAACTTTTTCATGTCCACATACATTCTTCAGCTCCTCATAGAGACGGTCCTGCCATATAAAGAGGAAACCAATGAAAGTGTGTCCATAATGAGAGAAGCGAAATAACTAATGAACACAACAAAGTACCAAACAATAGATGATTAGCCGGACACAAAGAAGAACAAACAACCTGACGATTCTTGTCCTTGGCAAGTTCATACATAGCCCATTCTGCTGTAACTAACGTAGTATCAGATGTCTCAATAATGGGCTCCCAGATAAGTATCAAAATTTGTTCTTCAGTCAATCCTTTAGTTTGTGGTAATAAGTAGTCAACATAACAGTTTACTTCCTGTGACATCCCAAACAATCCAATTAGGATAACTCTATCATAGGCCATGCACAGATTTGTAAGTTGTTATCACGAAAAACCAACCTTTCCTGAAGCTATTCTCCTCTTCTGTTCATTAATCAAGGCCTTCATGACAGCTTTTCTGCGGGCACAAAATTTCTGAATTTTCGTCTCCATGCTCTTATTTGGAATCCATTTCAAGTATGGGAAGAAGTCTCGCCAATCCACCTCAATCGCACCTTCCATTATATCAACCACTAGAATCTTATATATGTCCTCTCTTGATAATGTACTCCCAAGCTCCTCCACATAAATGGATTCTACACTACTCCCCAGAACCTGCAAAATCCCCATGCCCAATCTTGTAAATTAAGTGTTGTTCTATTCTCATAAAATGATTATTAATCTTTATCATAGGAGAGACTTACTTGCTTTAGTGATAGTCCGAAAAGTTCAGATACAAATATGTTCCTAAAATTAACCGCCAAATCTGAAGTCTTCACATGTTCGTTGAACTGCCTCAAAATATTTTCCATCATGCTTTCTCTGTGGACCCGGTGTCGTTTCTGAACATTGAAAAATAGACATCAAAGACACTCGGCAACCAAACAACCAAAAACAAAAACAGAGCTCTATTTACTCAAATACTGATAAGGTAGCCAAGAAATTATTGTAACCAACCTGTGCATTGGCTCCCAGAATGTTTGTAAGAATATGTTTCTTGACAGTTTTATGAAATTCATTGTAATCACTCATGGCAACCATACATTTATCTAAAGTCAGAATCTTCAGTGCATTTGACAGCTTCCTTGTTGAAATTGATGAAAATTGGGTCACCATTGCCTGAAATGACCATAAAAGTTTACAATCCAGTTAACCGGAAATCAGAAGAATTACATGGACTAGTTATAACACCCAACAACCTTGCTGCCCAGCCTGCACGTACTAATTACTCTGAGAAAAGGAGAAACAACTGAACAATATAAAGCAGTATGTCACTGTTCTCAACTAATCTGCTGCAACATAGGACTCAAATGACATGTTAATCAAAGCTGTTACGGTGGATGAATCCTATAAACAGTTAATGCCTTTACCATTGTTTGCAATGGTAACAATGGAATTCTTCCAACTCTGTTGACGGATCAGTATAAATTCATCTAAAATAGCAATATGAAGATAATTTCGTTTGCAAAGACAAAGACAGCGGCAAAATGTTAATTTTATCAACTAACTAGATTAGCCATGAAGAAGACGATTAATCTTAAATTTCCTTTTCATATTGTTGAGGAAACAGTTAAGTTTCGTCTAGAAATAAAATAGAGATAATGCCCATCATTTTGCCATTGTATCACATAGTGAGCCGCACTATCATCTCAGGATCTTTATTTCTCACTTGTATATGAATACGAAAATATTGAAGACATGCTTTTACTCAAGAATTTCTCCTTGCTTGCAAAAACAGATGAGACACTGCTAAACAACTGTCCTCTACAACTTTTACATTACCCATTTACCCCTCTTAAAATGATAAATGGATCAAAGCTTCCAAACCTAAGTAATTGAGGTGTTAGCTTTTCATTCAGCTTGCTTTGTTGCGCGAAGTAATCTTGTGACTTGATGAGTTATAAAAAAATTATTAGTTACTGTTATTCTTGGCGAAATCCTAAATATCAGTCCCTAAACAACCCACAGAATTATATCTTCACCAACCATTTCCCTCCCTTACTAATGAATTAATGCTTTTTCTTGCCCGTGTAGTTTCCACATCAAACACTTACTTCCAAAACTAACAACTAATACGTCAGTAAGAACACCTGAGTCTCTTTCTTTTCATTTGCAGCTAAAAGTGGCAAACTGGTCCAAGAAAACATCAAGCAGGAGAGGACCACAAAAGGCCACAGGAATCCTAGGATTAAGTTACATCAACCCAAGAACTCATTCGGCACTACCATCCAGATTTAATTCAACCAGCATATGTGAAGAGAAGGGTTGAAATTTGGAAAGAGTAGGACAGTGAGAGGGTTTTTAGGAGCTACCTCCTTAGCAACTTGGGCAGAATTGAGAACAATGAGGGTGGAAGCACCGGTTCTGATTGAATAAATAGGCCCATGCTTCTCAGCCATCCGTGTGAAGGTCTTGTAAGGTTTCTTCTCCTTCAATTGCAGCAGATTCCCTATCACTGGTAGACCTGGAACCGCTGCAACAAATCACTCACCCAGTTTACTACTCATGCTCTTCCTATCATGTTCTTATCGAACACAAACATAAAACTAAAACTAGATGCCCGCATGATCTATAAAGTACATTAACATGAGTGACTCATACCTGGTACTGGTGGAAGTTTTGCATGTTTGTGAGAGAAAAAGATGGTGAATCCTGGTCTGAACCGGAGTAACAAGAGCAACAAGAGGAGTGAACATGCAGCCACAGCAACCGAGGTTGCAGAAGGCTGTGTCTGAACAAGTTGAAAGGTGAGTGAGTCCATGGCAGCACTGTACTTTGTTTGAAGGGAATCGTTATCATAAAGAATCAGTGTTGAATATAAAGATGTAGATGTGGTCCATCTTCGAGTTTGGAAGCTATAATAACAGCATCTCTCCCACTTTGATTCCGGTTCACCAACTTTATGAATTTAATAATGATAATGATTCTTTATCAGAATAAATTTCTTGATTTTCTAAATTTAAAAATGTTGAACATTACAAACTTTCAATATTAGCAAATCTATTTATTATAGTATTATTAATTTCCTTTTCCTGTCTTTTAATATTAACGTCTAGATTCTTTATCCTTTTCTACGTACAACTGCCATTCTTATGAACCTCTTAAAAACTAATTTATTTTAAGTTTGTAGAAATTCAATATTGATATGACTGCCTGCATTTTTTTTTATTTTAAAGACGAACTTCAATTTGTATTTGTATTTGTATTTGATGTTTATGTGATGTACGACGTAAGTTATAAATCAAAATTGCATGACATTATAATATAAATACACAACCAAAAAAATGGAAATCAAATAAAAAGAAGAAAAAGATTATTTTTTGTTGTTGCGATCCTCAGTTCTCTACAATCTCCCAACATATACAATCGACGAGTGGAAAAGAAAAGATGTAAGTGTGGGCTTACTGTTGCAATTATCGTTTAGATAAAATTAAATCTTTCTATTGGAAATCACAAAACGATAAAAGAAAGAATTTCAAAAGGAAAATAACTCAGAGCCACATCAGCTGTCGTCGTCTAAACCCAATATATCTGACCAAATTATAAGAGGGAAAATTATCACAAAAGAACAAATGAAGTGTCGGTTTCCGTTTGAAACAAAAATATTATATTAAACTAAATCAGAAAAATCAAAGAATTTTGGTCACTTTTGTTGCTGCAAATCAGTGTTACATGCACAAAACGCATAAACTGTAACGATAAATTGTAAGATTATGCACAAATCAGCGTTACATCATATTAATAATATTGTCAAAATCAACATATTCATATTTAATGTGGTTGCAAATAATCCAAATAACATTTTAATTTTTGAATTGAATGAACAAGGAGACCATCCAATCCCAATTGTTTCTCAAGCTTTCTAGCCCAATCAGCCCTTTTCTCCGAGCGATAACCTCTGTCCTTCATTTCTAGTACAATAGTACCTATCTCCCTTCCTGAGAATTCAAATTATAATTAGGGTTTAGTTTGCGACCTTATAAGTTAAAAAATTATTTTAGATTGTAATTTAAAACACACAACTTACTAATAGACACTAAAAAGTTAAAGAACCAAAACACCCAAGAGATGCTTGAAGAAAGCCCGTTAATGTCAATCTCATGACTACAATAGACAACATAAGAAAAACCAATCATGGATTATTTTTTTTCAACGGAAAGAGAAAGCAGTTTCAGATCCTTAACAGTAAAAATTAAAAAAATTTAAATATTAAGGGATCTCAAAGTGTAACGTGTAAAATGAAAAATCGATATTTTCTCCTATTTTAGTGCGAATTAAATAATATAATCAAACACAATTTTATACCTTCACTTAAATAAAAATTTAAAATACACTAACGATCTAAAATACACTAACTGGATCGTTCAGTTAAGAGAGAGAATCTTGATCCAAAATAAAGTTAGAAAAATATATAGCCTGCAGAGATAGCTTGGCTTAAGAACTTCCATTTTCCTGCTAAACTCGGTTGATTCAGGGAGGAGGAATCCTAGTGTACCATGTTGTTTCCTCTGTAACTTTATTATTATTATTATTATGCTTAAAATAAAGCATGTCTTTTTTCTTTTTTTTCTTTATCAATGTGTAAAAACTATGGGTAAAGGTAGAAGTGGAGCGAACAATTTTTAACTCTATAAAGTGTAAAGCCGATACATTATACATGTTGAAGGGTGAACTCTTTATGTTGTCTTCTAAATCTACAGAATGGTCCTTCATCAGCAGACGACGTAATTGTCAGAATTGGTAATGATCATGATGCAGATGATGTGGTGGAAAAGTTGGTGAGAGTAATTATGCTCAAGTGCCAAAGGCTACAAATTTTGAGGGCCAAGAGAATGGAAATTTGCTCCTGAATCTTCCAAGAGTAGCACCGATCAGTGCCACATTTTTTATTCCACATGCAAGTCGGATGATTCTGCTAGTCAAGTTACATCATAAAACCCAAGTGGTCTTTAACAGTGAATATTTTATGTGCAGATTCAGAAATTCACGTTGATAAGAAATTCACGGTAGTAGCCATGCACACTTGACTCTAGTTCATACCTTGTAAAATGTTGGGACTTCCACTGATAATGCATGGGTAAAATTTTAAACAAGAAATTTAAAATTTTTCGATGAATAAAACTGACTCCATACTACAAAACTTTTTAAATATATTTACATTTACACTTCAAAAGCAATTTTGCTTTCTTATCCCAACAAAATCAATTATTCTATATTCACTTTTAAGATACCATTCTCAAATATCACTAACATATCTTGAAATCTTCATTAATTCTTTTAAATTCAATGTTACAAATACTTAAACCAAACGCATCCTAAATTCCTCACATGTCTCGCATTTGTGCAAGTGAAAAAATTATAATGGTGTAAAAGACAACATGAGACGACTGTAATCAAATGAACAAAATATAAACTCCAGGTGACGTATAGGTAAATATGTATGCTTAGCATTATTATAATGTAATTAATAATGAAAGCATTTAAAAAAGCGAAAACAAAGAACTCATGAAAATAAGTGATAACTCTTACAAGTTCTTTTAGCTCATTTCAACAAGTTTCTTAATATAACTTTTCAAAATAAGCTCTTTTATATTCAAATTATATCATAAGCTCTTGCATAAGAAGAGGTTATTGAATAAGTGTTCAACTAAATAATTTACCCAAACACATCCAATACTATAATAACCTTCACTATGGTGTACTCAGATAATAACCTAACCATTCTACCCCAAAATTCTATTTTTGCTCTTATCTTACCACTGAAGAACTTTTGAGATCAAAATGGAAAATTTCAAAAAGTAAGACCAAATTCATTACTCGCGAAGAGCACAAGGAATGCAAGGAGGGTCTTTGGATTGGTCATCAGGGGTGATTCGCTCCAAGCAATAATCGTGAAAGGTGTGGCCACATGACAGGACAGCAGCAGCAGGCGGAACAGGTGGCTGTGAAATAGGCCCTTCTGGTGCGTAGGAGAGATCCCTCTTGCACAAAAAGCATTTATAACCAATTGGTTCAGGTGTTTGATCTGAACCACAATAAAGTTCACACATTAGAAGGACATAATATGTAATGATCCACAAAACCAATATCCACAAGGCATCATCTTGCTACTTCTTTCATCATTGAATTAAAATTTATAGATAAATGTTTAGATTTAAAAATTAATCTATGCATTTCTTTATTCTTTTCCCAGAGCTATATCCTGGAATTCACTCATTTTGATAGACCAGATTTTAAAGGAAAGGCAGAGATCTTGCCAGTGACAGCCTATATATTATTGAGATTATATACCAAATAAAGTATAATTGACTAGACCATAACTCAAACGAAAGAACATCAGCTGGAGAGGAATGAGTACAAGGCCAGTATCGGCCTTGTGAGTTGAAGTTCAATTTTTGGGTGAATTTCAGGGTCTCTCCGTTTCTTTTGATATTGAGCGACTCTGTCCAGGATTCTTGTTGATGAAATAGTTGGCTTTACTGCAACACATGTACGATCTTCAACCCATACCTCTATCAATATATTTTCAGTTAAAACAACCCTACAATTAAAATTAGTCTCCTATGATTCTTCAAAGGGAAATGAATTAGGAAAACAATCCATTAAAAGCTTTTTTGAATTCATTAATCTCATAGGAAAGTGAAATCTAACAACACCATACTCTTCTCATCAGAATAATGAAAATAGTTTCAGTGACTGTTTAAACGCACCAGTAAGGTAGAAACAAGTCTACCTAGGTATTTTCTGAAGAAAACCAACTAAATTTCCAGAAACGATGTTGTAAGGACACAAGGACAATGTTAAGTATGTAGGAAGAAATAAAGAAGCTCCAAGCAATACCTTTAAATTTGATGTAATCGGAACCAATACTAGGAGCAGATGGTATAACTGGAGCCCTCAGATGATGGCGAGCCAAAGGCTGAGGCATCAATTGTTGGTTTGAAAGAGGTGGAGTATACGATGAGGGGTGGAAAGATGAGATTCTCTTATCATTAGGCAGAAGAAATGGAGCTCTGTGCATTACAGGAGGAATTGTCTGGGTTATGTTTGGAGCTGGAAGAGCAAGTTTATTCCAAGTTGTAGGGAATATCGGAGGAACAAAAGATTGAGTAGCTTGGGTTGTGAGAGAATGGGCCCCATGGACTGTGGGTGAAATGGCTAGGGGTGTATCTGGGATTGGGACTGATGGAGCCAATCTCATCCAAGTTGGAACTGATGGGGGTATGAACTGAGTTGGTAGGGTCTTCCTGCGATGATTCTGGACAGTTGATGACAGTGGTTCAGAAGCAGGTCTCTTCAGAGATGATATCCTGAATGGCCTTGAAACTTCAGCAGTCATGTTTCCTTTTCCAATTTGTATTCCTAGATCCAAAAAAGTTAGTTTAGTGATGCCATAAAAAATATCCAAGAGTGAGTGGAAATCAGTTGTTTAAGAAGGTGATCACCAGAAGTAGAATGTGGTCGAAGAGAAAGGTTTGATTGCTGAATAGAACCAACTACCTGAGACTGAACATGATTACCTACAGGAGGCCATGAATCTTGATCAATAAATTATAATAGATCATTTACTCCCCTTCAATTTTTAAGAGCTACAAATCTAATATCTGTCTGCATGCATAAAATGAAATGTTCCCTTTAACACATTACAGCAAACAGAAATCAATCAGCTGTTGCCCAGGCCTCTTTTAGATACCTTGTTGTGCCACAGTCATCAGGTTTCATGAAAACTAGGGTAATTTTTAATCTCTGAACTAAACTAGAGGGCAGGAAGCACCATAAGTTAAACCAAGCAGAAAAGTTTGTGAAAATCCATAAGCTATTCCTTAAACACGCAGGTGATACAGTTAAATGAATGTCTTTCAACAAAGAGGAGCAATACTTAATTCAATTGCTGAAAACGTTTATGGAGTAGAAATGCACAAATCAACTGATGCACCACTCTTTTTCCATCCACCTTCCCCCCCTCTGTCAAAGAATTGTTGGATTTGAGGTACTTCATAACATAACAATTCATTTGTATCATTTCAAGCACAACAAAGCACTGACTTGGGAAGAAATGGTAGAGGTACCACCTGAGTATTCTGGGATGTGGTCCATTGAGCATATCCAAAATGCAGTTTGTTTTACTTTTATTTATGTAAAACAAAGTACAAAAAGATAATATAGATATCAGCTTCTACAAGAAACAATTTTACAATTTAAAAAAAGAGTCTGAGTGAAGCCACTGCAACTCAGGGGTCTACTAGTACTTGAAAGAATAAGAACTCTAACTACTATACAAACAAAAGAAAGTAGCACAAAAAGAGTATCTGAAGACCAAGGAAAAAATCATCAGTTACATTTTAAACAGATAAGATGTAACTCAAAAAACAAGGAGCATTCAAAGCAAATGACTGAATTCCTTTTAGTATCAACAAAATCATTAAAGACGATCAAACATGTTTCTGCTATTCAAGAAAACGTTGAAACTTAAGAGGATGTGACATATATTAAGGTTTATGAACAGAAAATAAGGAATTAGGAGGTACAACACATACTTGAAGAATCCTGCCCTCTGGTGCTTCTAGCGGCCACAGCTAAAGGAGAACTAGCAAAAGACTGGGGTGAGGAGTTATCATTATTTTTAGGTAAAAGCTCAGCAGGCAACTTATTAGTTACCATTCTGATTGAAGAGAGAGCTAGCTGTCCATTTCCCCTGGTCTGTCCACTTTCACTAGGCATAATTTGACTGCCAAAAAATGGCAATGAAGGTAGAACCATGCATCTTTCAAGGCCAATTTTGTGACCTACATCTACAGATTCCATACCTATGTCTTTCACATCTCCAAGACCTAAATCCCTGTTGGCCTGCCCTAAATAATGGTTTTGGTCACCAGCAGCTGGCCTTTGGAAAGCATATGATGGTCCCAAACGTAAACCAGATCTAGAATCTAACAGAGCTTCATGTTTGCCGGTATGTGCTAAATCAGATTCGATTTCACTGTCATTCTGAAAACCAGAAAAGGCACTATTCATGTCTGAACCAGGGTTTGTGAAACTTCTGCTACCCAGTTGATTGTGATAGGTATTGATTGGAGGAAGAAATACCCTCTCAGAAGTATCAGTCGTGTTGATTTTTGGTAGTACAGCACTGGATTTTGACTCTCTGTTACTTCCAGAACCAATGTTTAAACTTTCATCAAGTTTTCCTATAGCAAACAATGACTCTGCACCATCTTGATTTGGATTAAATGGAGTCATTCCCAAATTCATATCTAGTGGAGGCTGACCAATATTACCTCTCATTGCTATTCCGTTAGGGTTGATCATTTGTGGCCTGCTGGACGAACCATAACTTGGTGTCAAACATTTTCCACCACTATCAGGCTTATCAAACTTATTTAGATTGAAGGCAGCACTCATCGCATCATTAGGGATTGTTAGATTATCACGCCTAGTAGATTGATATGGCCACCCTACATATCCTTCTGGACATGGAAAACGAGAATCTTGTCTGCATGGAACGGAATTATGTTGTCCTTTGTGCGAGTAATTATGGTCCATCTGCAAATTCTGATTACTTTTGAAACGAGAGGAATCAATCATTGAATTACCTCCAGCTGGTTCCCTGCTATAATATTGAGATGTTTCATTCAAATTCCGGTGGGTAAAACGAGACACTGAAACGTAAGGTATAGTGGGGATTGTATCATTATGGTAACAATCACCAGCAATCATGTCACGGTTAGCAGAATCAGTGTTCGTAAAACTGAATTCAAGTTCTTCGCTCCTTTTCATCATGGAAGCAGAAAAAAATGGCATATTCACATTCTTTCACTCTGTCAAACATGGATAACCCTGCCATAGAAAGTAAAGTCGCCTCCAAGAAATCAAATCTCGTACAAGTTGAGGATAACCAAAAGTTAAAGTCCATAGATTGCTAGCGATTCTAGTAAACATGTTATTGGCAAAATGCACAAAAAAAAAAACATAAAATTAGCACAGCATTCACATAAGCCCATCGAAACACTTGCATTCACACACTCCACACTCGTCAAGGACAGGTAGAAGCAAGCAGATATGCTAGGCAGTACAAAGAAACACGAAGAATGTAAGCTTCAGATTGAAAAACAACTGAAAAGCTCAGTGCATAGCAAGTAAATATCGTAAATTTCCGCAGAAAAAAGTGTTAGTAGTTTCCCCTAAATTTTCATCCATCCCTAATCCGCAAACACAACAGAGTAAAGTCGAATTTGACATTGCAAAGCGCAATATTTAAAGAAGATAATTTTGTGGAATTTTGAAAAGAGTATAAAGAAAAATGAATGAAAAATGGTAGGGTTAGGAAGAGAAGGCATACCGGTTGGGGTTGGGGTTGGGGTTGGGGTTGGGGGTTGCTGTGAAGAGAGGAATTGACCCTAACTGTGTAGGGTTGTAAGTGAGGGGTGGGAGACATTTTAAAGGGTTCGGTGTGGGGTCTACCTCTCTCTACTCGTCGCGCCACGTTTACTACCCTTTCCTGCATCAATTGCCACTGCATCATCTCTCTCCCATTTTTTTTTCTTTTTTAAATATTCTTTCAATAAATTACCAATAATATATAACTTTTTTTAAATTCAACTATATATATACACAAAAATTTTATAAAATATACCAAAATATTTTTATATACTTATCACATAGTAGCATTTATTATATTCATACATTAACATGTCATCTACAAATATTTATTTATTTATAATTTAATATAACTCATTTTATGTTATTTAATATCTAAAAGTCTTTTTATTCATTATTTCTAACACAAATTTTGAACAGCCGTATAAATTAAACACAAATTTATTAAATGTAACTTCGAATTAATCTAATAAAATGTTATATTAAATACTAATGATATATAGCGCTATTTTTAATATTAATGATTATTTAAAGTATAATAATTTATGTTCAAATTTAAATTTAAAATTTTTATGATTAAATTCGCATGATCTTAAATTCGCATCTTAATAAATTAATATTATTTTAAATAAATTAAAATCTTCGCATATTACCAGAAATATACCATTATCATGATATAAAGTGAGAGTTTATACAAAAATTAAATCGATAAGTTCTGTATAAATAATATTAAGTCGTGTTAAATTATTTGAATACCAATTCGATATAATTTCTTTTAAAAATTTTGATATTATTTTGTAATCAAAATTAAAATTATACAATGATAAAAGATCTGCATTTGGTGTTGTTATATATTATTTCAGATAAATTGTAATTTTAATTAAAAATGATACTAAAAATAATTTACAAATTATATATAAATTTTGTCCAAATTATTTTAGAATTTTTTTTTTTAATAACACAATGTTTTATATCCTTTACTGGTGTTACTTGAGTTACGGTTCTTGAATTAAATACAGATTTTGGTTAAATCTTATACATTAAAAGGACGTTCAGATAATTAAATAAATTTTAAGGAGGAGTGAAATAAATCATTTATGAACATAAAATGCTTTTATACTTTCATAGAAACATTAAAAAAGTATTTTTTTAAAGGATATAAGGTATTTATTTTGTTTTCTTTCAAAATAATTTTTTAAAAGTAGTTAAAACCTTAAAATAGCAAAAAAACAAAAACAAAAACAAAAATATTAAGACTCCATACATAAAATTTTAAATATATACTTATAAAAAATTTAAAAATAAACAGATATTATTTTATAAAATAAAAAAAATTATACTTTTCAATTTTAAAAATAAGTAAAGAATGTTTAAAAATATAAATTTATTTTAACTTGTGAGAAATTTTAGTTTATATTATTATTTAATTCTTTACTTCAACGAATACTTCCTAAGAAGCTTATCTAAATTAAGCTTAAGTCAAATTTGAACTAGTATGTTATTAAATTAAAACTATTTGGTATGACTATTTTTTAAATTTGAAAATATTCACAAGTTATAAAAATATATATTTGATTATTGATAATAAATATTATATTATATCAATGAATTAAAATTAAAGAGATAAATTTTTAAAAATTATGAAAAATTTAAATTTCAAGTTAAGGTTGAATTGAAAAAATGAATGCAAAGGAAGTCATACAATATAATGAAAAGAGAAAACATCTCTTAAAAAAGCTTTTATTTAAAGTAGCTCAAAAATTTACTCTCATTGGTTGAAGAGAGTTGTACAGAGATATATATGTGTAAATGTGCACACATGTGTGCATAGATAAGTACTTTTAGTAAATAGAAAATGTAATGACGAATTAACTATTAATCTAAAATTAGTATAAAATATTTGAACTAAAATTTATAGCAAATAAATTCTCAATTTGTTTTACCAATTTATACAATCAATAATATGTCATATACTTATTGTATTTTTATTAATTATTAAATTAAATTTTAGAATAGAAAATTAATTAGAAAAATCATAAAACTAAAAAGACCATTTATAAATAATTAAAACATAAAAAATCAAAATTAATTATAACTTAAAGTATATAAATACCAAATGAAATTAAGCCTAAAAAAATGTTATATATCGTCGGACTTATAACTTAGAAAAGTACTACTTGACCTTTACCTCTATGATATATAGTGCTACTTTTAATTTAAATAAAATATCTCGTTTCATTTGTATACTAAATCTATTTTTATATATTAGAAATGAGTTTTTAATTTTTTTTATTTTTAGAAAATGCTGTTAAGAATTATCTTTTAAAAAAGGTATTTTAAGATTTTTGTTATTACGTCATATGTTTTTTTCAGTATATTATTGTTTTAATATTATTTTTATAATTTAAATATGTTTATCTCTTTTAGTTGGTCCCATTTAATGTAATAAAATAGTTAATATTTAACTTATAATTTTTTAAAACTATAAAATAATAATATAATATACTTTAAATTTTTATTTAAAATTTATTTGAATTTAAAAATAGTCATACAAATCAGGAAAAAAATCGCTAATATTACGTAACTAAAATGCAGATTAAACAAATTAAATTTGGATCCAAAGTCGATCAACAATCACATTTTTATAAACAAGATGAAGAGAAACAAACAATATGAGAAGAGAATATGACTACCAAGCTAAGTTATTTTGAATTTTTTTGTAAACAGTCCATTATCCAGGATTCAGGAAGCAAAGAGAAAAAAGAAAATGACAGACGATATGATTTAATAAGGAGAGAGAGAGAGAGAGAGGGAGATGAATGTTGATATCGGTATATATGAATAGGATTGAATTATTTATACTTCTAGCTGCTGCTTTTATTCAGAGACAATTTTGGGAATATACCAATCGGCTCAAGCATCATCCAAATTCAAACTAATGAACCTCTACACAAGCAAAAATGGAATACATCTTTTTACGTTGACAATTACTAAGCCTGCATGTTTACTCTAACATAGAAAAGATCCAAAAAACCCCAAGAAAGCTGGCACAAGCTTTAAACATGGTGGCCCTTTTTCTTTTGCTGGAGGATCCATGAGATTTGCAGTCACACGCAAATGGGAACCTGGGTAAGACCCAAATTGGAGAAATCATAGTGCTCTCAACAAGAGGCACTCTAAATCGCAAACATTTATCTTTAACAGAAAAAACTCCCAATTCAGATACCATACCGTTTGCAGAGTGACCAATGAAGTATATGCGATCGGCTTCTAACATTTGTGGACATTCTTTAAATGCAACAGATTCACAATTCAAATCACTCACAAACAAAGCTTGGTCTCCCAACCCGTTCACATTCACCACCTCACTGTTTTCTTGTACCTTGAAAACATCAAATCCAATGGTCGGGCCTTGAATCCTTGAACGCTCATAATACCTCTTCAGAACCAGAAGACTTTTGTTAGACTCCACCAAATACATGTCCACATGATCTGACAGAGCCACACTTGCACTTGGACATGTTATGCTACCCACTTTAAGGAGCACACGTGATTCTGATTCATCAACTCTGAACGTGTCGATCTTGATACCATCTTGGGTAATTGCATAAAGCTTGTCATTGTGAAATGTGAGATTACGATACTGGTCATCACCCGAATACCCTTTCCAATCTCTGTCGCCAATCTTGCACCACACCAAGTCCCCACAGAAAGTGGCGGCTGCAACAGTGACAGGATTTAAACTCTCACAGGTTGAAATTGCGAAAACCAAAGGGAAATCGCTAACAATGGGTTTGTCTCTCTTTGGCTTGAGAAAATCGGGCATTGTGGTCTGAGGAGGAAGTTCGATTCGAAACTTAGAGAAAAGATTGAGAATGAAGACTTTGACAGGGGATCGAATAACGAGCCAACCCTTGAAGGATCCCGCAATGAAGGAACCACCAGAGGGCTTGAAGGGTTTCAAAATCTTGTAGGTTTTGCGATGCGTGGAGCTGAAGATTTTAAACAGCGAAGAGGTGTCGTCGTTGGTAATAAGCCAGGGGGTATCTGGGACATGAAGCTTGGCTTTGTTAGAGGTTGAAGAATGCCACGCCTTGCACACTTTGCTAAACCCAACTTGATCTGGAATTGCCAACTGCTTGTAAAACATCTCTACTATATCTTTTGGCATTTGTGACCAGTCTCGCTTCTTCTTCATCGCTTTCCCCTCCATCTCCATCCTTATCGCAGGTATCAAGAACGGTGTTTTATCAAATCAGAATGAATAATCTTTTCCAAACCACTCCAGGTTTCTTTATTCAACTGTCATATTAAGACAAATTATATTTATATGAAAAAATAACTCTACAATTTGCCATATAGGCTCCCTCTTTTTCTTCAGAGGTACTGTTACGTGTAAGTATTGTTTAAAAAAATACTTAATTATTAATATATTATCTAACTAATAAATTATTCTATTGATTTGAAATACTTTTATGTTCTTATTTAACATTTCTTGAAGAATGCTAATTACCAATGTCCTTTTCAACCGCCTTAATTTGGGTAAATAAAGTGGTCTTGGGATTAAAGGACTTCTCAAATGAAAATCATTATATAATAATAACTTTTAAAATAAATAATAAGGATAATAACATCTTTAGATGGTAATTAATTATTTTAGCTTTTATGTTACTATATTAGGCTTTCCTGCTCCTCTTTCACTCTCTAATTTTTCTTTTTAAAAGGGTACTGTACCCAAAGAGTATTATTTACAAATTTTGTATCTGTGACAATGCGACACACATATCAATTAATTTTTTTAATTTAATATTTTAATTATCATCTGTCAAAAATAATATAGTTTTTATTACTAAAATTTTCATATATTTTTTTTGGTTTAAATTTTATGAAATTATTACTTCCACTAACTTATAAAATTATAAATTATTACATAAAAAAGTAAATTTGTTTTAACGATAATACAATTTTAAAATAAGTTACAAATAATACTTAACGAATATTACAAGAATGTATATATAAAGATAATACAATGTGTATATAGCGATTTAAACAGAATAAGTTTTCTTACAATTCATTCAAGATTAATGTAGTTTCAATTGATGTCAACTTTCTTTATACAACAAAAATAATCTACTTTTTTTTATTTTAAAATTGAATTGGAAAGTAAATTAATGTAACATGTATTTTAAAGGAATTTATTATTTGTAGAGCTGGCAAATAGTTGGGTTGATCCGTTTGAATCTAATAAATTTTTTAAAAAATAGATTTTAAATTTTATGCCTGAATTAACATTGAAATTTTCTTTGACTCGTCGAATCTTTTCTTTTAATTGAGTTCAAGTTGAGTTTGAGCCTTTAAATAAAAACAATATTTTTTTTTTCACTCGACCAACATCCAAAAATTTAAACTGACTTAATGTGAATCGAATAATCTATTTTGCAAACTGAATAATTAAGTTTTTTATATCCTTCTTCTTCATACTCTGTTAATTTAAATCTAATTAATTATCGGATGTAATTCAATCTATTATCACACTGATAATTAATTAGACAATTTAAGTACAGTTATTTTTAATGTTATTATTCAATTTATCAATTAATTTGTAAAATAAAGTTCACATTTAAAATTGTGGTAAGTTATTAAGGTGAAATTTTAATAGCATTAGTCAGCCAAAAAATTAGCCAAAAATTTAAGAAAATACATTTAACTTTTCTCCTAATTGATTTTCTGTTCTTCGATGGGAGGGTTTGAATCACACAGCAAAAGTACGTAGCATTATCAGCCGAGTTCCTAAATATTGGATCGGTGGAATATATCAACTTAATCAACTCCAATCATATTTGAATACACATGTACGTCCAAGCAAAAACACAACATAATTTACAGCAAGTTGTTCCTTCTTAAAGCATACAAAGTCTCATAATATCCCTAGTATAGGTTTATCTCAACCAAATTAAAGCGAAGAACTATAGGTTTTTGGGGCCAAACACACCCTGAAGTACACACTACACACATTAAAATATTCACACATATAGGGAAATGGATGTGCAATCATGCTGAAGCTGCATAAGGATTATTAGGAGGATATTTGTGGAACGAGAGAGGTTCAAAATTAGTTATGGGTCTAGGAGGAGATCTTCTTCCCGGCGAGGGCCCAGGAGAATAGCCAGGAGGTGGCGGTGGTGAACGTCGTGGGTGTCTTGGTGGCCTATAAGAGATTTTCCGAATCGGTACCCCTTCAGGAGGTGGTAGTGAAGCTACACAGCCAGCTCCTCCAATACCTGCTGTCATAAAACTATATACATAACAACGGCTTTTGCTCCAACTCTCTGCTAATAGTTAACCATTGTTGATACAAGTGACACGCCATATAAATTATGAAAAATTTTATAAGAGTTATTTTTCAAAGAAAATATTAACTTGAGATTATTACGAAATCAATAAATTATTGGTAAGTATAGGAAGTAGTGTATCAATGAGTAACTCAAGGGTGCAAAAACGCACACAATCACATGCAGAATCGTAGTTATTACCCGCGGGTGACAGTGTAAGCATGCATCTAGCTTCCGTGGGAGTAGAAGCAAACAGCAATGGCTGGAAAGCGAAGAGAGAAAGTAGGAGGAGGTGGAGAGTCTTCATATTGCCCTAACTCAGTAGATTGCAGAGATTAATGCCACGAGATTCCTCTGACGAATATTAACACTTATATATACATACATTGTGGCAAGCATGAATATATGGTTGTATGGAAGTAGGTGATGGGTCCAAATCACATACCCGGAAAAGAATCCATTCCCATTTGCTGCTTCTTTTAGCATCAGACAAAACTTTGAACCAAATTTGCTAGTCATTTGAAAAATCTAATCTTATCTCCTACTTATTAGGTTAGTTAGAAATACGAAATTATAAGGAGGTATTTGGTATATTCACATGTATAAATCTCTCCACATTCATCCAAGATGTCTGGACATACGTACTGAATTTATAATAAATATAATTTTTCTAATAAATTTTAATTATTAGTTTTATTAAAATTTGTAAAAATATGAATTAGACTAATTAAATTATATTGGTCCTACTCGATTGGAACAGAATTACTTTTAGTGGAAGATACAAAAAATTGTAAATGAAAGTCACAAAATCTTTTATCATTTTTAATGATTTCCAGCCAATAAAAAAAGTATTTTAAAAAATTTATTCCAAACAAGATGCTAACACACGTGCATGGTTATTACATTAATAATAACGAAAATGGTAACACATACATAACCTTTGTCGTCTTTTTTTCTATTTGGATTTCGATGATAAACATAAATTATGTAAAAAGAAGAACAAAAACATAGTTAATTTAAATATATGTAATCAATTAAGAAGCAGGTAGCAATGCAACAATTAATCACAAAGTCACCTATAACTCATACCTAAACCAATATATGTAAACAAACAAGTCACACCTCATCTATTTGGCTGTCTAAACCTTTCAGGCAATAAAAGGAATAGGAACATTTTATAAGACCTTTCTTAAAAGTGGTTGTGCCATTTTTAATCAACAGAATATTTCGATATATACGTCATTTAAGTGTCTGTTTATACTAAATTCTCGTTTGCTCTCATTCACCTCACTAAGATTTGCATATACTATCTCAATACAACTTACTTAAATATTCCCAATACAAGAACTATCCTATATGTATACAATAGTTGAAGTATACCTCCATATATTTTCTGATGACGCATCCAATTAAACGTTGGCGTGAATACTTTGATACCCTAATCAAATCATATCTTTCTCCATAGGCTGCATAATTTCAAAACCAAAACAAATAAAATAAAATATATTATCATCATAATTATTCTTAATATCATTCTTCAAGTTAAAAGACTAGTTATGTATCATTTAGGATGATGACATCAGAGTTTTGATTATTATTTTTATACTTGTTAAATAATAATTTTAATTCGCACCTGTGAAGTACGTAAATCTCCATATTTGTATTCATTAGTTGCAATTTTTTAATTGATTTTTAAAAAATTATGAACTAATAAAGCATAAATATTATTATAAAAATTAAAGATTATTTAAAAAATACAAAAATACAAATAATATTATTAAACTAAAGTCTAATAAAAATATTAAATTATATATGAGACTATAACAAATTTTTTATTTAAAATTTTAATTTTAATATATATACACGCTCTTATGAGATGCAAGTAAATATATTAGTGTCTATACCTGTACTTATATCCATCAAATTTTGTAAATACTTTTTCGTATTGGAACTCTATTAAGTAAGTATTTACTTTTTTGTTATGTGAATTTTTTACAAGTATTTAACTTTATTAGACCATTATCACCATATTAATTTTTTTAATAATAGCGACCCAAATTTTAACTTACAAATTATATAAACCTTGTTTTACTTTCAGTTTTTTTAACGTGTATCTAAAAGAATATAATAAATAATAAAAGTTTATTAAATTTTATATTTTTATTAAAAAAAACATATATAATTTTTTTTATCATGTTTCATTAAGCACCATTAACTTTGCCATTACTAACCCACGATTACTCGATTCCATATTTCTTCCATTCTTTAATATCTATTTAAGCAATTGTATGTCACTACGAAAGCACCATCCCTCCAAAATGGCATACAATATAATATATGTGGGTATGGATTGATAGAGAAGGTTCACATAACAACAAAACTTAGTTATAATTTTATAGATATTATTAATGCTATTTTTTTAATTAAACTTTACATTACTGTCATCTTTATTTCGATTGTTTAAATAATAATATCTATTAAGATAGAATATTAATTTTAATTATAAAAAAATACTAATAATACCTATCGACCTAAGGTATGTCCATGACATAATCCAGAATCTAAGATGGATTTTGTTTGGTGTAACATGGCTTTCCTTTCCTACTTATTTTATTTTCAACAACGAACTTGAATTAAAGCTTGTTTATTTTTTCATCATAACAAGAGAATTTTTGTTCTTTGACATAATTACCTTCAAATTTATCTTATGGTTTAAAGTTTTTATTTGTCCTTTAATTTTATAATAAAAATATATATTAAATAAAGATTATTATGGAAATTGATTTTGACATATATTTTAGTTATATTTAACAGTTTAAAATTGATTATATTAAAATTATTTTGACTCTATTCTAAAACAAATAGACCTTTAACCGCTACAAATAAAATCAATGTTGTTAAGAATTGATTTCAATAATGAAATATTTACTCAAACAAATTTATCATTTTTTAAATTATAACAATAGAACGAATCTTGTTATTTGATACAAATGATAGGTCATTAAGTTTAAGAAATTCAAATTCATCCGATGAGACTTCTACTTACAATACAAATTGAAAGTTATTCATATTGGCAGATAATAAATTCCTTTCATAACTTTTGATATAGTGAAAATACAAAAACTGTAAATGGAGTAAGTGCCTTTGATTTGTTTCAAATATCTTATTTGTTGTTTTTAATTTAATCTCTTCATGTTCTTGTTTTTGGAGGTCAAGAAAAGGGCCAAGGCCCAACAGAAAAAAAAAGTAGTTGAGTGTTTACACCAATTATTGTTCAGTAGTGTAAGATGTTTGGTTCATAATATAACGCTTTGATTGGCTTCTTTGATCAGACCCTCCTTAATTGCTTATGCAGTTTGATTTAGTGTCTAAAGAACGATATCTTCTGTAGTGCATAATAATGAGGAATTGGCGCATGTAAGAAATAATGTCAAAGCAAGTTTAAATGTGCAATTATCATTAGTGGACATCACACAATAGCAATACCCACAAATTACACTTCTCGTTTGTTGAATTTGCCCATCTCATTAATTAAATGTGAAACACAAAAGCTAATGCCCTTTTCGATCATCACTTTTATTTGAAGTCAATCGGTTTTTCCAAAGTATTTCTTATTTTCACCTCTTCAAAATAATATTTTTAAATTTTTACTTTTTATTAATACATTTGCGTTCAATTCTCATTTTAATTTTTATTTTTAATAGAATTTATTCAATATTAAAAATATATTACTTGTATTATCTATAATGCTTTACTGCCAAAGATGGAGGGCCATATCATCCATCCAATTGTTCCTTGGCCACCAAAGAGTTCCTCTGGTTAAGTCATATGGCACACTAATTAGAGTGTGTGAACCACCACAGATTTTTGTTCTTTCTGCGAATACCACTTTTACCATTCTCCATTGATGCTTAAAATTCATTCACACTGAGACCCACTAATTGTCCTGAAATCTTAAACTTGTCAAATAATTTCACTTCCATACGTGGGTGCGTGACGTTTGTGACAATCGCATAATGCTTCCCTAAAATATCTCAGCTATTTCTTTTGTGGGTGCTGCGCAGCCATTCTTATTCCTATAATTTAAAGAAAAATGTTAAATTCTTATTTCATCTTACAAATCCTTTTACTCGTGTAGAAATACATGTGCTGCAATATATTAATAAAATTCTATTTTTTAAATTTTTTCTTTTTAGAAGACTTGTATTATTTAATAAAAAATATTTATCACCTTAAAAATAAAAATTGTAATAAATGTTATAAATTATTATTTTTTGATATTTAAATTCAGTTCTAAGAATTAAAGTTAACAAAATTGATATTGATTTTAGTAGAAAGAACTTTTCCTCTTTTTAAAAAATATGTATTATTTTTGTATAAGTAGAAGGATTTGTAGTCTCATACAGCTTAACTGTTGAAGATTAAGACTTGCCTAATTTAAAATGTCAACTGAAGCTGTGTGTGTGAGTGCGCCACTGTTGATTGAGTGCAGCACACTATTGCAAGCTGCATAGGAAATTTGATGAGCAAATGGTTGAGATTATGTCCCATTACCAATCTCCAGCCACCAATTGATCCTTCTGTCTCCTCCCAAATGGACATTCAATTGAGTTGAGAATCTACTCACACTTAAACCAATGCACCTATTGAAAGTTTTCCATAATGAAAGCATTCCCACCTTTGACTCATACCACAAACCGCAATGTCAAAACACCTTGCTCTTCTCATTCTCAACGCCCCAAATGGGTGGAAGATCTTTTAGCTAACAAGTGTTTACATTGCAGCCAATAATACAGCATGGTTTTCTTAGAAATGTTCTTCTTCCTTTTACTTGCAACATTTGGTTACTCGATCTCCCTTCCAAGGCACCACCATCCTCACCCTTCTCATTCTTTACTCACGGATAAAGCTGCTCTTTTGGAATTCAAAAAAACAATCATATCAGACCCTCATTCCTCACTTGCTAACTGGGACGAAGCTGTTCATGTGTGCAACTTCACTGGTGTTGAATGTGACAAATTCCATCACCGTGTTATAGGACTAATCTTGTACGATAAAGGTCTAGTAGGGCTCCTTTCACCTGTTCTTTCCAATCTTACTGGATTGCACACCCTTGAGATTGTTCACAGTCTCTTATTTGGCATTATTCCGCCTGAATTTTCCTCACTCAGACGCATTCATAGTATCATTCTTGAGGGGAACAATCTGCATGGTCCAATACCACAGTCATTTTCCCAGCTTTCCAAGCTTTACATTCTAGTTATTAAAGAAAATAACATAACAGGTTCACTTCCTCCATCTCTCTTTTCCAATTGCACTCAACTAGACGTTGTGGACTTCTCCAGCAACTCCCTAAGTGGTCAAATCCCACAAGAGATTGGAAACTGCCCAGGCTTGTGGAGTCTCAGTTTGTACAGTAATCAATTTACTGGACACCTTCCTCTCTCTTTGAAGAATCTATCACTTCAAAATTTAGATGTGGAGTACAATTATCTATCTGGTGAATTGCCTACGAAGTTTGTAAGCAGTTGGCCAAATCTCCTTTACCTTCATTTATCATACAACAATATGGTAAGTCATGATAGCAACACCAATCTTGATCCATTTTTCACGGCACTTAAAAACAACAGTGCTCTAGAGGAGCTTGAATTGGCAGGAATGGGCCTTGGGGGAAGGTTCTCCAACACTGTTGCCACCCAACTCACTAGTCTAAAATATCTACTCATGCAGGAAAACCAAATTTTTGGATCAATTCCTCACAGCTTAGCAAACCTTTCAAGGCTTTTGATCCTGAATTTAACATCCAATCTTCTAAATGGAACCCTGTCCTCTGAGATCTGCAGATTACCAAACTTGGAACAGCTTTTCTTATCACATAACCTTTTCAAAACTTCAATTCCAGAAGCATTAGGCAAGTGTCTTAATCTGGGTCTACTTGATCTCTCACACAATCAATTTTCAGGTAGGATTCCAGAAAGTTTGGGAAATTTGGTTCGACTGAATTATTTGTTTCTCAACAATAACCTTCTCTCAGGAACAATACCTCCTACATTGGGACGGTGTACTAATCTGTACAAGCTTGACTTGTCCTATAATAGATTAACAGGAAGCATCCCACTAGAACTCACAGGCTTGCATGAGATCAGAATTTTCATAAATGTCTCTCATAACCATCTTGAAGGTCCCCTGCCAATTGAGCTCAGCAAATTGGAAAAGGTTCAGGAAATGGATCTGTCATCTAATTACCTCACTGGAAGTATCTTCCCACAGATAGCAGGATGCATTGCTGTTTCAATGATAAATTTTTCAAACAATTTTCTTCAAGGTGAGCTCCTACAGTCCCTAGGTGATCTCAAGAACCTCGTATCTTTTGATGTTTCAATAAATCAATTATCTGGAAGGATACCTGCAACACTTGGTAAAATTGACACACTCACTTTTCTCAATTTATCATTTAACAACCTGGAAGGAAAGGTTCCATCTGGTGGTATCTTTAATTCAGTGTCATATTTGTCATTCTTAGGAAATCCACAACTTTGTGGGACAATTCCAGGCATATCATTGTGCTCTCAAAGGAGAAGATGGTTACACACTCGTTTGTCCTTGATTATATTTATTTTGGTCATCTTCATATCAACATTCTTGTCAATAATTTGCTGTGTAGTTGGATGCAAGCGTCTTAAACTAATCATCTCCTCTCGAAGGACAGAGGCATACAAAAGAGCAGCTAGACCTGAACTGATAAGTAACTTCCCAAGAATCACATATAAGGAACTCTCAGATGCCACCGAAGGATTTGACAATCAGAGACTTATTGGATCAGGTAGTTATGGACGTGTCTATAGGGGAGTTCTTATGGACGGGACACCAATAGCAATCAAGGTGTTGCATTTGCAATCTGGAAATTCTACCAAGAGTTTTAACAGAGAATGCCAAGTTTTGAAGAGAATTAGACACAGAAATCTGATAAGAATTATCACAGCATGTAGCCTACCTGATTTTAAGGCTCTTGTTCTACCTTACATGGCCAATGGGAGCTTGGAGAGCTGCCTCTATCCTTCTTGTGGATCATCAGACTTGAGTATTATCCAGAGGGTGAATATTTGCAGTGATATAGCCGAAGGGATGGCCTATTTGCATCATCATTCTCCAGTCAGAGTCATACACTGTGATCTCAAACCAAGCAATGTTCTCCTCAATGATGACATGACCGCTCTAGTTTCTGATTTTGGGATTTCGAGGCTAACTATGAGTGTTGGGGGAGGAAATGGTGGGGCCATTGATAACATGGGGAACTCTACTGTAAACTTGTTGTGTGGATCCATTGGATACATTGCACCAGGTAATGTTTTAGATATTGCCTCCACAGTCTTTATCATGCAAAATTACTCAAAAATGGAAACTGTTTGGAGGAACTTAAAAACCAAGCTCGCTTAAACTACCAGGGACCAAGTAATTTATTTAGTTCTTATCAAACTAGTACAACTCCCATACAAGCCAATTCTATCACAATTTGACACCAGCGAAATAAAAAAAAGTGTGTTACATAACTTGTTGATAACTGCATTATCTCATTCATACATATACCAGCAAGATAATACTCTCGTTTATCATGTGTTTGCTGGAAATATTTAAGTAGGTTTCACTAATTTTGGAAAACTTCAATTTTAGTTCAAATAAGAATTCATCAGTACTTGTTCCGTACTTTTTCATGCAGAATATGGATTTGGATCAAATACATCTACCAAAGGAGATGTATATAGCTTTGGCATTCTAGTTCTTGAGATGGTGACTAGAAGAAGACCAACAGATGATATGTTTGTTGGTGGGTTAAGTCTGCACAGATGGATAAAGAGTCACTTTCATGGAAGGGTAGAAAAAGTGGTAGATCCTGCTTTGGTGACAGCTTCAAGAGATCAATCCCAAGAGGTTAAAAAGATGTGGGAAGTTGCTATTGCGGAGTTAATTGAGTTGGGAATTCTTTGCACACAGGAATCACCTTCGACAAGACCAACCATGCTTGATGCAGCAGATGATTTAGATCGTCTCAAGAGATACCTTAATGGGGACACAACTGGAACTTTTGCCTCATCTCTTGGAATTTCATCTTCCACTATAGGTGATGATTATTGATTAACGGTTTTCTCTTCTTTCAGCCGATAATGGGCAGTGCCCACTTGTCTTGTATACCTATACTTTGCCCAATGGTAGATCCAACCTATAACCACAGAAGCATAACTTGAAATTTTATATAATATATGATTAGATAACAAGAACTTCCCAGTTCCTATTTATAGACATCTAAACTGCATAGCACGACATGTCTTCTGTTATAAACCTGTAATAAAACACTAAATTACCACATCATAATAATCCGAGTTGGGTTGGGATTATCTTTTAACAACATAAGATAAATAGAACAACGGATGTTCTAATCTCTAAACAATGCATTTTCTAGTTGTGCAGCCTAAGACATTACCGCTTAATAAAATTATGGGGAAACATTTGCTTCTCAATAAACGACACTTAGCAATCAGACAGATGATAAAACATTAACACTGTAATACATACTGAACAAATCTAAACCAAAGCACAAATCTAACCAAAGCCTTCAAGTTTTTTCCATATGATATCAAAGGGAAATACAGAAACAAAGCATTAACCTGGGGTATTTATATTTGGAATTGTAAATGTCATCTCATATTATCAACACACTCGAATTCATCATTTCGCATCCATTATTGGTGTTGCTAATGCTTGCTTGATTCAACCTGACGATTTTTTCTTTTTTTTGGCTCTAGTCTTTTCAACTCATTTCCAATATTGATATCTCTCTCTAGAACGACAAAGAAGCAAAGTTGAAGCGCATAATAGTAAGAATGTTTGTATTGGTTTGCTGATGAATATATGGCTTAGGGAAAGTTCACAATAATATTAGCCAACTGTCACATCATGCCAGCCAAGTCAGTATCATTAGAGACAAGAAAAATGTGAAGTGATAATCATGTAGAAGCAATCACTACTCACTAGTGGATGTGGATTTTATAAGATGCCGGAATTATGCTACAAACATATACACATGTTGCTGTATTATCAACCTCCATCATGATTAATGCAATCGCCCCCACTAAAGCAATCATGCTCCTGTTGCTGAAGTTGCTTTGAACATGATAAGACACGTCACCTTTTCAAAGAGTATTTTAGATTTGAAATGTTATGAGTATTTTACTGCTATAACAGTTTGGAATGTTTAATATTTACTGACGGTCATTAATGTTAATACCTTTATCAGAAAAAAGAAGAAGTAAAAAACCGATTTTTGTGACATGGATTACTTAGAAAACTTAAGGTGAAAAGAAAATGTTTTGTAAACATTGAAACGAAATTATTAAAATTATTTTCATTGATTTTGGAGAAAAATTATTTGCATACAGTATTATAGACAATATTAATTTTTTTAATGTTAAAAAAATCTGCACATGAAATACACTTTTCATGTGCTTTCCACTTACTAATTTGGGACTTCGCAGATACAGGCTTATTATGCATCTCATATAAAGGGAGAGAGCTCTCAGCTCTGGAGAACTTCGCTTCTCCTCAAAACAATCCCATAACAAACATATGTATAAATTTATTTTACATGTAACAAATTATATTACGATCTTCATTTTTAATTGATATAAGTATAAATTAATTCTTATTTGTTAAACTTTTTAGAGAATCTTATTTTAAAAGAAGTTTTTTTTTTCCTGCGTATACATAAACATTATCCATATATAGTCGCTCTCTAAGAAGAAGAAACGAATCCAATGGCCATCCTTTGCTCGCGTGTGATGTTGCTTTCTTTTAATTTTTTTAATGAGGTGTCTGCATATGCTATTGTGCTTTCTTTAAAACTACTTCAACTTAAGAGGAAAGAATCCAAAAACAGAACTATTCCCCAAATCTTTCTCCGTCGGTTAAAGCAAAATAGACGATGGGGAGAACATTTCTTACATGGGTCCTATTTGTTTCATGTATTCAAGCCATTTCAAGTTCAGATTTTCCCAGAAAATGCAGTTCAGAACAGACAGTTGGGGGCTCCTCGAAGAGCAATAATGTGCAAATACGCGAACCCATGGGTAAGAATTCTTTAATTTTTCAAACAAGAACATCATAATGTTTCGTTAAATTGTGGTCCTATTATATTCAACTGTAGAGAAATACAGAATCACAAAGGAGACACTATTGTTGGAGACAAGAGTTGAGGACAAGTACGATTTATCTTATGACTCAAAAATACGGAGAGGAAAAGGAGCTTACGGGGGAGCAAATGTTAATCACCACCCAAGCCACAACTCTGCAGCATCAATATTACCCCGAATCTCAGATGTATCTGTAAGCCTCGTTTTAATGGGGAGTGTTTCCTTCTACTTAACTACTTGTGCTAAGATGTTCTAGTACTCTAAATTTACTCTGATATTGTAAAACACAATAACGATTATGATTATGATGCATTTTAAATGAATTATTATATAAACATCGTTACTTATTCACTCCATAAGATCAACTTTGTTATAGTATAATATTGGTTTTGTTAAATCCCCTTGTCAGGAATTTCGTATGAAGGTGATTAATGGATCTTAAAATTTTGCCAATCAAACGTTTCCACCACACATTAGAGAGGCAAATCATTGATAAAGTTATTTAAAGAGCTGTATCAGTTAAAGCTTTCCACAGCAAACTCTGTGTTGCAAATTATTATTATAGCCAAAATGAATGTTGAAGATAAGCAATCATGTTAGGAGAATAGGACGGGAGCATGTTGATGATAGAACAAAGAAAATTCTATATAGGGTTTCAAATTTTATAATATCATTATTCATTATTCATGACAATATAGAGAAAAAAACACCAAGCATCCTCAAAGCAGTCAAATATGGGATGTTGGAAGGGAGACAGCTTGCGCTGACTCACAAATCTCGTCCAAATGTGAGATGAAATTCATAATACATTTGTTTCAAATGTCCATTTAAGTATACAGATTATAATACTTAGTCAAGGACTCAAGGCATGGACTATCATCAGAATTGTATAACCGGAAACAAGTCCCTAATTTACATATTTATCGGCTCATGAAAAAGGTGTCTTAAAGAAACACTAGAGAAAACACCACCTTAGAATCACTGTGGCATTCCAAAAGGCAGCTAGCCATGATCATAAACGGGCGAGAAGTTCCTAGGCATATTCAACCCCTCAAATGTCATAAAACAATTCTTGAAATACTTTCATCTGCTCTGGCGGCAAAGCGATTGCCACTGATAAGCTCCCATCATTTGTTGAGCTTGGAATAATGAAAGATAGCCCCTCGTATGCAATCCCACCAGGTCCCATGAATATGGGTCTTCCCCAACCAAAGTCAGCATCATGGATTGGGAGCCTTACCCAGCTAGTGATACCAAGGTTTGGACACCTAAAAGTATGTGCTCCGCGAACAAGAGCTTTTAGATCAGGCTGTAGCTCTAGATAGTCAAGAGCCGATCTCAAATATTCATTGTCCATTCGCAACAATGCATTGTGGATTCTGCTTGCAGCATACCATGTTGGTTTTGACATGAGATCACCTGCCACTGCTATTGGTGTGGTTGTAAAGATCACGTTGCCAAAGTAACCTGGGGGGAGGGGAGGTTGCAGCCTTGATCTTCCATCAGTTGCAATGTACAATTTGGTTTCTTGGTCATCAGGAAGTGCTCTTGCCTTGCATACACTTCTCCATACATGACCAGCTAACATCTCGTAAGAGCTATAGGCGACTGTGTTTCCATCTTCTCTGGACTTTCCCTTAATGATGTTGAGTTGGTCACGAGTCAACTGGAAAATAGAGACAGCCACACTCTCAGAGCCTGGTTTTGGAGGTTGCATGGGAGTCTTCATGGCTGGTGGGGGCTTGTATTCAATGTGTTCAAAGACAGGCTGAGGTGGATCCCGGGCACGGAGTAGTGTCCTGTCAATGAATGGTGGGATGGAAATATCCAAGCCACGCGCCACATCTGACCATGCATTGATAAAGTGAAGACCAGATGCTCCATCTGCTACATGGTGTTGCATACCAACACCTAATGAGGCCCCTCCACATTTGAAATATGTTACCTGTAATTAGTTATAAGTTCAGAAATCGATGAGTGAGTTGGTTCCTAATCAATTTTTAAACCATTACTTATAACTTTGCATTTTATTCACTTCAAAGATATAACAGTATTCATAAAATTATTGAGGGCGGTCGTTCAGCTGCAAACTGCTACTTTCAAACCGAAAAAATTAATTACTACGACTAATATTAGTGGTTGAACGTTCTCAATTAATGAATCATATTCAAACTCTTCTAAAGAAACAGCGCAATTAAAGAAAGTGAACTCGTCCCCGACATCCTGTTTCACATGTGCCTCCCTATGTGTTAAGGGTGATTTAATTGTTATGTTTATTGTGCTTTAAACAATCACACGCACACACAATAAACGTGTGTACACATATACAAAAATAAATAATATTTTTATCTTCTACTTTTTAATAAGTATATCAATTTTTTAATATATATTAAAAAACACACAATAAAATAATGATAAAATTTTATTATAAATTTCATTATTTAATGATAATATATTAAATTTTGTGGACAGCAAAGTTATTAGCACTTCAACTCGAAATTACACGGTAAATTAAATAAATTTTGTCAGTTGATTTGTGTGTTTAGTAATAAAATATAATGTAATATACTTATAATATTGATGTTATAATTTTTTATAAAAAGATATTGTTTATTAATTTTTTGATGCGTAGTGTTATAAAAGTTTTATAAATTGTTATATTAATACTGCTTTTGTTTCTAAAGATTAGGCAGTGGCAGATCAAATAGTCCCGTCTGTGCCCATTAACCATAAAGCTAAAATTAGTTTTTTGTTCTTAAATTGTGGAACGATTCTACAATATAAAATAGAGAGGAGAATTTTGTTTTTTCCTCCTTTTAATACTTTAATCATTACGTATGTTTTATGTGCCATGAAACTCTTTATTTATGTTTTAAACATTAACTTAACGTCATTAGCTTGAAATTTTAAATAATAAAACTCTGCCCAAACGTGCGTCTAAAACAAAAAGGCGAAATGAACAGCTGAACCAACAGAGGAAAGAAAACGCACCTGCAACACCAACAGCGGATACGTTTCGATGCCGGCAGAATAATCAACAGCGGGGATAAGCTGGCGGAGCTGAAGTGTGGGAGCGAAGTCGCCGAAGTCATCGATGGCGGCGGTGGTATCGGCCTCGACGAAGAGCACACCCTGACCATCGCAAAAGATCTCGACACGGCCATCGTCGTCACGGCGGAGACGGGCGGCCATTGGGTAGAAAGGGACGAGGGCCTTGCTGAGAGCGTCCTTCAGAATTTTAGCGTCGAAGAAATTGGAGGCACCGTTTGGCCTGTAGAAGTAGACGCTGGGCGTGTGGAAATTCGGCACCACCAAGTCGACGTTAGAGTTCCACAACGCCCTCCGCGGCGTCTCCTCCGCCGGACGCACCATGGTGGAAACCTTGACGTTGATGATCATCTCTGCTCCGACCACCGCCACTACACACAATTAATAGTATATACATGTATGTACTATAACCTAAATAACATGAACAGATACGGATGACATACGTAACAATGGTATTTAATTTAATTTATTTCACGCAGAATAATTAATTAGGAATTTGAAACCGAAATTGACGAAGTGAGGCAAGAAATTAAGAAGAAAGCTGAAACTGAGAAGAGAAGATTACCGAAAAACTTGGATTGTGAAATGAGTTGAGATGTTAACAGCTTTGAAAGGATTGGGATTTGGTGGGAGGGAAGGCCTAGTGACTAGTGAGGAATGAGTGCAGTGATTTATTTATCCTCTTCTCATGCTTTTTGGAAACTTGAAGAAGAGGTTGGGCCCACTCACCAACTCCCTCCAACTATCCCACCCAATGGGCACTTAATTGGGACTCTGTTTTCTTGTTTAATCAATCAATTTCAAAGAAGAGAGGGTTATATATGGCAATTGGCATGGTGCGGATGTGGTGTATGATTGAATCATCACCGTTCACCTTTCACCGTTCACCGTTCACCCTTCACCCTTCACCCTTCACCCTTCACCCTTCAGAGTTGGTGATAATTATCTTGGAAACAAAGGCATAGAGTTGGGTGGGTCCCACGCTATGTTGTGACAGAGTTGGTGACCGGCGCGTGATAGACGTCAGCCGGTCGCCACCAGTGACGCCGATTAATTATTACATTCATTAATTCTTTTTAAAAAAATTAGGTTTCACCCTTGAGAGACATTGAAAATGAAAATAACTTGAATGATTTTGATTTGAATACGTAAAGTGAGTACTGAGTAGTAAGAGTAAAAAGAGATTGAGGCAGTGGGCAGTGGCATGGGCACCGAATATATGGTTCAAATGGATAATAAGAGTGGACGACTTATCATGCATTAAATGTATCGTAGCCACTTCTGGTGTTGAATATGTCAAATTTCGTCAACCATTTATCATTATCATTTATCTTTCCCGTCAATCTACAACCCCCCCCCCAACAACTATATATAATTTTATTACTAAGAAATTAATTAATATCTATTCTATTTTGTAATATATCCTTTGTAATTTTTATTGCACATAAAAGGAATTCACTTAAAGATAATTTAATTTTGTTATTAACATTAAATTATATTAGTTGATGGTTTAAATTTTATGCTCAATCATGAAAACTTATTTTAAGTAAATTTTTCTCTTTTATTTTTCAAGTTGTATACAACTTTTGATATTTTAAACGTTTATATGTCAACTTATATTTAAAATAGTATTAAACATCATAAAACTTAATATTTTTAAACTTTGAGCTAGTCCATTTAAGCAATTCAAGGAGCTGTTTGGTTTTGACCCTAGAAGAAGCCCATGGTCTTTCTGAGGTTTGGGCTTCAATTCTGGGCTCGTTTAAATGGGTCAAGCTGAATAATCAGAGAAAGGGCTTGGACAAAACAATATGTTTTATTCAGGCAGCAAGTCCATTTTAACCCAAAACATTTCAAATTATGGCCATTGGTGGTGATATAATTGCTATTCACAGTATTTAGTCTTGGAATTACTGTTATCAGCTTTACAAGCTAATTTTGCTATTACATTATCAATTTAAGCACATTTATTTCATGACATAAATCCGTTACGGAGCTTTTGTGAATTGACTTTGAACATTTCCAACCCAATCTATCTTCATTTTTACATTTGTTATATCACTTAGAATTAGAATGTTAACCTTGAACGTGTGAAAGTCAACACGTGTTAGGTGCCACTTCCCTCATATGACTCTTCATCCCAAAATGTAACATTCCACGTCCTATTTGACCCAAAGGATAAGAACGGTGAGTCCACGTCAGCCCCCAATTAAATATTATCCTTTTGCAATTACATTGTTATAAATACTTTTTTCCCCTTCTCCCCTTCCATTTCCAAGGAAACCCAAACCCTCTAATTTAGGGATTAATCCATTCTTTTATCTACTTTGAAACTATTAATCCAAGTTCGATTAGTCATACGTTTGGGAGCTTAGAATGGGTGGTGCTACGGTTATTGGTGGGAACACCATGTCATGGATGCAGTTGAGAGTGGGCAGAGAGAGGAAGCAGAAAAGGGTTCAAAATCACATTTTTTGTTCTTCTTTGACGGATTCTTATAAGACCTTAAGAATTCAACCCGGTGCCTCCCGATCTGAGGTTAAGAAGGCTTTCAGACAGCTTGCTCTTCAGGTTCTTCTTCTTTTTTTAATTATTTGTTATCAATTATCCATTATATAAATTAACATTACTTGTTTAACAATGGCGTTTCATTGTGTTTCAGTATCATCCAGACGTGTGCAGAGGGAGCAAATGCGGGGTACAGTTTCACCAAATCAACGAGGCTTATGATGTGCGTTATCGTTATCCTCTCCTCACTTCTGTTACATTTCTCTGAACTGCATTTAATTTCACTTGCTACACTCTAATCACAACACAAACATTATCTGATTGAAATTTCAATGTTTCTTATGTCCAACGCAGATTGTGATGGCCAATTTGACAGGGGAATCCAATTTAACAGAAATGTACGAGTACGAGGTTTATGATGCAGGGGTCGATGAATCAATGAGGGGAGTGAATGATCCAGATTGGGACTTGTGGGAAGAATGGATGGGATGGGAAGGAGCAGGAATTCGGGATTACACATCTCACATTAATCCTTACATTTGAATTTTTTTATTATGTAAATGTTAATTATTTTAAGTAATTTTTAAGTCATGATCATGTATTGCGTAAAGATGACCCACTTGTCCCCACCAAAATGTGGTTGGTGTTCTGTGTACATAGTTCAAGTGGATCAAAAGTCATTGCCCTCTGCATAATTGAAGTTGAGGAAGTGACTTTCTGTAATAATAATACAATTCAAAAACTTGAAAAGAAGGGAAAAGTTTATTTCATGAACTGTGATCAATACGGCATATCCTAAATTTATTCTTTTCTCCCATGTTTCACTGCTAATAAAGTGTGATTCCTCCCTGCACTAGAAGATGATTTTCCTGATTATGAAGTTGTCTTCAAAACCTTTTTTTTATTTGGAGGCTAGAATTTTTCACGAGAAACCTGTAGTCATAAAAAGCATAGCAACAATACACGCTATCCCATCTATTCTTTCTTTTGGGGTCAAATGGATCTAGTCATTCTATACACTAAACCACAAATGAAGATTTTTTCAGTCCTTTTAAGCATCGTCTTCATTCCACAGTTGACTCCAAAATAAGAAAAAAAATATAGTTGAGTTACGATTTGAGAATAGACTGCAAAATTGATGAACTGGGTAGAAAAGGGCCTTACATGTCCAATGAGATTCCACCAATAATAAGAATAATAATTACTAAGCTAACAAGAGGGAAAAAGATGAAAACTTGTCTCTGCATTTAAGTACAATGGTTCAGACACACAATTCATTTTCCCAACCATTTCCGGTTGTAGCTTTCATCTTTATGAAAAAAATAAAAGTAAAAACTCGCATGAATGAGAACTCTTATTTGTTTATTAACTTAAAAAAAACTACTTTTATTTAGTAACATTTTCAAACATAGATAAATTTGCAAGGTAGAATAGAGGCTAAAAGGTAAAAAGTGTGAATGGATATTGGAGTATTATTAATCCCACTGGCTTATTCTATTATGTTACATATGTCTGCGTCTCTGTATATACAAACATTCTTCAATATTTATCTTCACCGTCATTCGTTTTTCTTTTTTAATATTCTTTTTTTATTTTTTCACCTAAAATAATGTATAAAGTTTAAATTTTAATATATTTTCCGTATAAAAATTTCACACTATTGTATCAACTAATTAGAATACATAATAAATACATTTTACTCTTATCCAAACTCACTTAATATAAATCTCATTAATAATGTGTGAATATTTTATTATATATATATATATATTTAAAAATTATATTCAAAATATAAGTTTATATATAGTTTTATATTTTAAAATATATTATTTTTCATTTTGGTTTACTTATTTTATTTTAAAAATAATTAATTTTAGTTATCTCACTTATATAGCTTTTTAGATTTCATAAAGAAAGTGAAATGCATCAATAATTGAGTTAGTCACGCTATTATTGGTTACGAATTAAAATTCATATATTTTTAAAATATAAAATAAATAAAAAAATTAATTTTATTAAAAAATTAAAATTTAACGTATTTTGAAAAATTAAAAAAATATCTAACTCCAAAAGTATATTATAATTAGATTTATTAATATAATTAAATATTTTTTATGTGTACCCAAGTACACCTAATAAAAAATAAAAAAATAATATTTTAATAAAAATTATAATATTTAATACTATCAGTATGTTGAATCTGGTAATATTATTTATTTTTATTATATATATATATATATATATATATATATATATATATATACGCGTTCTTATTTTCTATTCTTAAAATACATATTTAAAAAATTGTATAACCAATGATATTTACTAGTATTTTTAATAGAATAATAAAATATTTTAAAATTGAAAAATTTATTCTTTGTTTAGGTCACCTGAAATTTATAATGAATATTATTTTGTTTAAGTTTTTTTTGGTAAAATTTTCCTAAATTTAAGATACACGTGCAAGAAAAAATATTATTTAAATAAAATTTTATAAATATAATCAATTTTATTTTCTAATGTGTTAATAGAAGATTAGATAATTATAAAGCGTACTGCTGTAATAATCGAATAAAATATAAAGTCAGTTTTTTTTTTTAACCTTAAATTCACAAAGGTATCATGCAAGAGGGCTATGTCATATGACATTCCCAATTAGAACATTTTCACGTGTAATAGATACAGTTATTTACTTGAAAATAATTAATTGCTTGATTATAAATAATCACGAGATTAGCAGAGTCCTCTGTTTCTTTCGTTTTTTATCTTTTTGTGCGCAGTGTGATGAACTCCACACTGCAAAGCCAGAGAAAGAGTACGGACTGAAGATTTTCTCTTCATGATTCGGTGACAATCAATCTCAGTCTCTCAGGTCTTTTCCCAACTCTAAGTCGAGGGTTTTTATCTTCTCTCTTTCTCCCCTTCTCTCTGTTTCGAATTATTTTGCTAAAAATCGTTCCTTTTTGGTGACAGATTGTGTTTATCACTTAATTTAAGATAACCTTATCGGATTTATTGCGAATCACGGATATTATCTGATTTCTGCTAAAGAACCCCGGGACTTTTTCCCCTCTGGAGGTATGAATGTTTGTACAAGTCTATGCAGCTGCATATAATATTTTGAAAACATGCACTAGATTGAATATTCTGTATTTGATTTTATTATTTTTGGAGGTCTTCTGATTTACTGGGTGAATAATTTGTCGTATTCTTTGCAAAGACATGATTTTTATTTTTATTTATATTTTGGTGTGTGTCTTTTATTGTTGGATGAAACATATTAGCATAAATGCATTGCTGGGTTTATAATTTGTATGATACGCATATGTTCCTAGAGTATGTGGTACTTGGGCTCGTTGTTTTTCCCTAGACTGGATATTTCCTTTTGGCAGAAGAAGTTGATACTTGATAATCATAGTCCAGTGTATAAAATTATTATTTTTGCTTAAAAATATAATTGATTACATCATTTTAAGGTGCATATAATTAATGATTCTCGAAGATAATTATATTTTTAAGTAAAGACCATTGTGCGGTTATGATGTGGCCACCGCAAGTTTGTGAGAGGGGTCAAGAAGGACATGGTCCTTGTGCTCCCACTATCTTGTAGTTGTTCGAGACTTTTATCATTCTTGAGACCATGATACCACCGAACATATATTGGGTAATTTGTAATAGATGCGTGCTTCATATGTTGGAGCCACAAGTATGTTGGAGATTGATGTCTCTAGAAAGATTGATTAATGCTGTCATATGTTGATCCTATGTTGTATAATTCTACTGGAATCAATGAAGTGCTTAGATGGATGATGCTTTTACCTCATGCTTTCAGCAATAAGCAAACCTTCATAATGGTGGATCTCAAAGAGAGGTTACTCCCACCAAAACCTGCATCAGCTTTAAACCTAAGAGAGGCGACCAATCGACCATCTGCCTCTGGAAGGCAATCTTTTCAAGGAGTGGATGTTCTGGGTCTAAAGAAGCGAGGCCAAGGTCTCCGATCATGGATTCGTGTCGACACGTCTGGAAACTCTCAGGCCATTGAGGTAGACAAGTTTACCATGATGCGACGTTGTGATCTACCAGCACGTGATCTTCGTCTACTTGATCCTCTGTTTGTCTACCCGTCAACAATCCTTGGTAGGGAAAAGGCAATTGTTGTAAATCTAGAGCAGATTCGGTGTATTATAACGGCAGATGAGGTTCTTCTCTTGAATTCCCTTGATAGTTATGTATTGCACTATGTGATGGAGCTACAACGGCGGTTGACAACAACTGGGGTAGGTGAGGTTTGGCAACCAGACGATTCTGACATGAACCGAAGGAGAGGAAGTAGGAGTTTTGAAAATTCTTTTAGCAACTGCTCCCCTGATTATTTACCTTTTGAGTTCAGGGCTCTTGAAGTTGCCCTGGAGGCAGCATGCACATTTCTAGACTCCCAGGTTTGTAGAAGTACATAGTTAAATCAGAGGCTAACTTAAGTTGTTTTTTTTTTTTTATAATAATTATTCTTCCTTTCTTTCTTTAGTAATGTATTATAGAATAGAGAAATGGTTGCTATGAACAGAGATCTTGTATTTCGATAGAATAGTCAACATAATACCATTGAGTTTGAATCTGTGCATCTTAGGGAGTTTATACATGTTAGGTTGGTTGTCGTGAAGAGTAAACAATAATTGGCAGTAGAAAAGATGGAGATTCATACATTAAGTAACTAAGCTGATTTATAATTGGGAGGCTATATAACTGTTGTGAGCTAGGGTGGAAAGTTATTGAAGGAAATAATATGACCTCCTAATGGTCTTCATTGATATAGAGGAAAAAAATCTTTGATTTGGTGGCATGAGAAGTGATATGATAGTGTGACAATGTACAAAATTCGAAATTCTGTCATTTTATATCCAAACAGAATTCTTGATCCATATGCATGCTTACAGTATTTCTCTGTGATATTCTTGATTCGATTTTGATAAATTAATTAGTAACATTCTCAGTTCTCTTCTGGCCATTTGCAAAAGGCAGCAGAGTTAGAAATTGAGGCTTATCCGTTGTTGGATGAACTGACATCAAAGATCAGTACTCTAAACTTGGAACGTGTTCGTCGGTTGAAAAGCAGACTTGTTGCCCTGACTCGGAGGGTTCAGAAGGTGATACTCATTTATATGTTCTACTTTTCTTTATGATCGCAAGTGGCAGTTATCATATTTTCTAATTTTTCTTCTCTTATTATTTGCTATGTGGGTGCATGTATTCAGGTTAGAGATGAAATAGAGCAGCTTATGGATGATGATGGTGATATGGCTGAAATGTATCTTACTGAGAAGAAAAGACGGATGGAGTTGTCATTTTATGGAGATCAGTCTATGGTTGGATATAAATCAGTTGATGGGGCATCCATTTCTGCTCCAGTCTCTCCTGTTTCATCACCTCCTGATTCTCGCAGGCTTGAAAAGAGCTTGAGCATTGCTAGGAGTCGACATGAGAGCATGAGGAGTTCTGAAAGTACCACGGAAAATATAGAGGAGCTTGAGATGTTGCTGGAAGCATACTTCGTTGTCATTGACAGCACTCTGAACAAGTTGACATCGGTAAGCGCAGTGTTGTCTTCACTAACCTTTTTTCTTTCTAGCTTCTTCACACTTTATCAACCGCTGCTTCCTGTTTCAGTTGAAAGAGTACATTGATGACACAGAAGATTTCATTAACATTCAACTGGTTTGTTTATTTCCTTCTTTTACTGGTTTATTTATCCTATTTTGGTCATGTTGCTTGTATCTGATTCTACATCCAAGTGGAAATTATCACACACGTTCACACAAACAATTTCAATTGGGAGAGGTAGGGGGTATTACAAATTTTGTTGCTTTAAGATAATAGGTGTGTGGGACATAATAGGTATGGGGATCTGGTATGTGATTCTCTGAGGGATTTTAAGTAGTCTTTAGAATTACTGAGATCTGATGCGTTATAGGCCTCTAAACAAACAAAAGCGGTTACACACTATGCCTTCAATGTGGTTTGTTCATTGAACCTGTGTAGCTGACTTAATTTGAACCTATTTAAATGTAGAGCAGCTAAATGAAGTTTTTTCTTACAGGACAACGTACGGAATCAGCTTATCCAGTTTGAGCTTTTACTCACAACTGCAACATTTGTTGTTGCCATCTTTGGAGTGGTAGCAGGAATATTTGGGATGAATTTTGAAATTCCATTATTCAATGTCCCCTCTGCATTCCAATGGGTCCTCGTAATAACAGGAGTTTGTGGAGTCTTCATATTTTCTGCATTCGTATGGTTCTTCAAGTATAGAAGACTCATGCCCCTATAGTAAGCTAGATCACCATGAAGAAGATTAAAATAAATGCGTCATTGCTACAAATGCACTGCGTTTGGCATGCAATCATATAATTCAAATGAAAAGCCGGCTCATTTCAAGAGCAATTCTTTCAATTCATTTTTGTATCAATTTTAGGCAATTTCTTATTATATTTTGATTCAACAATTTCTCTCTATATTTAGACGAAATTATTTGTTACAATAGTTGAATCCATAAAACATCTTCGTAGTTCCTATTTTTCCTTTTTCTTGAGCAATGGGTGACACATCCTATTTTGAGAAGAATAATGTCACCAGATAATCCTAAACAACAAAATATTGCTTTGGCGTTAAAATAATATATATATATATATATATATATATATATATATATATATATAGTTAAAGATGTAGTTATATGATAGTTAGGGTCAAGAATGAAAAGTGTTATGACAAATTAAATCTTTAAATCTTCAAGACACTAATTTGGAGATAGATTAAATTTTCAAGGAACTAATTTGATCATAAAATACTAGAAAATATCTATTTTGTGACAATTTATTTCATTGGGAGATTAAGTTAGTGACTTAAAAATTTTGAAACTAATATGTAATGTATATGAATTCAAACAAAGTGTGATCTTTAAATATCAATTAAGTATTTGTATCCATTTGGCAAATTATAAAAATTAATCTCTCCCACCGTAATACACGTCTTAATGTAAAGACCTGTAATTAAAATTAATTTAAAGACATATAAATCAAATTTGACAGTGCAAATTAATTTTTAAAATTTTTTTTTACACAAATGAACCCTTAATTAATAGAAGAAAAATGTTAATAAGTATCTTAAAAAAATTAGTTAAAGATTTTTATGAACAATTCTACTGGAGTTTTTAATAAAAAATTTATTTATTAGTTTTTAAACACTAACTTATTGATATTAATTAGCAAGATATTTATAAAAATGAGAGATATTGGATCATCAGTGAAAAATGGGATGCCACATAGTGCGGCATCATTGGTAAGGGTGATAATCAGATTTTGTGCTGAACTATATGAGGGAGCGAAGTGAGGGGAGTTGATAAAACAAACTTGGAAGCATACATACATAAAGAATAAGCAGTTGAAAGTGGCAATGGCTCTATCTTTACGGTTACACTACTATTTCTTTTACCTCTCAAGCCTCGCAAAACGTCCCCAACTTTTTGTGCCTCTAATTGGAATTTCCACTGCCACTAGAAATGTTTTTTACCCCCTCTCTCATGCATTTCATCAAACACTTTCATTACCCTCTCACTCTCACTGTCTCTCTCGTTATGATCATGCGCCTTTCAACTTCGACTTCGATTTGGATGACCCAGATCTACCGCAATTCCTCCAATTCCTCAAAAAGCTTCATCATTCGTCACCGCAAGAAGAGGTTCTCCCATCATCAGGTTTCCAAGCAAATAGAGATTTGGTATGTTCCGCTATTTGGGCCTTGAGGGAAGAATGGAAACCTGCATTCCTTGCCTTCAAATGGAATTGCCATCATAACGATGAGAAAGTTTGCAACTTGATGATATGGGTCTTGGCAACTCATGCAAAGTTTTCCACTGCCTGGTGCATCATTCGAGATATGCATCGTTCCTCTCTCTCCACCCGTCAGGCTATGCTCATTATGATCGATAGGTAACCTCACTTGATTACTGACACCTCAAATTATGGCTCTGAAATGGCCTTAGTGTTGCAACTTCATATGTAAACTTATATTACAATTGGAACCACTGAACTACTGCTGGAATGGTTAGTAACATTCACTTTTGCTGCATTGAATTGCCTTCCTCTTGAATTCCAGTTACAAACCTATAGTTTGTGATGGAATTAACATTGCTGTTGGATTGGAATTACTTGCTTATAGCCGATGAAGATGCCCACTGTAGTGATTTTTCTTAACAGTCTTCTTTCCATTAACGTTGAACTTTTCTGACACAATGACTGTTTTCTTCTGCCGATGAAGATGCCCACCGTAGTGATTTTCAGTCTTCTTTCCATTAACGTTAAACTTTTCTGATTCTTTTGCACAGGGACTGTTTTCTTGTGCGATGATATATTTGTCAATTCTTGTTATTGTCATGTCAACTTTGTTGATATAGGATTGTTCTATTTTTCCCCATTCAATTGTGGCATTTTGTTTTGATCAGATATGCATCTGCAAACAACCCGGCTAAGGCTATTCAAACATTCAACTTTATGGATAAGTTCAGATTGAGTCCTGATCAGGAAGCATTTCATGCACTTTTGACTGCTCTTTGTAAATATGGGAACGTTGAAGAGGCTGAAGAGTTCATGCTAGTGAATAAGAAGCTCTTCCCACTCGAGACTGAGAGCTTTAATATTATTCTTAATGGATGGTGTAACATAACAAAGGATGTGTATGAAGCAAAAAGAGTTTGGAGAGAAATGTCAAAATACTGTATAACACCTGATACTACTTCATATAGCCACATGATTTCCTGCTTTTCAAAGGAAGGTAATCTTTTTGACTCTCTCCGGCTCTATGATCAGATGAAGAAAAGGGGATGGATCCCTGGGATAGAGATTTACAATTCTTTGGTATATGTTTTAACTCATGAAAATTGCTTGAAGGAAGCTCTCAAGATTATAGATAAGTTGAAAGAGGAAGGTTTGCAGCCAGATTCTACCACCTTCAACTCCATGATACTCCCTCTTTGTGAAGCTGGAAAACTAACTGGGGCAAGGATAATATTACACACAATGGTAGAGGAGAATATTAGTCCAACCATTGAGACCTACCATGCATTTTTGGAGGGAGCAGATTATCAAGGAACATTGGAATTTCTGAGTAAGATGAAAGGTTCTGGTTTGGGTCCAAATAAGGATTCCTTTCTAATAATTCTGGCAAAATTCTTGAAGTTAAAGCAACCTGTAAATGCACTGAAAATTTGGACAGATATGAAGGCATATGATGTGGTGCCCAGTTGTATGCATTACAGTATAATGGTTGAAGGGCTCGTAACATGTAGGTGGTTCGTAAAGGCCAGGGATTTTTATGATGAGATGATTTCAAATGGATGTTCAGCAGATCCAAAGCTTAATAAGCTCTTTCAGAAAGAAATACTTGGTAGTGGTTCGTAACACGCAGCAAGTTATGCCACAAAAAAACTTGTACGTTTTAAAGGTGTAAAAAAGTTTTTTCTTATAAAATTTATTTTTAATTTCTTAAAATCAATCTTAAAGACTAATATTTAATAAAACTGAAAAAAATTAAAAGCCTTTATCAAAGATGACCGTTGGAAAAAAGAAGAGAAAAAAAAAAGGCAGCGAAGGGTAAGTAAGTCAGTCCAACGGCACAATATCTCCAATCAATCAAATGCGCAGTTACTGTTAGTTTGGAAGCAGCGAGTTGAAGTCAAAGTGTGTGTTGCGGCACCCAACATACGAATCCAAATCCAACAATGTCGGTGTCTTCTTCACGGATAGTCATGTTGCTCCTCCTCTCTGCCCTTGCCACCGCCACAGCCACCGATCACATTGTGGGTGCTAATCGTGGTTGGAACCCTGGCATTAACTACACTCTCTGGGCCAACAACCAAACTTTCTATGTCGGCGACCTCATCTGTTAGTTTTCTTCACTCCTTCAACGTCTAAACGCACTCCTTCAACGTCTAAACGGTCCTTTTCCTTTTCCTTTTCCTTTTTTCGGCAAAGAAACATGCTTTCCCTTTTCGTTATCCTTGCTTAGCTTACCTATATATATATATATGGAAAGGTGAAATATTGTTGTTGAAGATTAAACAGTCATAATAATTATATACGTGGTCTCGTTTGATAAATCTGTGACTAAATTATTTTAATTCGTGTGTTACTTGTGCTATCGAAGGGGATTGTAATTTTTGTTGTGTACGATAGCATTTAGGTACCAGAAGAATCAGTACAACGTGTTTGAAGTGAATCAGACAGGGTATGACAACTGCACCACTGAAGGGGCGATTGGGAATTGGACTAGTGGCAAGGATTTCATAACCCTGAACCAGTCGAAGAGGTATTACTTTATCTGTGGCAATGGTCAATGCTTCAATGGCATGAAGGTTTCTGTTGTTGTCCGTCCCCTCCCTCTTCCTCCTACTTCTCCTCAAACTGCTTCCAATCATTCCACGAATAATTCTGCTGCTCCTCTCCTCTTCAACTGGGGCCTCTCCTCTCTGCTGTTGTCCTCTGCCTCAGTTTGGTTTGGTTGGATCTAGCAAACGTGTTGTTCCCTCTCGTGAGCATTATTTAACTTTTTGTGTTTCTCTTTATGTGAAAACTCACATTTGTTTCCAATTCGCACCACTACCACTTGCTCTTCTGTTATGCTCACCTTTGAAAGCGATTGCTACCAAGTGAATTCCTTAACGTCTATGACCCTGTCTCAATTTGTATTTCTTTAGTTTTTAAGATATTTCCACATTCATAGGTTATTGACGTTTTAGACTAGCTTAATGCTTAAACTTGAGCTGTTTCCCTTAAGCAAATGAAATTAATTTGTTCCTTGGACAAAATTCTGGTGGGGTAATCATCTATAGCTGTATCACAATTTCATTTCTACAAGTCAATCCGAATTTGAAGCACTTACTCTTGGGTGTTTATGAAGCGTTTATTTCACATTTCCCAGATGTTTTTTTTTTTTGTCAAACTACTTGAATTATTAATCTGTAATTGTTTCACTATTAAGAGTCTCATGCCTTGGAGCTGGATGGCATTCATTTACAGGCAATCTATTTATAGTATATAAAACCTAACCGCGTAAGCTTGGGTTTTGACACTTAAGCTGACTTTAGCTATTGAGTTTCCTAGTTTGACACATGGGGTATATTGTCTTGTTTTTGTGTTTGATGAAAGAGTAACAACACCGCACGTTGTTTCTTTTCAACGACCCCTGTCAAGTGTTTGTTGTGGATCCACTATGTCTGGAAATTGACACTAAATGATGTGTACGTCAACTATGCTAGGATAAATCATTGATAAAGATCTAAATTCTTGCCTTGAAGTGAAGTAAGGAAGATTCAAACTAAAACGTGTGGTGCGAATATTTTGGTTTACGACACTTTGTGCGGTAATTGTGTAGACGAGATGGATCTGCTATTAAATTTTATCATTTTTCATAATTATGTGATATGAAACTCGAGTTGTATCAATGAAGATTGAACAATGATTTTATTGTGTTTTGATAATATATTTCTGTTAAGCAGCACCTGTCAAATATATTTGGTTACCGTATGAAATGCCATGTAATTTGGCCCAGCAATCGGTAGATCTGGCAATATTATTCTGTAAATTGCAATGTAATGGGAAAAGGAAAACAAAAAACAGCACATTCATGGAATTTAATCTCAGTTTGTAGATTATCAGCTTAACTAGGGGTCTTTGAGACTGACTGTTGTTTTTAATACTGTAGCTGTATTAAAAACTTTTCCAAGAGTTGTGTCCGTCACAAATAATAATGCTTTTACTCAATGAGGTGTTTGAATATGGATAGTTTCAAAAGATCACGAGATTTGGGACAAGAAGTACCAATATTTTAATTTTGATTCATATAGTTGAACATTTTCTAATGAAATTATTTAGTCCAAATCTGAGCAGCTATATTTTTCCTATCTGCCCACTTCCCTCCTTGTGATTCTACCTGTCTCAAGATGCAGAAAAAAATGTGGGGTCTGTCTCATACGCAGAATTTAAGCGACAATTGGACCAGGCCGATTCATTTAATAAACTACCACTTGCATATTTAACTCTCAGTTGTGAATTCTATTTCAATGTTATATGCAATAACATAATATTTACGGATTTTAATATGATGAGAAAAATTACCAACACACTCCTTAATATATATTATTTTTAAGATTATTTTATTATTGAGTACATTTTATGGCTGTTTCACGTTAAAAAAGAACCTACCTTTTTTAGTGGGATATGTCAAAAGGTATCATAAGAAGTCTGCGGTGAGAGCTGCATTGTTGTATAGTCGCGTGTTCAATTTTTCAAAACACACATGCTCCTTTCCCCCATTTATTCTTTTTGTAGAATAAAAAGAATTGCTGCAATGAAAATTAAATGGTAATCCTAATAATACATTAATACTTATGAAGAAGCAATATTAAATGATAAAGAGAGATGCAAACCATGCAACGAAACTCTGGACATTACTTGGCTAGTGGGTTATGTAATCTCTCTTTGCCCAGTGTACGCTTTTTCAGTGAGTACTGTGCTGTAACATACATCAGAATAATATGATTACACTTTTACACATTCAAGTATCTATAACATACATCGGTTCATTTTGGGTTTGTCCTTATACCACGATATCTTTTGGATAGCTTGGCGTTTGATATGGCTTTGTCCTCTTTAAGAACCGAAGAGAATAAAGACAGCAAGATGATTACATGTCGTGCGAAATCATGAAAAAGAAAATTATGTCAACGACATTATGACAAGCACTTTACTGAGGGGGATATTAAAACAAGCACATTAGGTGGTTAATGATGCTGCTTTAATAGTGACTCACTTTAGTCTTTGATTATGACTTCCGTGGACCATAATTACATGAACATTACGAATCAGTTAAAAACATGCCACAAGCGACTGTGCAATTAACATAAACCAATTTCAAACCATTTAGTGTTAGAATTGTTTGTTAACCAAAAACTAACTTAGTTGTTGGGTCTCCAAGATTTTGCATATGGTTGTGAAATCGAAGGTGGTGTGGTGCCATTGTTTTCTCCTCTTGTCACGAGAAAGGTTTCACTGCCAATTTAATAATGCAAATTAAAATAATAATAATAATGACATGAAGTATGCTTGACCTCAATCTTTTTCTTTCATGAATTGTCTAAAGCTTTGGCAGATCACCGGACAACATTCAGGAAGCTTGATTCAGGTGAACTACTGCTTTTAATTTGTAACAAACTTACAAATATGTGGCAAGAGTAAAAATCACAGCATAAGTAAAGGCTTTCTGATGATGGATAACAAATAAACAAGGTCAGCTATCTTAGGAATAACTGAGTGTGACTAACAATGCGTTTCTGTCAAGAAGTCAAGGCAAGCCTACCAAACAACTTAAAGACAACTGAAACTAACAGATACCCTTTTTCCCTTATATATTACAATGAAGAGACCATCCTTATACACAGTTCAGCTCCGACTATGCCATCCAGGGAGACTGTCAACACAATACTCTAAAATAGCCACAGTGAGATCAATCAATGGAAATTGAGTCATCAAATCATGTTAACGCACTTGTTAGTGGAGAAAAGCACAGATAACTTATCTGATATACATCCAATACAAATCTAACAATAAAGTGTGTTCAGGTCCCAAATGCAAACATATTCAGTGCTCAGTCCCATACTGCACTCATCTTAACCTGATCTAGCATGGTGAGCAGATGACTTATAAAGAAACCTTCAACATTACAAAACCTTATTCTGCAGTGCCCTTTGGTTTCCTTCTTGATCTGCTGTATAATCTGGAAGGTGGAGAAGGGGAGAACTCAAATGGAAGAGGTGGAAGGTCCATCTCACCCTTCAAAATCTTGACAATATCCCCAATATCTGGCCGTAACTCCGGAATTTTCTGTAAGCAAATGAGGGCCAAGTTGATACACAAGCTTGCTTGGTCCTTGTTGTAATCTTCTTTCATTCTCTCATCCACTAGTTCTAAAATGTCACCAGCATGAGCCAAGTGTCTACACCAGCTTATTAAGTTAGCTTTCTCTAGCTTCATGGGAGATGCAAGAACATGTAATGGTCTTCTACCTGACACAATTACAAGAATCAAAACACCAAAACTATAAATGTCAGCCTTCTCCATTAAGAACCCACACCCTCCATATTCTGGTGCCACATAACACAGTGTCCCTCTCATGCTAGTTGTGCTGCTAAGCTCGCGGCTGAAAAGATCTCCACTCCACATGTCACTTCCAATGGAACGAGTACTTTTCTTCTTCCAGCCTCTTCTGAAGCTAAACTCCCCATTTTGATCGCACTCATTCTGATCCTCCTCTCCAAACTTCTTACGTCTGCAAAGATAAAACCTTCTACCCAAATCAAAATGGGGCACTTTCAAGCCTTTCTTCCACTTAGCATGAAGATTTTTCAGCTTAGTGGTCTTCTTGCTTAATTCTGCAAGATGCTCTTCTTTCCACCACTCTTGCATCTTCCTGTGCTTATTCTTGTGATTTTTCTTTCCCCTTGATTCTTTTTCCTCAACCACGTTATCTGTTTGTCCTATCCGGAACACCTGGGATTGGGGTGCAATTGCATCATTGTCTTTATCTATTGGACTTGAATTTTCCATTTCTACTTTCTCTTGGATATTGTTCTTACCATCATCCCAATCAGGGTTTGATGGACAAATCTGACTCCCTATCCACTCCATGACATAGTCTTTACTACATAATTCACCACTTCCATCCTGTCTCCACCACCAGTCCTTTCCCCATTGTTTCCCATTTGCCTTCTCATCATCCACCAAAGAAGAAGCATTGGCAGTCAACTCCTTACTATAATCAATGCTAGAAAACTCATCATCATAAGGAACAAATTTAGTATTCCAATCATCCCCTCCTATATCCAAAGTTGAAATTTCCTTACCCTTTGCATTTGTACTCCTACTTTCACTTTCACTGACAATATTGGCATTATAATTCAAAGAATTCAAGTTTAAAGATTTAACATTAAAGCATGTCCTACTATTTTTGGATGAAGAAGAGGCTTGCAAAGCTAGAGCAAAATCTACCTCATTAACACTCTCAACTGGAGTACCAATAGCCGGGGTTTCAGCAGTTAAATTACCTGAAAGATCTTGGCTTTTCCATAGCTCCTGGCTCTTGCCAAGATCCTGGCTAAACAAGTCTACACCAAATTCACCCTCCACCTTAATCCTTGACAATCCAAAATCTGAGATCTTCCCACGGCACTCTGCATCAAGCAGAACATTGCTTGGCTTGATATCACCATGGATCACTGGTGGATCACATCCAAGGTGCAAGAACTCCAATGCTCTAGCAACATCCAATATAACCCAAAACCTCATCTCCCAACTCAAACTCAAACACCCTTCTCCAAAGAGGGACTCCTGTAAGCTTCTGTTGGGCATATACTCATACACCAACAATCTTTTGTTCTTTTCCACACAGTAACCCAAAAGGGTGACCAGGAATGGTGACCTTAACCCTCCCAGAATCTGAAGCTCATTTTGAAACTCTCGCTCTGCCTGCAAAGACAACGCGTCCAAGCGCTTGATGGCAATCAATTTACCATCTTTGAGTATTCCCCTGAAGACAGTGCCAGAGCCACCTTTACCAATGACATTGGCAGTGTCAAAGCCACTGGTGGCTTGCTTTAAATCTTTGTACGAAAATCTTTGGAGCTTCAAGGGAGCACTTGCATCAAAGGGGATAGTCTTAGCTCTGTGAACAAGAGAATGCCAGAGATGGTAGAGGAAGTAAAGGATTGAGCAGAAAATCACAACAGAAGCTGAAATGGTGAGTGCTAGGAAGAGAACTTTAGTTTTGGTGAAAAGACTGGGACTTGCAGGAGGGAATGGTCTTGAAGGCATGGTTTATGGATATGAATAATGAATAGTGATCACAGAAACTGATGATGAAGATGAAGATGAAGCTGAAGAAGAAAAGGTGAGTGAAGAATAGGAAAATGGGCGTTCTGGTTTTTCATATCTTCCTCTATGCTTTGTTTTATCAATGGGTATCCAAAGTGGATTGCTTTACGATTAGATAATCATCAGGGAGGAGCTGTATTCTACTATTGTGAACTTAGTTTTGTTTTTCTCGTTTTCCTTGATTTATGTTATGGTATCTATCATGGATTATTATTCTCACGTTTGCTTTGGTTTCATGTCTTTATTTATTTATTAATGAGATTAGCGATTGGGAAATGAGGATTAGAAAAAGGGAAGGCAGGGACCCAACAACCAATGTGCTTTTGACTAAAGAGAAAGTTTTGCGGCAAAGTGGAAGAAAGAGAGAAAAGGAAAGGGATGCAAAATGGAAATACAACTGAAGAGAGAAGTGGGTAATAATGTGCGAAGTGTACATAATAGTCATTATACGTCACATTAAGGAATGGGAAGGGAAGAGAAGAGAGTCCTATGCACAGTTATTTTGTCTTATACGTCATGACTAAGCCACGTGCACTGTTTAGAATCTTTAGATACTTCTTTCCTGTTTGTAATTTTTGACCAAAGTTTCACACTTCATTCTTCCACACCTTATGCTTCACATGCTTTGGTAACAATAATTTCTTGTCTTCAATCATTCTTACACTGCATCTCCGGTCCCTTGTTGCACTCAAATGCACCATATTATAGTGTGCTACATAAAAGCTTTTATTATTATAAATTAAGCTAGATAAATTGATTTTTCTATAACAAATTATTTATTCTATTTACCAAATGATAGTTTGATTCTTATCATAGTTGATTTCCCAATCAAAATAGTTAAAACTTGTCAGAATAGTTTTTAGTTTTTCTACATTTCAGACATGCAAAGACTTTCACATACACAACTTTTTCAAAAGATAAGGAATTCCTAATGAGCACTCCATAATATTTATGCTATAACCAAGTGATTAGAAGCAAGGTCTTCTTTTGTTAAACTCATTTTTGGGTGGTGTATTGAGCTACGAGATGTGGAATCCAATTCTTTCTTCATTGTAGCCCCCGTCTGTTTGATTGAATTAAAAATGTAACGTTGGTTAATTGTATTTGTTATATTACAATAACATAATCATTTTTCCTTCGTTCAAGACCCAATTATATTTATAAACTTTGAGAAGGATTTTACTTCTCTAAAACAAAAATTTTACTTTAGAGGAAAAGAATAAAAAGATATAGCTAATAATTTAAAAATTAACATTGAAATTTAAACAATTACATATAGTTAAAAAGAAACTACAAGGAAATGGAACCTTTCACATGGTTTAAAAAAAGACGTCCTTCTTGAAATACTAAAATTGAAGCTGCTTAGGTAGACTGCATATCATGCAAACTATGTTGATGTTTACGCATATTAATTCTATTATTATTATCAAAACAAATTACTCTCAACCTAACAATTGTTGGTTAGGGTGAAAATATGCTGCAAACACAAGCGAACTTTACCGTGCTAAGAGAAAGAAAAATTACTCTCAATATTAACTAAATTCATTCTGCACTCAAAGTTGTTTCTGTATTCTGTACTGTCTCTGAGCTTCCCAGTGACAGTAATAGCACAACTAGCAAAAGATAAAATTAGGTACGCGGTGAAACAATTTAAAGAAAAACTAGTTAAGTTGATAGTTTGGTGAAATATTATTTGACAATGTTTAATTTTGTTATATTAGGCAATAGGAAATTGTGTTTTTTTCGGATGTTTCGTGAAAGATGTACCGTAAAAAAGAATAAAAGTTAAAGTAAATTCTGTATCTTGACTTTTTATTTTTGAATATTGTCATGAAACCTTGGTTAGATTTGATTGTTATCCATAGCAGAATAAAGAGAGTCATGTTCTTCCTCTTTGCATGCTACGAGTCCTGTAATTGTCCACTTTAATCGTCGAGGCATTGCTTTCTGCTTTCTACTTTCTACTTTCTACATTGTAGAGATCATTAGGATGACATGACACATACACACAGCTAAGCTCGCTCTTTCACGTTTTCTTATTGAAACACTGAAGAATGTAACAAATTAAAGGTGGTGTCCACATCGTGGAGGGCCAAATTAAAGACTCATCTGCAATAGCAATAAGCATGTCATAGCAAAATGTGTCTTTGTTACTTTACTTCCCTCCCCACAATCCCAATCCCAGAAAAGGGAAGTGAACATAGACATAATTAGCTGTCTTTAGGGAATAATACGTGGAATGTTGCTATTGCGCAGGGGAGATTGTATATGGCTATGATATGGTGTATGGTGTGCAATGCACTGCACAGTTAACTTTTTTGTGTGCTTCAACGGTTAGTGAGCAAAAGAACATGGGTGCTGCTGGAATGCGTGGGACCTCTCTATCAAGTCCATTCCACCAACACCATGTTTTTGCTTTAATTATCTCCCTCTTCTATATTACATCCAGTCATATGTTAATTACTCTAGTGATTTGCAGTTCCAGCACATTAATTGGTGTTGATGAGGACAAAACTATGCACAGTAGTACTTTCTTTTCTTTTTTTCAAAAGGGAAAAAAATCTCTTTTCGGTGAACTGAAGAAACAAAAGAAAATCATTCTCAAAAGATTAGAAATTAAGGCAATTTCACAACAGAGAGGATTTTGTAAGAATTTTAGATAGAACTGTATATATCCGTATAATCATCTAATGATATGGTTACTTCAATATTGATCTAGCTTATGGGCTGATGCTTTAGGCGTTGCTTTCATTTTTAGTTAGATTTTCCTTTCGTCTGTGCTGTACCCAAAAATATTTTAAATTTTTTTTAACTACGACCAATTTTCAACATGTTCATACTTGTTTTATCCACCAGAAGAAAATGACCAACTACCAGAAAGTTATTTTACATGGAAAGACATACATTTATCGGGGTAATTTCCAACAGTGAAATAAGTAATAAATTAAAATTTCTGAAGAGTAACAGCGGAACTTTTCGTCATTAAATATACTCTTCGGTTAAGATGCTATGACAGTGTTCAAACTATTTTTCTCAAAGCTTAAAAGTTACTTTAAAATTAAAGTTTCAGTTGAAAGTGTTCTATAATTTTATATTTTTTTTAAATTTAAAAATGATTTTTGAAGTTAAATTTAATATTTTTAAAATTTTAGAAATTGAAATAAAAAAAAAAGAAAAGAAAATTAGAAACTAAAAAATCATAAAAATATTTTAAAAGGCCCTTTTCAAAAGTTTTGTTCATTAAAAAGACATACTTTCTAAAAGTTGTTCTTTTAGAAATTTTGTTTAATCCAAGTTCTTTTAAAGAGAGAGAAAAAAAGAAAGAAAGATTGGTCAAACACGACAAGGTTATTGAATAATTGCTTAAATAAAGAGGAATATTACAACAGGTAGTTCCAAACATATTTTTAGAATATTATAAACAAATGTCTCAACAGAAAATATCACCTATAACTATAAAATGTAATCATTAATGAAGTTGTATCCATTCAATCAAATGTTGCTAGACCACTCACGTTCTTGATCAGTTTAGGTTTTCATTTATTCAGTAAAACAACATTTTAAGTCCCGCATCCTTATGTGTTTCTAACTTGTTCGGTTTACACTCCATGACTTCATTTCAAAGCTACTAAAGTTTATGTTTGGAAACACATTAAGAAATCTATAAACATGGATTCAAAGCAAAAACTACAATTAATGGTGTTAATCAATGTGAATACCATAACGTGATTATTTTATTGTTGGCTGTTATGACTGAACTCCATCCAAAAACTAGAGGATTGGCCTTCTGAGAAGAAATGGCTTAATTATTAACACATTAGGACTCAATGTTTGCTTAAGGTGGGGCATAACATTGCATATCCCATAACTCTTTCCCTAAGGACTCTTTCTTAGGTTGCACCTTTCAAGATTAGCCTTTCTACGTTGGCTGGTTATAAATGAACGAATTCAGTGAAAAGATCCCATCCCAAACAATTAGCATTTTAAGGGGGAGACCCTCGTGATTAAATATAACCCTCCATGTTTACTCGATGACAAACAGATACCAATGAGAAAAGACGTTGGCATGGGGAAAGAATTGAGAATTTATTAGGGGAGCATATGTAAAACATGGAACACATGTTATAAAGCAGACATCTTCTCGGAAACTTGAACGCACGCACATTGGTAAACCAGATAATGACGTAAAAGAACAAATCCTGATCAAATAATAATCACTGACAACATTATCAATTACCAAAAACAACTTGTTACTAGGGACATAAACTGTAATGGAACATTAAATTCAACTCTGATGACAGTGAAACAGATTTCTGGCCTGAAGCTAACTTATCATCCAAGATTTAAGAATATATGATTTATAGTTTGTGTCCAAGATTCAGAGCAAGATAGCCAAAGAAGAATAATAATGTTTCCCTGGGAAAAGGACAAAAATAATAAGCATATAAATGCTAAGAATGCTTCCATAAAAATCTTCTACTAATTCGTGTTTCCCAAGAGTTTTGTTGAGGTATTTGATCCTATTTAATCCAGGATTTTAAAAAAATAAAAAAACAAGAACCTGAATCCAATATAGCATCAGTTAGGCACTAGGCATCATCATCATCCCTCTTCTTGGGTTTGCGATATTTTTCCTCAACTATTTTTGCCATGAACAAGGCAGTGTCAGCTAACTTCACGATATTGGGAACTTGATAATTCTGAGCCAAGTAAACTCCACAGGCTGTCCCAGCTATGAAAGAGAAGCAACTCCTGATTATGCCCATAGTTGCTTGAGTGCTTGCAATAAATTTCTGCTATTGAGAAATCACTTCAGCAAGAATCACTGCCAGAAATAAGCAGATCAGCATTTAAACAAAATCATATGAGAAGTAATTTTAAAGTTTTTTTATGTGGTTGGAACTTTTTTTACTGGCTTATAATAAAGGACATCAGTTATAAAGGAGTCTTGAAATCAATAGTGTATGGATGTGAAAAGTGCCTCTAACTTATGATCTTTAGGGCTGCTTGGCAAACAAGTAATCTGGTTTAGAACTGTTCACAACTTAAAATAGTTATGTAAATCTATATTAATTTGAGCCTCCCTATTTTAAAACAATTTTTGAAAGGATTTCTTTCGAATTAATATTTTATTTCAAAGATTAAGCATTATATCCGACTATAGGGATTTGTGTTTTATCATGGACTTTGTAAATGAAAATATAAATTAAAAAAATGTGCTGCATTTAACACAACAAAAAGACTAGTAGATTGATAGAAAATTTACATGAAATTTCTAGCAAACAATAACAACCATAAGATCAAAATAACAAACGGTTTAAAATCCATACAAATGTTTTTCATGAATTAGAAAACGTTAGGATAAAAATCTCAAATTAGTTTTTCTAATCTATCATTCACAAAACCAAAGTTGCTAATTGTGAATAGAACACTTGCCCATAGGTCACTGGAATGACTATAGCATATAGGTTATCATACCGCAGCTAATACAATATATCTAAAATTAGAATAATATACAACCAGAAGTGAAGCAGGTGGAGGAAGTAAAAGAAAAGCAGAGAGAAGAAGATAGCAAGACGGCTGTAGTTCAGAATTTTACCGAGTTAACATGCAGAATTTCTGTGCATAACGATGAAAAATGTATGAATGTTTAATCTTAAAAATGAATAGAATGTCCAAACTATGTCTCTGCATGACTGCATGACCTTGGACAACACAGAAATGCTGCAGTGCAGAGTAGTGTTCCATTTGCATAAATAAATAAATAAGAAATATTAAAAAGATGAGTTCCACACAAAATAGAATGTTTTGAATTCACTCCACTCCACCCCCAAATAAGTAGAGATAGTAATGTATATGGAAATAATCAAATGGCCAAGGTAATGTAAACCATGGACGTTGAAGCAACAATACATACGCGTAGAGAATCAAATCAAACATACAGTACTGCACAACACTGTTGATATGCTAACCCCAACCCTAACACAGTGCTAATGCGATCTTCTCCGCTTCCATTGAAATGGAAATGCAGCTTTGCACGAACAACACAGGTCACTGTCCCCAATTCCCCCACTAGCTATGAAATGAAAGACATGAAAGAAGGTTCTAGAATCAAAATTTCTAATAATTTGTCAGACGCATACATAATTCAACAACTTAAAAATCAGAATAACAACACACCTATGTTTTGAAGCAGCGTTCTACAACAAAAATTATTAGTGTTAGCGTACCCAATGATTAACGATTCGTGTTAGCGTCTTCTCCGGCAGCGGTCAACACTCAACACCGGAAAAGGGTTAGCTATGGGATGATGTTTTCTCTACAGCTGCGATCCTCAAAGCATTTTTGGAGTCATGAAAACAAAAATAATGAAATAGGGTTAATTATTTATGATAAAAAATTTATCTTTCATAATCTAAATTTTATTTATTAATCTTAAATAAAATTATTTTCAGAATTACTTTCTTCACGTAATTTTCCCGAATTAAATATCTAATCTTATTTTTTCTTTTTAAATATTATTAGTGAAACTTAATTTTTAATTTTAAGTATCAATACACTATATGAAATTAAGAATATATATTTTTAGATAAACTTGATAAATTACAATAAATTTAATTAATTAAAATATAAATTAAACTTTAATATATTATATCAATAAAAATATTTTTAAATATTTAATTTTTATCTGAAAAATGATAATAATAAAAATATTTATTATTTCTGATTTATTTTTATCTATAAATTTTAATTAAAATATAAAATACAAAAAATTATTTTTTATCTACATTGATTATGGCATCATGAAAATTTTTCATATTTTAAGTTATGTAAAATTTTTTTAAAGAAAATGTAGTTTCTTAAAAAATATTTAATAATCAATGTGCTTGAAGTATTTAATAAAATATCATAAATAAAAAAGTTTAATTATTTTTATTAATATTGGTATTTTTTAAGGATATATTCTGATGGGGTTAAGTATGTGTTGGAATTAATGTTTTAAAAGTTAAAGTAGCTATTTAATTGATAAAAGCACTAATTAAGGCTATTTGCATTCGAGTTATGATGGGTTATATTGTTTTTCGACACTAAATTTAGATCAGGTTATTTGTTAGACTCTAATTTATCTTTAAATTTGAAGAAACCTAACAGTATATAAACTTAATAAAATTGGAACTAAGTTGGATAGTATTAGATTATCTCGAATCATAAACTTACTGATATCTTAAGAACTTATAGGTTTGACCCTTTCGTTTGATGTTACAGATGAGAACTCTTTCGAGATGTGTCAGCACTATAAGAAAGTTATGAGTTTCTTTTAGACAATAATCCTATTAGGCCGTCGAGTCTTGATTACCACATTAAAAAACTAGGATGGCAGCAGAAGTGCCAGAAAATGTGCATCAGTTTGACTCCTATGTCAAACAAAATCATGAAATAAACCATCATACAAACCAGTTATTGCTGAATATAAATATAAAGTTGGAACTTGGGCAAAATAGTTTGGCACTCACAGCCAAACAATCATGCAAACAATATACAAGAATAATAGTTACTGATAATCATTGACCAACTTAACACCCCGTCCATAATCCATACATCTAATATAAGGAAAAACTTTACTTGTATAATCTATGGGTTTTTCCATGCAATCAAGTTTAGGCGGAAAATGAAAACAAGGCTCCATAGAGAAGTCTCGGACACATGGAGGATCATGGATTTTTGTGTTCCGTAATTTGTATAGAATCCATGGCTTCAGGCCTCCCAAACTTTGAGCCACATACCCAAAAGTCGATCGAGAGCTAGTCACCAAAACATCACACAAACTTAATAGATATATTTCTGTCCATGCCTTCATATTATGCTTGTTATCATCAAACTTTTGATGCTCTTCGTGACTTGGCTGATAAACACTTACCACCTCCCCAGAAACAGTTGGTTTTGTCAAATACATAGTCCTAAGGTTCTCACCATATTCTGGATGTAGAGAAGCTACCAGAACAGACTTCAAAGTCTGATTTTTCCAACAAAAATATTTTGAATCTTCAGTGGTAATGTTGGGTAGTATATTATACTTTATGGTGCAGCTTAAAACTTGATTCATAATTGTTTGAAATGGGGTACGATCGGGCCTAAATACTCTTATTTGGAGGCCAATCCTCTCATCTGCCTTAGCTAAATATGCTTGATAGAATCTGCTAATTGGTCCCCATACCTCATTTGAAGGGAGAAAGAGGTAGCGTCCTAAATGGTGGAAGACTGTGTCTTTCTCAGGGAACATTTTGCTTAACTCTTGAGTGAAGGATGGAACCATAAAAAGAGAAGGTACAAAATATTGATCCGCGCACAAAATCAAGAGGGTAACTTTTTGGAGAAGATGTTGGCTATCATCACAGCTGAAAAACTTTTCATGATCATCATGGGTATGTTGTATCTTTAGATTTAGAGCTGAGGGTATAATCTCCTTTGAATTGTTTTCTCTGTGCTTCTTTACCATGTTTTCATATGTTCCAATATTTCCTTTGTTATTACTAAAAGCAAAGTCATTGGGCAATATCCATGATGAATTGGGGAACGGTTCACAAAATAGACCAATCATATCATCCTTAAATTCAACTAGTAAGACTCGATCTGTGAGAATTGCATAGAGGAATGCTGCAACCATGCTCACCATTTTGTTCCCTAAGCCATTGGCAGCTGTCCACACAATGTAGTTACATTCAGTGGTAACATTGGTCTTATGTCTTTTGAGCATCACCATGGTATTTTTGTAAGATCTAGTGTTTGGTCCACAACTTTTGTGAAGATCTTCATAGTTACGTAGTTTGGATATGAGATATGGAGAGGGTTTATGAGGGGATGTTTTGTGATATAAGTAGGACTGAAATCTACTTAAGCATGATCCTTCGTCAAACCCAGAAGAGATTATTGATCCATCAAGTTTGTCAGCATGACTTCTTGTAAGTGGGGAAGAACCTTCTGTTGAACTTGTAGATGAATTATTTTTTGAACCTGTAGATTTGGACATTTTAGATTTTTTTTTTCAACAATCAAAAGAAAAATCCACCATATATTCCTAGTTTAAAACAAGTTATAGAAAATGATATTACCTAAGTTTGACCTTGTAAAATTCTTAGCCCCCATTTCCAGTATACTTTTTGAAAACCCCTCAAAATGACCAAATTTTGAGTTGAGCATTAGTATGATTAGAGGGAAAGCTACGGCAAAGATGGCTAGGGAAGCTCTGATCCTTTTGGAACTCAACTCCAACCTATTCATGGTGACTTAAATGATTTTTGTGACTTACATGTGCCTCACCTTTGATTGTAGTAATCTGTCATCAGTCATCACTCTCATAATATTGAGATTACAAATAGCATCATCAATTAGAAAATTGCAGTATAGCTTATGCGCTAAAGACAAAACGATTAAAGACTCTGACTATATTCTAATTTCAAGGCAAGAAAGAAACACTAATGTAGAACCAAAAGCCAGCTCAAAAAAATCAAATGTGATTAAGACATGAAAGAGACTCCTCTTATCATTTTGTTTGTATTTTACTTGAATTTTTTTGTTAATCGATAGAAAAGGATTAACAAGTCTTGAATTGAAAGTCAGAATAAAGTTTCCCCATTAAAACAAAGTTCTCAATTTTGGCAGCAAAAAAGTGTATAGCTAAAAAGAAGAATGAAGAAATCATCATACAAGAACATGAAACAGAAATTAGTGTCTAAATGGATCAAACAGAATCGAGTGAGATAAAAGTTGAGCAGGAATATATACCTGGAGAAGACGATTAAGTGTTGCAGCGACTCTTTCGAAAAAAAAATAAAAATAATTGTGAAGTACTTGTCTGGAAATTAAATATACTTACTATGCTGATGTAATGAGACGAGTAACAAATATTCTTTTAAGGATTGCATTAAATGTCATGTATTCCCTTCCTTGTTTTTTTTTTTCTCTCTTTACTTCTATTTATAATTTAAAAATATTTAATATACTTTTATTATTCTCTCGATTTCAAATTGATTATTACTTTTCTTTAAAAAGAAATTTCTTTTTTCATATTAAGTGACATTTTAAGATACCAATAAAACTTTAAATATAGTTTTCCAATTATCTCCTTAAACAAATCATTATTGCAATCTTTTTATTTCAATGTTCTAGATACATTGTACAATGAAGCTCACTATCCGTTGGCACAACTAATTATTTCAAGAAGTAAAATAGTAGCTCAAGGATAATTTTAAATTCTTCTACATTTAATATTTACAACAATTAATATCTAATTAGTACAAAAATAGTATATAACTTTAAAATATAATAATATTATAATTATAAAATAAATTTTAAAAAAATAAGTTATATAAAATAAAATTAAAGTAAGGTTCTTTCTTCATTTTACAATTGTAAAACCCACTTTTCACACTTTCTCTCTCTTCAATTATAATATATATTATTTAATTATCATAAATATAAATAACTATATTAATATAAGTATTACTATAATTTTACAATTAATTACATGTTAAAAATAAAATAATAAATATTTATTTATGATACAATAATCAAAATAGTATTTTATTATATATTAATTTATTACAATTATTATTTTTTAGCATAAAAAATTACATTATTATAAATTTATCTACGACCAATCATTTATTATTTTATTATTATATATTAGTGTGAATTCGTAACAAGTAATATAAATAATTATTAATAATATTAAATAAACATATTACTTTTCTAAATATGATATGTATATTAGAATAAATTTCTCTCTATTTTAAATTATAAAATTTATTCACAACTTTAATCATAAATTTATCCCCATTCCCATACTTCTCTCTCTTCAATTAAATATTATTTAATTTAAATTCTCTATATTTTCAACAAAAAATAATTCTTAAGGAGCTTTTATATATATTGAAAATATTATTAGAGTTCTATTTTAATTGTGCAATTACAAAATTGAGACTTTAATTTTAATTACTATTATGAACACTTTTCTCTCTCGCGTTGTAGGTATGTCCAAAATAAATGGCATCATGCGTATGGGGGTCGAATACAGGGACGTTATGACTGATAAATTAGCATTATAACTCCACACCTTCACGTAAAGATTAATAATTTTTTTCCAACTCATGATCAAATGGCCTTACCATGTTGATTAATAATCAATTAAAGCAATGTAGTGAAATATAAGAGTAAAAAAGGATTACTGATATTAATTGGCATAGTAAAAAACTCGGTGGTCATAACAAGTTCGTTTGTTACCTATTGATTAGTATTAATTAACCAGCCTCAATCCACTATTTACATCTTCACAATGCTTCATATGATGAAAAAGGGAAGTAAAATCAATTGTGCTATTGGCCCTACATCCATACTTAGGAGGATAATGGAAACAAGGCTCCATGGACTTGGCTCGTTGACAAGGTGGATTTGGGATGGTATCCCCATATGCCCTCTTCAAAATCCATGGCTTCAAACCTCCAAGACTTTGAGCAACATACCCAAATGTAGACTTGGGGCTTGTAATCAATGCATCACACAAACTCAGCAAATATATTTCAGTCCATGCCTTAATGTTGTGCATGTCATTATTCGACTTTTGGCGCTCTTCATGACTTGGCTGATAAAATCTTATTACTTCCCTGGTCACAGTTGTGTTTGCCATATACATAGTCCTCAACTTCTCACCATATTCTGAGTATAAAGATGCTACTAGAACAGCTTTTGAGGTCTCTTGCTTCAAAGGAGAAGTTGCAGGCTTTTGCATGTCTAATTCAGGAAGCAACTTATGCTTAAGGGTGCAGGCTATAATTTCATTGATAATGGTTTGGTGTGGTGATCGATGAGTATTAAATATTCTAATCTGCAGGCCAATCCTCTCATTTGCCTTCGCTAAGTGCGCCTCATAAAATTTGCTAATTAGTTCCCATGCCTCATTTGATGGGTGAAAAAGGTAACGTCCCAGATGGTGAAAAACAGTGTCTTTCTCAGGGAATATTTCGCTTAAATCTTGCCTAAATAATGGAATCATAAAAAGAGAAGGGACAAAATATTGATCTGACCGCAAAATCAGCACAGGAATTTTCTGGAGAAGATCTTGACTTTGATCACAATGGAAAAAGTTATAACGACCATCATGGCTGTGCTGTAGATTAAGTATAAGAAATGTTGGCAAAAGGTCCTGTGAACTGTTTGCCTTGTTATTCATTAGCATGCTTTCAAATGTCTCAATATGTTTCTGATTTTTCCAATAAGGAAAATTCCTGGGCAATAACCAAGAGGAATTAGGAAATGGCTCACAAAATAGGCCAAACATGTCAGTCCCAAATCTGACTAGTAGAACACGGTCTGTGAGGATAGCATAAAGAAATGCTGCAGCCAAGGTTACCATTCTGTTCCCTAAGCCATTAGAAGCAGTCCAGACAAGGTATTTGCACTTCGTACCGGCATCAATTTTCCTAAATTGTGTGCCCTTTGTCATGATTTTGTTGTAGGATTTGGTATGAGGTCCACAACTTCTATGAATATGTTCATAGTTTCGTAACTTGGATATCAAATATTTGGAAGGTTTATGAGGGGAAGCTTTGCGGTACAAGTGAGATTGATATCTACTTAAGCACGATGCTTTATCAAACGTGGAAACTAAAAGTCCATCAAGGAGTTTGTCATTAGAGATGGCCGTAGTAGATAGGGATGAATCATTCTTCAAATCTTCAAATGATTGATTCTTTGGACCTGTAGATGCATAAATAGAGAAAACAAAAATCATGCACAAGTCTATACAATATTTATATCCAGATTACAATGTATTGAGACTTCAGTTGCTTTGATTCCATAAAAGAGAATGAAGTAGATGAAACCATCTTAGAGCTCATTCCAATATAAGATCTTGCTAGAAACAAAAACCTGGTTGCTTTAACCAATGGTAAACTACCCATGCTGGCATCAATATGTAGTTTTTCTAGAGTATTCAACTCAATAATTATGCCATCTCTAAATACATTAAGTCATTAGTGTTTGCTACAAAAAGACCCTTACAGTGATCTTGAAACTAATCCTCCGTACATTATGTATTACAAAAATACTGAAGAAGAGAGTAGGAAAATCAAGAAATAAATAGGCTGAAATTAAGCTGCTAGCAGGTGAATTACCAGTATCTGATATTGCTTGTGTCTGAGCTCGTTCTTCTAAGATCCCAGATGTCCCATTTTGATCCTTGTCACCCAACATCTTATCTGACATACAAGTTAGAGAGATCAGATCAGATCAGATGTTAAGGACATTAGACAAAGATGAATCAAAGGCACAATATTAATTAGGGGGGAAATTGAAGAACATTGCAGTTGTCAATGATGGGAATAGATTCCAAAAGTGGCCTTACCTACAACAGGCTCTCTGATAACATGATCATTTTCTACCCCAGCTTGAACTGTAGCATTTTGAGCACCTTGATTTAAGACATTAGCAGAAGAATTCTCATTCTCATTCTGGGCACTTCCAGACAACGCGTTAATATTGGAAAATCCCTCAAAAATTGAGTTTTTGGGTATGAGAGTAACAGTGACTAAAATAGGGAAGGCTATGGAACCCACAATCAATAATGATCTGAATCTCTTGAAATTCCACACTACTCTATCCATCGTCACTTTTTCAGGATTTCAACGTGGCCCATCGTTGAAGGCAACAATCAACTTAGAGGTGCATGCAACTTCAGATATCAATTAAGTACCCGAATCACAAATAAGGTTTTGTTTCATGGGTGAAAGGATCCGATCCAGTTATTGAACTGATTACGTTAAACAAGTTGGATTCTTCACAGTGAAGTTCGGTTCGAGATCATGAGGACCCGAATTACATCCAAATCAAAGCACGTGTCCGTGCCACTGTATTAGCTGCTGCATACAATTTCTTGGTTGGACTGTCATAATTCATGCTCACCAAGATATTATTATAAAATATAAGATAAAAATATATTTATAATAAAAATTAATTTTTCTATAATTAGATTAAATTATTTAAATTAAATATAAGAGTGTTAAAATTATAATAAAATTAATAAAGAATTTTTAAATATTAATTACCTGTAATAAATCGTTTATACAATTATATAACAGAAAAATTTATAATCTAATTTTTAAAATATTTATTTTAAATAAAATTTAAGTATTTTTATTTTATCGTATTAAAGTTTATTAACATTTTTGGGTTGTCAACCTTTACATGTTTTTCATTTAAACTTTTTGAGATCATAGCGTTTTCACTGTAAATTTTCCTGCACACGACCCTAACTTTCATTTTGCTGCCAATAGTTTTGACAGCAACTATGAACTATCAACTAGATAATTATATTAAAGTTTAAACGTGTGAAAGGACCAGCTTTTTTTTCAGAAATATTTTGTTTTTAGTTTTAGTTTTAATTACAAAAAACTCTATTATTATTTTTTTATTTTTTAAGATTATATACAAAACAGTAAAAATAAAATAAAATAATTTGTAGAAAACTTTTAAAAAAATCGAAATGAAACGAAACGTGCTGAATGTATACAACCTAATTGCTTCTCCATTTGGGCTTTGGTTCCTCACAACTCAGCGGCGCTGTCTCAGGGGGCACTCTGCTTCATCGTCGTTGTATCAGGTAGCCACCCACCTTCTCCCCCCCCCCCCCCCCCTTCCTTTTATCTTCCTTCGCCTCCGCTTCTGCTTCATCGTCCCTTACCTTAAGTTTTGGACGAAATATAGAAGAAATCAATTGTGTAGTCAAAATTATTTTCTTTGTTAAGAAAATAAGAGAAATTGAAAGGAAAGTAGGGAAGAATTGGTAGGTTGGAGAAATATTTCTTCTTTTTTTCCCCTTTTTATTTTGCCTGTTTCTCTCCTTACTTTGTTTAACAGCTAATGCTTTCATTACAGCTTCATCAAAGCAGAAGCTATGAAGTTGTTCAATGTAAATGGAGCCACTCTTTCTCTTGCTCTTTACACTGATGTGACCAATTCCAAGTTAGTCTTCTCTCTCTCTACTTGTTATGGGAATGTTACCTGTAAGTGAAAGTCAAGTTATTATTATCAGAATTAGTTCAAATTTAAGATTTTTTTCACGTGCCAACAGGAAAGGAGGTGTAGTTATTGACAGCGTAGTGTTTAAATCTAATTTCTTTATTATGATAGAATTAGTTCAACATAAGTTGTTTCTGGATAACTTTCAAATATTGCTGTCAATAAATACAAGGGATCATTTCATCTCAAAATTCAGTTTCAAAGTAGTTAGAGTTTGATTTGCTTCTTTTTGCTTGTGATAACAAGGACATTAGCTTCTAGTAGTGCAGTTACGATAGTTAACATATGATAATTGACAAAACCAGTCGCTGCTAAGTTATTATTTCAAGACAGTGATTGGCAGATTACAATTTTCTTTTTTCATTTATGATCATACACCATTCTATGAAAGTAAATATATAGCATAGATTGTAAAAAACATTATTTATTTGTAATTGATTCAAAGATCGGGAACCTACTCTTAGCTTAAGTGTATTATGTAATTGTTTTTCTCATAGGGAACTCTTGGAAAGTATGCAAGCCGGGACGTTGGAGCCAGAAGTTGCATTCCTCAATGCTACACTTGTATAATTTCTTATATTTGTGTTATATGTCATGTCCAGCACCATTTTCAAGAGGATCAAAACATCATCTTATGTCACGAACTAACACAAGAAGGTCATGTTATGAGAGAAAAATATGCAAAAGTAATTATTATAGTTGGACCCACCATTTTTGTAGAGGTTCAATAACTTTACCTTTTGCCTCGTAATTTAACCATCTCATGTTAGTATGTTGCATCAGACGATTGTTATGATGTTGGTGCCTGGTGCTTAAATTTTCAAGAATGTTGCTTGTTTCTAATGTTACCACTACCAGATTCCAGATATTTTCCCTGTTCTAGCAGCTGCACACAAGACACTAGTAGCCAAATCACGGGACTCTTTGACCACACGCACTCTTCATTCGGAGCTTGTTTACAACTACTCAGGGTCCAAGCATGTAATTTATGTGTTGCTATTTAATCTATTATTGTTCATATTTCCGAGTAGAGTTTCTGACTTTGGCATGTCTTGTAACTAGATTACTGAATCTTTGAAGAGATGTGGCATTTCTGACAGCACAACTTATATCCTTGCTGCTCGATTTGATGCTACTTCTGATGAAGTGAGACGATCCTACAATAAAATGTGACATCCTTTTTTTTCACTCACTTAACTAAAGCGATCTGTGTATCTTTATTAGACACAAGCTATAGAGAAGCTCATTATTGGCAAAGAGATCGACCTGGAGGAGCTGGAAGGAAGAGCAAACCAATCCCAAATACAAAAGGTTAGTAAGGACAATCTACAACACTTTGCATCTTTTCGTGCAAACTAGCATATTCAATCATTTGTTATGATTCAGCATTTCAAGATATCTGCCTCGGAACTTGGAGTATCATCACTTGCAGATGCAATAACCTGTCGAATAGCTGCTCGTGATGCCTTGTGAGAAGAATGAATGTTATCTGCTTGTACACTACCAGTTTCCAATGTCATGAAAATTTAAAGAACACTTCAACTCCCACCATTTTTTCTTTAGCTTTCACGTGTTACAATTTTATTTTATTTTTTAATTTCAATCTTACTGCATTAATATTTCTTATGGAAAATCAGAAAGTTAGGTGATGATTTATATACGATATATTTTTGCTGATAATGGTAAGTGCATGTTGTAAAAATGATACATCTTGAGTTCTTCATTTGCTTCTCTATGTTTACGTCCATACATGCGTTCTTAAATATACCCATGGACTTGATTTCTCGTGTGATATTGATTGAAAGATAACCGAATTATGACATTACAATCACTACTACTGAATTAGGTCATCAATTTGTAGACACATGTATACTAAAAGTAAATGCGCTACATAAGTTTGTTACAAAGTGTTTTAGGAAATAATATAAAAGTATACAAAATATTCTTTAATAAAAATTACCATTTATAAATGCTTAAAATTATCCCCTAATAACTAATAGAAAATTATTCATATATACACTACATTCGATAAGGTTTGGTGATTTTGATTAAAAGCTTAAACCATATAAATTTATTAATCAGTAAACGCTTCATGTATTTGACATATAAATACGAAGGCACAAATATCACGCATTCTCTCCTTTCCAGTAATTAATAATTACTCGAACGTGGATCTGAATCCTCTCATGTTTGATTTTGAACATAACAGTCATGTTCGTGTATTTTTATATATTTGCTTAAGAGAGTGAAATTTTGTTTAAACGAATGTACAAAAATACACGAAAATGATGGTCATGTTTAATTTCGAACGTGAAGGAATTGTGACGCCTCGAACGTTTAAGGGATGAAGAAATTTAAGAAAGAAAATCTCAGATTGTACTTAATAATGCCAATGGCCCACTCTCAGTTCTCAATTAATGGGCCTCGGCCCAGTCCGTTCAATTTAATTCTTGAATCCATTCATTCGTAAAATTCTCAATCTTGTGAAAGTTTAAGAAGTTGTTCGGGTAACCAACATGTTCCTTTTGTTGAATTTCTATGGTCATTTGATTTTAGATAAATTGCTTGTAGTCAACATTTTTTCACCTTTTTACCATTTTAAATTTTAATAATGAGCATAATAACTACACACTAGTGATATCCACAATTATTGAATTGCTGGAGAATCAGTTGAATCACACAGAATGTTATTAGTTAATATCTGTCATGAACTGTTGCATTTAAATATATTAAAGATCCAAGTGTACTATTCTGCGAATACTATTAAACTTTGTGCAATTTTTCCTGTGAAATAGTGGTATATGTTAAATAGTTCGTGGTAAATGCATAACATCCAGTTTATCTCCACTCACAGGATTTTGCTTTCTTGCTTTTGTTTTCTGATTAAGTTGAACCGAACTCGGTGAATAATATAACCAAGCAAAACCCTGTTTCTACTTGAGCATACTTAAACAGAGAAAATAAAGTTAAGAAGTTTGAGCATGAGCTCATATAAAATCTCAATCATGCTTTTTCTTTTACAATTGCAGTGGAATTGTGACATGGATGGCATGTGCGAGGGCATTGCAATGGCAACAGTTGGACACAAAAGTAAGCTCAGATTCTGATAGAGCAGAGATTGGTGAATCTTTAATCCCTTATCCCATGTTTCAATGCGCTCTGCTTTCTTTATGTCGGATTGCCATACACATGACGTTGAATCTGGTTGTGGATTGTGTATTGTGGAGTATCTTTATTATTTGTCTTTCAGCATAAAGCTCCCATGTAAAGAGTTAAAGTGCTTCGTGACACACTATTTTTGTTCATTCCAGTTGCAGATGCACATGAATGAAACGGTCCTGCACCACTTACTTACAAAGGTTTCTTATTTTTTCTGAGAAATCCGATAAGATCAACAAAATAATAATAATCGATTTGGGGGGTTTACTGTTTACTTGAGACAGTTTAAAATTCCAATTAACATTTACTAACCAAAAAAAAAAAAAAAACAAACCACCACAACAATTCGATTATCATCAGAAAATTGAAAGTTAGATTTTGGAGTATAATAGAAGAGATGGTGAGTTTTTTTTATTTTTAATAATTATTCTTTTAATTTTATAATTTTCTAAATAAAATGATAAATTAATATAAATTTAATGTATTAACTTTTTATTTACTTTTATAAATAATGTATAACTCTTATAATTTTAAAAAAAAAATATCTATCATTTCCTCCCTCCCATTCATAAGCTAACTCTCAAACATAACACATTCATAAACTAACCTTTAATATAATATTTACCCAATAATTTTTTAGTTCAAATATCCCACACACAGAGAAATTGTTGCGAACTTAAATTACAATATATAATAGAATTGTTGAAAATATTAAGAAATAATTTTTAAATCGAATTTGTTATAAAAATAATGATTAAGGAATCACTCTATGACAGATAAGGAAATCATACTTAAAAATATAAATATTGAATGAATTTATATTTAAATATAATTAATAATTATAATAAAAATATACATTTTTAATTTCTTATTGCATATTTATGGAGATATAATAAATTTGTAGACATAAATTAATTTGCACAAACACCCGTATAAAAAAAATGCCCCACCCCCACCCGCGACACAGCCGCGCCTCGTTCTTTTCATTTGCATGAAAGGAAGAATACGAACTATGAAGCAAGCAAACTGCACAATTCGAAGTTGAAACTGCGTCTTTCCTTCTCTCTCTCTCTCCTTATTCCATGGACCATTTCTTCGCTCTAATTTGCCCTAATTCTCCATTCGTACGCTTCTCTTCTCCTTTCAAAACTTTTTTCTCAAGGAACCTACTCTTCTTCCTCTAAACCCCCCCAACCTCAACCTTATATTTCTATCATTTTTTACTTGTCTTATCTTTTTAATTCTAACGTTTAACTATAACATGTTTCTGCATGTATTCATTTTCAACTCAGTGTAATTCTATATTGCATGAACACTATCGAACTCGTTAAAATTTTTATTAGACTCACCAGATTCTGTTCGCTACTAAATTCTGGGCCTGTTCCTTTCTTAATGGGAGTAAGGATGTTATTGGAATTTTCAGATCATATGATTTAAGAATCACATGCTTCTGAATCCGTCTCTGCTTTTCAATTGACTTAAAATTTGACTACACTTTCGTGATTCTGCCACAAGAGAACGAACGTTTTTGCTGAGATATTTAGAATTGATTTAAAAATAAAGGGACGTTAGATTGTTCATTAAATATTACACGTTTAAGATCATGATGCGCTTTTTTTTACCTGGTTTACAGGTATGGGATGGAGGGGGATTCTCCGAGTGTTTTGAAGACATATATCCTTATTCTTTTTGAGACTTTAGTTTTCAGCTTGTTCACTGACAATTTTTTTTTTTTTAAATATGAATCGGTGTTCCTTAATAACACTTACTGTTTTAGGCTTTGCAGTCAACATAGTTACTGTTGTTATGATTGTTGTACTGGGATTTAATCAGAAGATTAATCGAGGAGTTCAAAGATTAGATGCCCAGGTACTAGCTGATCTTAAAAGGTTTACGAGGACACATTGGAAAACTAGCACACAGAAATATGTCAAAAATCATAAACTGGCTCCTGTTTGCAAAGCAGTTACTTGCAACCCTTCTGTTATCCTGTATTGCTACTCTGTAACTACAGCTCCAAGATTGTCCATCAATTGTCAGGCTTTGTTGACAATGCCTGAATCACACAAGAAAGAGCTATTATTATCCCCATATATGATCTTTGTATGACAGTATATACCTGAGATACTTATATATCCATATTTGATGCTTTTGCAATGAATAAATAGATGAACCGTCCAGAGAGATTTGTCGTGGATGTTGTACCAGCTGTTGGAGCATGTCTTTCAATCGTGGACATAATTTTTCTGTGGAAGAAAGAACATAAAAGTCACTTTGTTGGATATCACAAATGGTTTTATAGCTGTTCTGAGTTGATGGTGTGGGTAGGTGTCCGACTTTTAGCTATAAATGACAATATTCTGTAGATTTTAATGCTCTTATTCCTAATGATCTAAATACTCACTCATGCCTCTATGTAGATAACTATCATTCTCTTCACAAAGTGTGCCAGCAGTCGTTATGTAGTCTCCAACCGTGTCTTATGTTTCTGGTGGATTCTGAAACCAATATTGGCATCTTTCTATTTGATCACAAAGTTTCCATCATTGGAGGTGATATTATTTTCTAGCTTAGATTTTTTTCTTTTTGGGGCAAGTCAAGTTTACCTTTATTACTAATAATATTTATTCATTTTCAAATAAACTGCATATCAGTTGGTCATATGTGAAAGATTTGGCATAATGTTCATTGTAGGTTTCAATGTGCATCATGGAAGGCTTAGATGTTCTCTTGAATATCTCATTTGGCATAGCCATCAATGTGATCAAGATAAAGAGACCATCTTTTAAAAGCAGGTATATTCGGGCCTGTCACTCTTACATAGTCACTTTCTTTTTCAGATTAGTGATAAGCATTAAGCATCAAAGAAAATGTTTAAGGTGGTAGGACTGATCATCTTTCTCCCTTGTACACATGCTACTTAAACCCATTTGCTTGCCCTATAGACTGTTTGGCCATTCTTGATGCCGAGATAACTTTGGTAATATTATATAGGATGCATTATCTCTTGTTTCTAGAGTACATTGACAAATCTCAATTGAATCTGCTGTCATAATTTTAGTTTATTGGAAGATCCACTGCTTTCAAATGGTGTAGACCTTGAGGAAGGTGGCTCTCATGACCTTGTAAGTATATGTCCTTTAACTTTGAAAATGGTGTCAAGTGTTAGTTTGTGGAGAAATTTCTAACTTTAGTTTTTCAATCAGGGATAAATATATGGATTGACTGTTTAAAATTTTAACTTGAAACTGGTGTGAAGATAATTTAAATAACAACAAATGAATAAAAGAAGTTATTGAAACATTTTGCAAACTTGGTGGTTAATTGGCTTGAGAGTTGAGGTTTTTTTTTTTCCCGAAGATGTAATGTTGAAGGGGGCTTGCTTGCATTTTTTCGTTGATATATTTTTTCCTGTAGGCTGTTATCTTGTTCAAGTTATTTAAAGTGTTCCCTATCATATTCTTCTTTATATTCAGCTCTCTCTTTTTCTTTTGATGAGTG